GCATGCATGCATGCATGGTATCATAAGATTGTTTCGATATAATCTGAAAGGTGGAAAAAGAGTGTGAGAGACATCAACATAGATTAATTCTAGACTTAGTCATAAGAGCTGACCCGACCTTATGAGTTATGGCCTAAGAAGGCTTTCGCGAAGTTGCAAAACAACCTAAAAATGTGCTAAATAGTAAATATTAGTGATATTGTGGCAATTGATACACCAGGCGGAAATCTTAGTTTAAAGATAAAGAGCAGAGCCCAGCAAATAACTTTAAAACCAAACATGATAATAAAGTTATTTGCTGGGCTCTGCTCTTTTGATGCCTATTTCTATTAACTGTGGTGCATCAGACATCTGGTTCAGCCCTTTTTTAGACAATGCAACGGTCGATGTTTGATAATCTTTGTTTAGTACTTAGTAGTACAACATGGTCAAACTAGAACTCAAAAAAACATGATACCACAGAGGAATTAATTAAAACATTTTCATGATACCACAGACATAGAGGAATGTGGAAAACATTTTCACAGCAGCGGAAATTAAGATGGTTATGTCAAATGCGTTTCCGGCATAATCGATTTGGGTGGGCAAAGGATAATAGTGGTTAATCGACATAATTATGGCCAGTTCGTTTCATGGATACTTTCAGTGATGTCTGTAAATCAGTTTCTATTCACAAACGCGTATTAATGATGCGGTTATAATTACAAAACAAACAGGTCTCATACTTCAGCTTATCAGCGGAATAGATTGCAAAGCAATCCGTTGTATTAGCAGCTGGTTTGCAGCTGGTTTAAAACTACTGGAGATATCTTATCAAAGCTTTGCCAGTAAGGCAGTATAATATCTCAGTTGATTTACGCCTTTTCTATATGAATGCCTTTTATTCTCCGATCCGTTGACGCCATCAATTTTTTATCTCGAGTTATCTACTGATCCAATTCTTTGCCAAACATGAATCTCAGAATTGGAATCTTCACGCTCAAATTAGTCCGATGCTGAAAATTTCATTATCGGTTTGGACATTCAGGGTGCGACTAGTCAGTACGGCGTTTTGAAAAATTTGTATTTCCTATACATTAGACAGGAATTTTAGTGCAAACATTTGCGAAATACACAATCCTGCGTTCTTATAATAATAGAAATTTGATGTACTATTAAAACTATAAACAAATGAAATGTTTTTAGCTGTTTTAATTTAAATTTAATTTAATTTAATTAAATTTAATTTAATAAAATGATGAGGAAGAATTCATATGACGACCTGCGTTCACGAGATTGTGGCCTCATTACTAGAGCGTCTTTGGGAGAGTAAAACCTGTGGTAAAGTGACGTTAGTCCAACGCTGATGACATGTACATATTATTATTATTAAAACTTTATTTATACAGGATAAAAACCTTATTCATTATAACTAAATACTGCTATCATTAAGGCCAGGGTCCTGTAACTAGTACTAAGTTTATAAATCTATAGATAAAAATATGCTAATATGCTATACATACAATACTAAACACACAATGATACTTGATGAATTGATAAACACACAATGATACTTGATATATTGATGTACAAAGGCTACAATGTGCATCAGAGAGTTATTTAAACAATTTCTAAATTGTTCTTAGTCTTACTTCTGAGTTTTAGCAGCTTGTATGAGTAAACAATTACGATCTATGAAGCCACCAACAAAACATGTGACATGTATGTACTACATGGTAACATGCGCTTTCTCATATCTTGCTGCTTGGCACTCTCAATTGTTTAACTGTTGTGGACGAGTATTTTTGCAAACAAGAATGTGTAAAACCGATTATTTTCTTGAATGAGTTGTTATTCGCTTGCGATCCTAGAAATAATTTTGTTGAAAACACGATAGCCTAAAGGCAGGTATGTTAATTAAACAATTCTGCATCTGTACCAGATTTGCAGTATCAGGTTAAGTGTAAGTTTGCAATTAACAATTAACAATTAACAATTAACAAACCCAGCTATAATTCATAAAACAGAAGGCAATAATTTAATCAGATTTTTCCGGAACTTATAAAATAACTTTTCCTTCGTTATTGCATTTTGTGAACTTCCAGGATAACCGATTATTTTCAATGTTTTTCTGAATTTGCAAAGGATTTTTGTCTCTACGTTAGCTGGTCAGGTGTCATTTGGACTATCAACCGTCTGTATTAAAATATGTCATATCAGGTCCAGTTGACTTTCAATATCTAACATCTAGCCATGCATATGATGTCTGACTGCAAAACGTTTTTTATTCTAATCTTATTACTTAGTTATGTTCGTTTGAGATTAGAATATTTATGTACACTTAAAGTCTTGACGTATTTACAGCTTATTTCTGTACAAAGTTTATGCTGGTGCTTCACTGCACGTCGCTTTGAGAGACGCAGGATGGCAACGCGACGACGAAAAAAAAACTCGTTGAACTAAATAATTGTAAAGAAAACCTGTTTAAGAGTCAATGACATGTCAGAAGACAGGGGTTTATGGTTGAGAGAAGTTCTTCGACTAATACAGTTGTCGGTATACAGGCTTGAATCGTGATAATATCTGTGATATGCCGCTGCAAACAGAGCGATTATTTCTTTATTTCCTATACACTGGGGAAAAAGTGTGAAATCCATGATGAAATTTGCAATTTTATTTTATTTTACAGATTTTGCCTTTTAACACAAACTATTACACAAAATTAGTTAGACAATAGATTACATGGCTGGAACTACCACACAGAGATTGCACCACTAAATCCATAGTATATCTATACTATTTCAATGCTATGTCCACAGTATGGAAATATACAATTATGGAGATAAAATCCATTCCATTTCCAATAAAGGCCCATACAATTTCCATTCTATGGTCTTCTATGGATTTTCAAATTTTTTTCCAGTGTATAATCTATATTAATATTATGAATTCTATTATATTTATTGCATTTTCGTCCTGCTTTCACCTTAGCCCTTAGGGTTCCTAATAACGTCAAACGGTAGTTCATAGTTTTAATCTTGAAGGGCCTTCGCTGGAAACGTCGAAATTCTCCTTATATTTTTCAGGTAGTTGCATCCCCACCAATGAAAGCTAATTCATATAGTTTTGGTCGTTATAAGTTATAACTAAAAGTGTAAATTTAAAGCTGTTTCTTGTCACGCCCCGTACCTGATTAAGGATTCAGCTCCCTACCACCACATATTTGAGAAGCAAGTGTTAAGCCTGGTTCACACGATGAAATAAACATAAGCATAAGCATAAGCAAGCGGAAGTTCCGCTGCTTGATAATGTGCTTATGCTTATTTCATCGTGTGAACCAGGCTTTACTGTCGGCCAATTCAAGTCTTACCTGTTAACTATTATGAAGCAATGACTAAACAAATTTATAACATTGATTAATGCTCCACAAACGTTTAAAAGTATATGTGTCACTCGTGTCGTCCGTTGTCCAGTCTTGTGGATAAAATGTTGTAAATAATGTGATGTTTTTTTATATATACATATTATTAGGGACCATGTAAATGGAGCATTAAGCTCTGTAGGGTTAACCTGTCATTTATGACTAAGTTTATAAAAAAAAATAACAATATTACAAAACCTTGTGAAAGATTTCTTAACAGCCACTCTCTATATAAGGTTGCGGGCAACGCCGGACCCCCACAGTTTCAAATAATATAACTATAATTATGTACTTGTGATTTTCTCTTCAGACAAACAGCTTGTGTTTTACTTTTAGGCAGGAAAAATTGCAAAATGCAACGCGTGCTTGATTTAAAAGCAACAGTCACAGCTATTTTTATTCCGCCTTCATTTCAAAGTTTACAATTTACAACGAAATTGCGTTTTATAAATTTGTGTCTTCAACATTTTATTGAAAATATATTTTAACATCTGTGAGCAGAGTATTATACATTTTTTTACCGAAATGTGTTCCAGAGTTCGATGAAATCCGTAATATTATACCATTCATCTCAAATTTAATAAGTATTTTTTTAACAAAAAAGATGACTGAGAACAAGTCAGCCTACCTATTTCAAAATATTAAATATAAATTTATGATGAAATTTGTATACAAATATGTAATTTCAAGAATAAAGTTATAACAATATATGATATTGTCAACTAAATTGTTACTGTTCAATTTTTGAAAGTTCTTCAACGAACCATTTTCATAGCTGTTTTCATATTTAGCACAATTTTACTCTCTCTAAAAACCAATATCAGCCAACAAATTTTAAAATATAATACAAAACATAATCCAAAGATTAGCATCTTGAAACTCAAGCTAGAGCCTAGAGATTTGAGTTAAAACAAGATGAGTTCCTTGGAATGAGTTTGTTGGGTTTCAATATGCTAATATGACTGTGTTCTGTTGCTGTCTGACTATCTTACAAAGTGCACAGTTCACAATTCAAGCAAATGACTGATAAGGCCACTAATTGTTGTATATTAGTTTCTCATCCCCACCCGCATGCTTTTTAAGAAAATGGTCTTGTTCGCCATTATTGCCATTTTTTACCATTATTATAAATTTTGTGATGTCTTCAAAATGATATTTGAAAGAAAGACAATTAGAAATGTTCCCAAACCAAAAGTTTTAGTTAAGTCTTAAGATACGAAATTTCATACCAAAACTGCCAGTTTTCCTCGCATTTACATAAAAGTTCTACCGGAAGCCAGGGACAGGAAAAAACCCCGCGAGACTACTTGGCTACAAAATTATTTCTTTATTCTGTGATTATTTCACATGTGGTCACGTTTTTAATATGAAAACATGGTTTCAGTTGCACTCACTAATATAATTTGTGCTGTTTTGCAAATTATGCTATAAATGCTAAATGCGCACTTTTTCAAAGTAATATTTACGTAGAGGGAGAATCCGGCAAATAATAGCATAATGGTAATGGCCCGCCCGCCCGCATCAACTTTAGGTGAAGCCTCGGATGAGAAACTAATATGCAACAATTAGTGGCCTAATGATATTAATTATTTATTAAAACTTATTTCTTATAAAATTGTTTCAAGTTCTCAGGTACAGATGGTCGCCAAAAACTTGGATGACTTTGAGTGTCCTTCAATACCTCTTCTGTTGCTTGTTGAATGCGTTCAAAGCAAGTAGCACATAAATGGTTTATCAGTTTGGCATTTCCACAAACTGAACATGTCTCTATATCTTCTCTGTTCTTTATAAACTTTCGCTGATGTCGAAGCCATTTGGTTTTTCTTGATGTACGTTTCTTCGGTGCTGCCATCCACAAAATATTATCGCTCAAAATATTCGAGTGATCCTCGGCCTGACATGATATTTTGTCCTGCATGTTACACATTTTAATCCCTCCGTAATTCCCGTTTAGTAACGGGTGATTACCTCCGCAACCAAAAATCCAGTATACCCAATTAACAACTGAATTTTTGGAATCAGAAAGAATGGGAAGGCTGCTGGTTCTTAGTTTATTGAAACGTAGACTAAATTTTAGCAATTTTTCGACCGCCATCTTGGTTCTATATGGCACTAAGGGATAATTAAGGATTGCATGTCTCAATCTTATATAACTGTACCCAACTGTACCAATGAATCCACAGATACTCATTAATCATAAAACTAATAAAATTCAAGGGACAGGAAAGACAGGAAAAGCTTACTCAGAATTGTTTCAAAACTTCAGTCAACTATATTTCAGTTATTAAACGTGTGACAGAGAGTAATTAGCGTAATAGAGTTCTCAGTGGCCCTGTTAAATTTTAGTTTTACATTTTTTACGGTTTCTCACTTATGACGCATTGCCGGCATTGGCAATTTGGTATGGGCTATTCCGTGTTATCCAAAGCGCCGATACGCAGAATTTCTCTTGTCTTATGATTTCTCGGGTGGAACTATTAAAAAATACAAAGAGAAATTCCGCTCCGCGCGGAAAATTTCGCCTAGTGGAAAAAGGCCTTTATGCTGTGAAGAAGCGTTGCTATCCGAGAAGAATGGGCACCACGAAGAATGGGCAATTTTTTAATCAATTTTTGAGGTATCGGCTATACGGGTTGGGGTTGAACGGGCAGCGAAATCAGCCCCAACCTCTTAAAACCGCCAAATACGCAGACGACTCGACCTCATGGTACATTTGCGCGACAGACCGACACAAGCTGAGCCAGTTTTGCAATGATATATAGGTCGCGCAAATATTAGCCACAAGTGAACTCTGGAGTGAACGCAACTTACGCACGCATTGCCGAGAATGATGTAAAATAATCTGAAAAGTTTATAAAAAAAAATAAATTTGATAATAACATGTAATTTATTTATTATCTACCTAATAGCTAGTATTAGCAATATTATTGACAGAAGGTTTTCTTTGATGTGTATTAATGTTTTCCACATTGTCCTCTTTAGTATTACCCGGCATGACATCTTGGACAAATTCAAGGGACAATTCAATAGCTGGAGGAGTACCGGGAGTTGTAGTGGGCGAGACTTTACTTTTTGATGAAGATTTTGTTGTATTCTTCCCTAATATATAGTTGATTATGGAATAAATAATTAGCACAACACAACATCCAATACCATATGACCTGAATACTGTCTCTGTGTTATAAGTATGAATAAATATTCCACCAAGTATTGCCCCGCAACCTCTCCCTAACCCGTGATATAACCCTTGTAGAACACCTTGTGCAGAGGTAGCATATTCCGGTGGTGCGATTTTCCCAATATAGCTAGTGCAAGACGCCCACACTGCCGCATGGGTAATTCCTTGCAGGATTTCTAAAGGCAACACATGCCAAGGATTTGATAACAGTGAGATAAATACAAAGCGAATAATATTTCCTATTAAGCCTAGATATAATACGGGAACATGTCCGATTTTTTGTATAATATACTCCACTTGAAAATAACAAATAATTTCGGAAATATGATCTAATAATGACGCAATGCCAAATAAAGTGGGCGGCCCACCTAAATCCTCGAGATGCCAGTATAAGAACGTTGAAATCAAACCATAACCACATCCCATAAAGAAAGCAACGAATAGAAAGGAAAGATAACGAATTGTGAGGAGAACCCGCAGAAGCTGTAGTCCGCCACCAGCTTTCGATTTTGGTTGCTGTTCTTTTGAAATAAAGGAAAAACGGGTGGCGACCAGTAGCGCACACGACATTAACACAACAAAAAAATAAAATGCTGGCGTGTAGTTGTTACTAACAACTTCTCCACATACTTCATAACCTTGTATCTTGTCGATAACGAAACCAAGTACAAACATTGCTGTTCCCCAACCGAAACTTCCCCATAATCTTTGTCGACCATATTTATCTTTTTCGTCGCCAAGTAATTGTAAAGTCGCTGAGTCAGCTAAAGTTATGGCGGGTGCTGAAAAGAATTCACCAATGACTGTTAGAAATAATAACACAAGAAATACTTGATGTACTCCGCTTGGACTAAACACAAGAGAGTTTTTAGCTTTTGGTTCGGGTGGTAATGTTTTTGTCGCTGTTCTTGGGCCAAGAAAATCTCTAAGTTCCAATGTTGCATGTTTTGAGATTTCCGATACATTTTTAGTCAGTAGAAAATATTTTTTGCACGACACAGGTGCCGGTTTAATGAAAGCAAACGAGAATGTAAATGAAATCCATGATACTAGTGAGAATAATAGTAAAGTTTTTCTTCTGTCTAGTTTATCAGCTAGAGAGCCAAGCATCGGAGCACTAACAAACTCCACCATAGGTCTACATCCAACTAACGTTCCACTTTGACTAGGGCTCATCCCAAGTTGTTTAAAATAGACACCTAACAAAGGAAGAAATGATCCAACTGCTCCCCAGTAGAAAAAATAAAATATCTTTGAGACCAAAAGTTTTCGATTTATGTGAAATAAACGTTTCGACGGGCTTGCCTTATTACGATTTGGTAATTTCTTTTCTTCAACTGTTGATGTATCCATGTCATCCATTGTGGCAATGTAAATAGAATTTAATTTATTGACTTGTACGCAGCTGTACGCATTCTGTTATGCTCATGAATTATTGATTGGCAGTAATTGTAGAATTTCTGGTGTTTTATAATGCTAATATTATTTACTAATATGACTTGGATGGCGGGACATTTATGTAATTGTTGATTCTTATTTGGCAATAAATTTTAAACTGTAAGAATAATGACATTTAAATCTTCTTATAGTCACCCGGAAGGGTCGGAAACAACTATAGCTATATAGACTATAAAGCTCACACGGTGCGGTTTTAGTCGGCTGATTAAGGTACCATTATTTAACGAAGCCAAATAATGAGCCCCTTTTTTAAGCCAAATAATGAGCCACATTGTTCTCGTTTTAACGTGCAACTAAATCACAAATCGGCCGACTAAAATATGAAAATCGCAGCGAGGCACATCGTTATTAAAGGGAAACATATATATTGTTAATTTGTTTGTTTGTTTGTTTACAACCAAACAAACAAACAAACAAACAAACAAACAAACAAACAAACAAACAAACAAACAAACAAACAAACAAACAAACAAACAAACAAACAAACAAACAAACAAGTTGAACAGAATTACTTAGAGTTATAATGGTTCAAACATAAAGTTTCCAAAGATTGGATTGTGGTACAGTCTTTAACTGTTGGTGGTAGGAATTCCACAATTCAATTCTAGATTTCTAGTGTATCTTTTTAGTTCTTCGGTTCTAGGTTTCCTTAGGGAAAAAGTTTGTTTTCGTCCTGTGTTATAGTTGTGATTATCCTTATGTGGGATATGATCAATGTTAACACCCTCTGATTCTTTATGTAAAAAATTATACATAAGAACGCACGGTTTCCGTCATTCCTCTGTTGGAAAGGGAAGGCTTAAAAGAGGGGGGGGGGGAGTGTGTGATAAATTTGTTTATAAAAATGGTGTAAAGAAAATCAATAAATCTAGTTTAAAAATCTAGACATGTGTTGTATGAATACTGGGGGCTTAATAGAGAGGGATTAATATGAGAGTGGGGGGCCTTAACAAATTTCTTCTTTTAAAGAGAGGACTTATTAGCTAAAGAGAGGAGTTATTAGAGAGAGCGGACGTATTTGAGAGGGGGCTTAAAGGTGACTGACACAAATTCTAACTAAAGGGCCCACAGTAATTGGTGTAAACTGTTGTGGTGTCCCCGCCTCTTTTTATGTCTCGTGTATATGAATTGTTGTGCTTGTATTGTGTACGTTTTTTGTCAAGGCGAAGCTAAATAAATAAATAAATAAATAAATAAATTTTTTATTGCCCTATCTGAAAGAATCGTCAAAACTGTAAAGCAACTTCTTTTGCACATTTTTGTTTACGTGCTTCCTTGATGGGATATTCAGTTTTCTTGATATGCAGTGCAAACAAATTTACGTCACACTTTGCATAATGAGTTATCGTTAAATGTCAGGTTATCGCGTATATATAAGTGATTAAATCGTTTGAAAATCCATATATGCGTTATACTGAGGACAATGTAAAGCATATGCAATTTTGCAAAAGACGATTTTGGATACAAATACATAAATTATCAAATATTTGGTAGCTCATTATGCAAACTGTGACGTAAATTTGTTTGCATTGCACGTGAACAAAACTGAATTCTCTCACCAAGGAAGAATGTAAACGAAAATCTGTAAAAGAAGTTACTTTACAGTATTCACTATTCTTTCAGATGGGACAATAAAAAATTTCGTGTCATGTCACCTTTAATAAAAGGTTTACGTGGTAATGCAGTTGAGTTGCTTGGGAACATTCGCAGATGGTATAATTTTTTCATTTAAAATTACCCGAGCTGTACGGTTTTGTATTTGAAGCAATATTTTTAAAAAGCATTGCATGAATCCCAAACAAGGTCATAGATATAATAGTCAATCAGTGCCAGACTCGAACGGCCAGCGTAGGTAGTGACAATAACACCAGAAAGCTGCGGATTGAAGGGGTTGAAAAATACAAGTAAAACTTAATTCGACTTTTCGAGCCATTCTTTTCGAGCCCTTCGTCAAACTCAATCCGCAGATTTATAGTCAATCAATGGTAGAATGGTGGCATTAAAAACAAGCTTAGTTGTCCAGTAATGGTCTAATACGTTTCATCGCTACGCACATCTGGTCTAATACGTTTCACCGCCACACATATCCATACTGCAAACAACATCCCAAAAACTACGAGTGCATAACATTATTAACATATACTATAGCGAGCTAATTATAGCCTAGCAAGAAGGAGGCAATCCTATAACCTCGCCTAAGTTCCCTGGGGACGAGGGCGGGTATTCTTTGCCGCACCCAAATATTGTATATCACCTGTTAAAAGTAGTATAGCCACCTGTTTAAGTAATAAACACATCTTTAGTGAAGTGAAACTAAATCACAATATCTCTATGAACTCTATTCATTCTTGTTTATAAATATTTTTAAAATATTCCAACTAATGCCATATGGCAATCAGACAGAAGTGGTCAGTAATTTAAGGTAGGTGTGTTTATCTTCATATATATATTTTTAAAATGACAATCTATAATTATTATATAATTATACTTAGTGATACAGGATATTATACCTTTTGTTTATAATATAGAAAAATGCTCAATGTTATGACAGTTGTACGTAGTTCTTATTTCCATAATTTTGATCAATTTTAATGGTATCGAAGGTACTAGACTTAGTTCCGAAATACCACACACTCGAACTGACTTGGCCTCGTAGCTCAGTTGGCAGAGCATTGGACTAGTATCCCAAAGGTCGCGGGTTCGATTCCCTCCGTGGTCAGGCTAACTTTTCAGCTTGCACGGTGTGGACATACACTCAGAGTAACATCAAAAACATTATATTCACCTGAGTACATAACATCAAAACAGACACAAAAAAATTCTTTTAATTTTATTGGCTTACACACATTCAGTGCTCATCTAAATACTGAATCATGATTTTGATGCTAATAACTTCACATTTATCAGGATAGATAGTTTTAAAAAGTTGGTTACAGCCATACCTAATTTTAAGAATTTTTTATCACTGCACATTTTTGTGCAAAGTTTAGCCGAGTAGACTGAGCCTTATAATAATGATGAGCAGAGCCTTTTAATAATGTGTAAATGCAAAACAGGCTACAATTGATATTCAAAAATGCCTAAACCAACATACACTGCATAACATCCAAGTTAGGGGCCCAGAGCAAAATTTGACTTGGGGGCCCTCGTGATTCCATCTTCTAACACCATGATTAGTGGGTTCGGGGGAATCCTCCCCGGGGAAATTTTGAAATCTGAGGTCACAGAAATTAATGGCCAAATCCTGCATTCTGGAAATCTAGTTGACCGTTATAATGTATATTTCACTGTAATTTTTGTTTTGGGGGGCCCCTTTAACTGGGTCCTAGAGAAAATTCCCCCCTCCACCTCTCTGGGCGGCCTTTAAAGCACCTGCAGTTTCGACTATCTATGACAGCATACTTTCATTATCCCGCCATGCTTGCAGAAAAGAAATATTTTCGTCTTGGCAAATAAAAGGCAGCTTAGGCGTGACAAGCCTCTTGAAGAGTTCCATGGGCGTGCACTCACGGAAAATTAATTGTGTAATCTAGGCTCTTTAAAAAAAAGCATTTCCTGCAATGTACGGGGGCATTCTATAGATTTCCTAAAGCTTATACACTAATTACAAAAAGTTAAGTTTCACTCGCTCCATCTTGCAAGCTCATGGAGAGTGATAGACTTTGTTCATCTGATGAACCTTATAAGTATAAGTATAATATTAGTGCGGACGTTTGATAATTTCATTCAATTTCATTAAAAAAATTCTCATTCAAAATGTTTTGATTAATACTGTCAAGCGTCAAGACGAATTTTTAGTTCAGTTCTTCTGCTCATTGCCTCATTTTCTTAACAACTTATCATTATCACAGCAAATTTTATCACTGCACATTTTATCATTGCACATTTGACTTTTTTGCCGTTTCTTTGTTGTTTTAGTTGACGTCATTCCAATGATTGTCCCCACCTGAATCAAATTAAACTAAAATATGACGTGATTGAAAGCCAAGAATTGCCTTTCAAATATATTTAACTTACATTATATTAATAATCAGTAGCAAGTTCACGATTTTTTGAAACATTGTCACGTGCACCTGTATGTGTTGAATTTTTAACTTTTCCGAACTTTGCATGGCAGTGAAAGTGTGATTGATAAAACCACAAACGTTTTAAACTCCGGTTTACATTGCAGTCTAAACCTCTATCGACTTGAAACTGACCTGACAGATCGCTTTCCCAATCACATTGATTGAACTGTACGATAACTTTAAACCGTAGTCTTTTTACCATTTTCATGAGGACAGATCTTTAATATTAAAAAGTTTGTAAAGACACCCAATTTCCCATGAGATAGCGCTGACCGCGCATGCCTGTTTTGTATGTGCAGGGACTGAAAATTGTGATTAGAGCAACTAGTAAACACTGAAAATTTGAAAATTTGAAAGAGACATGAACACTCTTTTGATGCTTTTACGAATGTTTAACTGTTCGCCAACCTTTCAAACGTTGTTGCGACGCGCGAAAAGATTCCCCTTATTACGTTTTCGTAACGGCTTTGCATTGTGGTTATAGTGGTATCACTGATAAAGATAGCGGCCTCGAATGAAAATATCGAATGTTTTCGCGAATATTTTGCTGTTGGCTATCGCGCATCTGACTCTAACTTTTTTAAAAGTTCTTGCACGGGTCAGGACAAAAAATAAGCCATCTTGAATATCAGTGATACCACTATAACCACAATGCAAAGCGCTACGAAAACGTAATAAGGGGAATCGTCAATTTCATATTAACATCCTCAATTTAAATACAATGATTCCGTACCCTTATATAAACTCTTGTACTCTTGCGATCTTAAACGCAAATCCTAATCCTATAAAGCCTGTTTCCACTTCAACCGTATCGTGTCGAAACGTAGCGTATTTTTTTGTTGCTTGAGCACCAGAGCGGAACTAATTAATGACAGTCGTACAAATGAAAACTAGCGTTTCAGCACACCACCGAACTGACATGGAAAACAGGCCTGATCCCACCCTAATCCTCGCGTGATATCTTTTTGGGACATTAAGATGGTAATACAACCTCTAAGTCCTTATAAAGTAGCACTCAGTCTACCCGGTAATGTTTTAACAATTTAATTAACCATTCACATGTTAGATAATCTTTACAGGTGCTTTGTTTTGCATCAGCAGTTTTAGTTTCTTTATCTGCTTTCGTCTTATGTTTTATTCTCGCTCTCATTATTTACCAATTTTAGTTGGAACGACTGAAATAAAAGTATGGACAAAAATATATTTGTGTTTCTTCTTTGGATGCTAACAGGTATGGATGAAACAAATTTAGAGTAACATCTTCCTTTTTAGAAAAACTGTTTTCGTACACCACTGTATTCAATTACCTGCTATACACAATTGCTAAAAGACGCTTAATTTTATAAACTTTTCATATACTTTTCACAAATTCACGAATTCTACCGTTTCTTTATATATTCAGCCATTTTATGTTCCCCACAAATCTCTATTTACCTAGACATAGACTAGCTTTCTAAACGAGTCAAATATTCAGGCATCATTAGAGCAGGAAGTCAAATATTCAGGCATCATTAGAGCAGGAAGTCAAATATTCAGGCATCATTAGAGCAGAAAGTTACAAGTCAAATATCCAGGGATCAATAGAGCAGAAAGAATCCACCAGACAAATACTGCGTATTAAGAATCTAGAGCATCCTGCTCAGGGAATTATTTCAATAACTTGGAAAAAAGAAAGTAAGAGAGCTTATCACTCGCAAAACCATCGAATTTGCTTTTAACTATAAAGGCTTTCGAACTTGCTCTATAAATAATAGTATCGAGTGTCCATAACAGCTATATATAACCTGATGCTTGTGATGTTACTCTGAGTGCATATATCCACACCGGGAAAGCTTGAAAAATATGCCTGGCCACGGTGAGAATCGAACTCCACGACCTTTGGAATACTATAGCTCAATGCTCTGCCAACTGAGCTACGCGGTCAGGTCGGTTCGAGTATGTGATATTTCGGAACTGAGTGTCTGAGTCTAGTTCCTTCGATATCAATGCAATCTAGTATGATTTTTCTGTGTTGGTGTAATGTACTCAGGTGAATAAGATGCTTGTGATGTTACTCTGAGTGTATATCCACACCGAGCAAGCTTGAAAAATATGCCTGGCCACGGTGGAAATCGAACCTACGACCTAGTTTGGAACACTTCCCACCGTGGCCAGGCAGATTTTTCAAGCTTGCTCGGTATGGATATACACTCAGAGTAACATCACAAGCATCTTATTCACCTGAGTACATTACACCAAAACAGGAAAAATCATCATTACTAGATTGCATTGATATCGAAGGAACTAGACTCAATTCCGAAATATCACATACTCGAACCGACCTGACCGCGTAGCTCAGTTGGCAGAGCATTGGGCTGGTATTCCAAAGTCGCGGGATGTTTGAAAAAAGTTTTTCCGGACTTTAAAAAAAGGGTCAAGTTAAATTATAAACATAAACCAGCTAAATTAAGGGTAAAAAAAAATTTCCGTACAAATTCCTGTTAAACCATGGGTGCAACCCTTATTTTTGGACAAATATCTGTAAAATTTACGTCTATGAATTCCAGACAATTCCCTCTGAAAGCCCTGTAAGTTACTTAATAACTCTACATTCTATCATTTAAAATCTTTGATTGCCCTGCCAATCCAGATAATTCGCCCAGGGGGGTATAGATACCCCCTATACCCCCTCAAGTTTCTGGAATCAGGGTAACTGTTCACCTTGATCTGAAGACAAGACCAGGGACGCCGGAACGATGTGAAGGCAAGGGGGCAGGTTTTCGTGAAAGGGCACTTTTGAATTGATATATACTAAGAGATGTTTGCAAAACATCGGGAGTTGAACTTCGCCATCATGTTTTCTATTTATTGGATGATAGGGGTGTGAGGGGGTTCTCCGCCAGGCGTTTGTGCTATTCTTGAAGCTCGATGACTGCATTTCTTGCGTTTTCTGAAGCAAATTCGTAAAAGAATTGCACTAACATTTCTGACAATTCGCTATTTCGCTAAGGCAATCCTTTAAATCGAAAGGGCACCTTTGCCCCCCTTGCCCCTCCTGTTAAAGGACGTATACTTTGCACGTTCATCAATCGTGGGATATTAAGATCTGATTCCACGAGAGCTTTTTCTCAGGGAAATGCGAAACATTTCGCACGAAATGAATTCGTGCATGCGCAGTAAAGATAGTCTTTCGAGAAAACATTTCGCTTCGCCAGTGAGTAGAAGTCAGTTCTACTCACTGCGAAAGTGAATGAAAATTCAATAGAATCACTCATGTGCAACCATCCATATTTCGCAAACACATTTTCGCGCTACAAATTTCGCCGTCATGGAATCAGGCCTTTAATTACAGGCTTTGCGAATAAATATTGAAGTGTTTAACTTTCTATCTTTCCATTCATTTAGCTACATACTATGTAGAATGCGGTACACGAGGCAAGCCAAAGCGAGTAACAGCCACGACTGAGCCACATCCTTATACAATTTCGTTCTTCACATTTCCGCCCGGAGCCGCCAACGAGCTTTTAGAACCAAAACGAGAATCAAAAAGAGACAATGAAGGTACGAAAAAGGAATAATTGATAGTTACATAAAAGATGGGGTAATTTATCTTTTATACTACAAAATACTTACACAGTCATAACAATTTGTTTATTTACTCCTTCTTCTATACTTTTTTCTTTTTCATTAATTTCATCAGGGGGGGGGGGGGTGGAGGAAACAGAGGGGCTGGAAAACAATTCGGCCCCCGCCAGGAAAACTTGCAATTGAATTTTAAAAATAAACTGCGCTGATTGGCCAATTAATGATAATAATAATAATCCATCCTGATTCACGGATAGCATAGACTCGCAAATAAATGATAGTGAAAGAATTCATGAAAGGGTCTAACAAAAGATATATGGAAGACTCTGAGAATGCCATTCATTTGAACTCAACTGAATGTTCTATTTTCAAGATTTGTCTACTCATCAAAAGATAAAACAAGCGGCAACAGGGACAGACTCGAAGGCGAAAGAAGATAAGAAGTCATCTGACGTTTCCAAAGAAACTAAGTTGTCTTCAAAAGTTTCCAAGATAACAGAGATAAAAAAGGTCAAAAAACAAAAAGACAAGAAAAAGCACCATCAGCCTAAGGAGAAGCCGAAAATTTTAGATAAGGGTGGGAAAATAACTGAGGATGATCTTGACCGAGGAAGACATAGAGTCCAACCTCTAGAGCCATGGAGTCTTGGTCCATTTCATAATAAAATACAGTTTAATAAACATCATACCACTAATACGGAACAGTAAGTAATATACTGAAATTGTTTTTATACATTTATCCTCAGTGCATTTTTAAGGATTCTTCAGTGGTGGGGCAAAACTGCCAAAGGGCCCATTTTCCTTGCCCTCCCCCCAGCATAGTATGCGATCGCCGAAGTAATTTTTCTCCATAGACAGTCGGACTCCTCATTGATAGTCGGACACATCATTAACACGCACCCTTAATCAAAACATTCAGCGGATACTCTTCTTAATATTAGATGCGCTTCCCAGTGTGTCTTGCGCGCGCAATTGGTAATTTCAAAATATTGGTTGGTTCAGATGCCAAAATCTGAGCAGGACACATTGTGGCTTCATATCTTTTTTGGTGATCACATCTGACATATTTTATTAAGTTATATATTTCGCCATTCCCACTTACTTTTCTTTGCTTTTGTAACTCTTTTTTGTAACTCTTTTCTTTGCTTTTGTAATTCTTTGTAAGTTTCATTGTTTTTGATTCCATAATTCAGAACAAATATTAATAAGATCTGGATAGGAGACAATAAGATCTCAAATACTAGTATATACGTATCCAGTGAAATAGTGGCCGGGCTACATGATATATTACTAGTACTAGCATGGGCGGGTATTCTGCAGTACGTCCTCTCTTCAATTGGGATGACATATAGTTTTAACTCGCAATAACAATTTTTGAGTGTTCACAGAACCAGAAAAAACAAGTTTGTAGATTTACTATGGCATCGCAAAGCAAATCGTCCATCTTTTTACATGTGGTCGAAGAAGAACAACGTGGAGTGATAGATATATGGTGTACCAGTAGGTTACGCAAGGTACGAAGGGATAAATCGATAACGCGCGGAGACCTGGACGCAGATCAGTGATGCGTCCAGCTATCAATGAGACCCACCAAGGGGTTATGACCGACAAGCAACATTCCTTAAAAAGAGGCGACAGACTATCTAAAAAAGAGCGACAAACAACAGCTTCTGACTGGGAAAAAGCGACAAATTGCGATTTGTGTTATAGGTCAAAAGTGACAGCGACATTTATTACAATAAAACAAGCGACTACGCAGCTACAAAATGAGTGACAAGCGACCTGGGTTACATAGGCCTCATCAATGAGGAGTCCGACTGTCTAAGGAAAAAATTTGCATCGCCGAATGTGTGAGCGGCGTGCCGCAGGCACAAGTTTATTGATTAGGGGGTTGAAGCTGGGGGCATGTCCCCCAGGAAATTTTTAAAATTGGGTCTCTGAAATAGCATTTCCTGCATTCTGAGAACACATTTTAAATGCTAAAATTTGTAATAAATTCCATGCTAAACATTCAAACACAACATAAGTTTAAGTATGCTCACCAAGAAATTTTGATTTTTAACTAAACTTCAATGGTAAACTCATTTACCCAATACAGGTCCTAGGGCCCTGGCTTTGGGGCAATAGGCCATTTTTTTCTTCAGTGGTGGGGCAGAGGAAGGGGCCTAGTGGGGAAAATGCCCCACCAGTCCATGGTATTAAAAAATGCCTTGATTTATCCTGCCTATGTTCTTCAAATTATCTCTCCCACAGGAATTGTGTTTTTAGGTTTTCTAGGTATATCATAAGTTTTTTGAAGATAATATCAACTGCATCTTGTCTTCAGGTCCACAAGATCATTACATATTATAGATTTTATTAATAAGCACTTTAATTGTTATACGGTAACCGTATGTTCCAGTTAAATTCGAAAAGAATTAGTCCTCCTAGCCTACAATGCATATTTCACTCGCCCAGTTATGAATAATATACTTTGCTTGCACATGACGTCACTACGTGTCATTAGGCGCGATCTTGGTTGATTGTAAAGTTTTGTCCAGCCGTTTACATCGAAATAGTTGAGTTACTTTGATATTTTTAGTCTGTTTTGAAAACATCTTACCGTATTATGCAGAGCCTTTTTAAGGATTTTCCCAGGGGGGGGGGGCATTTTTTGAAAAGGGATATAATATATGGGATATAATATATTAGAGGGGGATAGCAATGTCTGAAGGCTACGTGTGTCGCCAATATACCACGCCGGGGGAGTACTCCCCCAGAAAATTTTTGAAATTTGAATCCCAGAAATCTCATTTACTGCATTCTGAGCATCCAAATTTGCTCCAAAATTTATGCTAACTATACTTGTATTTGAAATAAAAAAAGGAAAAAATGGACAAAAAGTGAAAAAAATTAACCATCATTTATCATTACTTATTAGAGGGATAATCCCCAGAAAATTTTTGAAATTTGAAACCCGGAAATGCTATTTCCTGCATTCTGAGCATCCAAAAAATAAAAAAATTATTAACAATAATTTATCATTAGTTAGTGGTAGAAAAAAGTAACAATTTAAATCGATTTTGTTAAACAAGGACAAAGGATAAAGCCTAAAACTTACTTTCCGTTTATGTATTTGTTAATCTTCGCTGGTTTGTTTCTATAATTTTAGGGAAAAGGGACTTTTCCTGGGGGGGCAAAATGTGATTTCGTGGGGGGGCACAAGGGGGGACTGGGGGGGCATTTGCCCCCCCCCAGCTTGTATGTTAAAAAAGGCCCTGGTATTATGGATAGTTTACGATTTCTGGCGCAATACGACAAAGAATGAAGAATATAGATTTTTAGATGGCGTCGATTAAACGAACAATTACTTTAATAGGACTGAAACTGACTGAGGTTCAAATCGTTCTTGAGATTCCTTATGATATTTATTGGGTTTTATTTACACTTTTTATAGCTTTATAAGTGAACTGTGTTTACTGGACTGTAATTTTTTCTTTAATTCTAGAGCTGAATCGTACCAGGAAGGCAGCATTAGCCATCCATCACACACAATGTACCCAAAGTGCCACCACTGTTCCAGTAACTCCTCATACGAAGATTGTTCGAGTAAAACAACTTTAAAGAAGTGTGATAGTGGTCTGAACAATATTTGTTATACAAAGAGTTTTCGCAGTAGTTCACGTGGTGTTATTTACGAAATGGGTTGCTCAAATCATAAAACATGTCGGAAGGCAAAGGCTGCTCCATGCAAAGGTAAACTATAAATAGACAACAAACAACAAACAACAAACAACTAAACAACAAACAACACCCATACAGATAGAAGGCAGACTGCAAAAAGAATCGTGGCATCAATTATTTCTACTCAATACATTTTAGGAGCAATGAAGAAATGTTTCGTTTGCTGTCAATTTAACGGATGTAATGCACTGGAACATCACTATTTCCAGTCCCCTGAAAGCAACGACGATGATAATCTTGGATATTCAGCATTTAACAAAGCGACCAGATCTTGGCAGTCAACGTGGAGTTCCCTGCTTTCTCTTAGCTTATCACTGGTTGTTTGGATACTGACGTGATATGTGCCGTGCATGTTACGGACAGGTTTGCAAAAAAATAAAGAAAATAAAAAAAAAGGAATAAAGACAAAACATTCATTGTGGTATCGCTGTTAAACTATAACATTATACACTTTTTATATGAACTCACAGATACGTTAATATTGTTCACGTTTAATTATACAGAATCTATAATGGCAAAAAGAAATATATATCGTGTCTGTAATATTCAACAATCTAATAAACAGATCTGTCAATCAAAGATTTGTCCAGGGAAACGTTATAGGTTAAATATATACAGAGCCTGTATTACTCAGAATCACAATAATCAGCCAAGTAAACTCAGTCTAGTGGTAAAATAAAGAAGTTGTGTCAAGGTCGTTTATTTACTACGGACTAGATGATTTTGTGCTAATTTAATAAACGCACATGATCGATTGAGATAAGGTACCATCTTTAAATTATGCACAATATATGATATTTCAAAATGTTCTATTAAGGCTGGTTTACACGATCAAAGTTTCTGTGATCACAATAGGAATTTAGCATAGATCAATTATAAGTTTTGAAAGATTTTTAAGAAATATTGGAGGGAACTGACTCAGTGCTTTCCCCATTCCTATTTCTCACGATGTTTATTTGACACAAAACAAAGCTTTCAGAACAGCAGGTTTCATAATGCGAATTCAAAATGATTAGTTTTTAGTACCAGGATACTGACGATATGGTTAAAATCAGCCTAGACCTAGACCTTTACTCGGCTGGCTTTGGCAGGTATCTTTGGCAGGTTTGGTCAATTTCCGGCTAGCATTTGGTAATTATCGCAATGGTCATTTATCACCTAGTCCCAGTCTTTTCATGTGAAAAAGCGCTGAATATTAAAAAAATATAAATAAAAATAGAAGGCCTAGGTCTAGGCTGGGTTAAAATATATAAGTAGTACACTTGGACCAGAAGAATTATGATATAAGGCTCAGAGGCAAGGAAAACTAAAAAATATGCACAGAACTATGGTATGTTTCCTAAAGACAAGTCCCATGAAAACATTTGTCAAAACATTGACATTGCCTTGGTATAGATAGAGTACATTATTTCTGCTTAAATTGCTTAACTACAACAAGTACTGGTTGGGGCTTGTCCACATAGCATAAATATTTGCCTGATATTAATCCCACCCTTTCTGACAAGTACTAAAAATGGACATTAATCATCTATCATGTCCAAAACCGTTGTTCAAGTAAACAGGTACCAGTAACAGAAGACTATAAGAAGAACATTACCATTTTGTATATTGCCTCGGTTTCTGCAGGAGCTAAAAAATAAACATTAAATGTGCAGAAATATTATTTAAATTATCAACATTTTGTCACGATGTCATGGGAATTATTAAATTTACTCCTCTTCGGAATGCATTATTCCCTAGTCCTCGGAACACAGCCGAGCACGGACCCAAGGCGCGAGCACTGGCAAGGTGTCATTGAGCATAATAGCGATCTATGCGTGCAAAGTTCATATACCGTACATCGTGAGAACAGTGTGGAGGAGCGATCAACTGAAGCACTGCATGAGCATATCGATCATTCTTATGAAAAGCACAACGACGATATTGAAGTGAATAGGACACACAGGGAAAGTCACACACAAAGCAAACTAAATCGACGAAGAATTTTTAAGAGAGGAACGATGACAAAGTTTATTAACGAATGGATATTGTTCATGTTTATCTTACATTGTTTGTTTGCTGGAGCTTTACTTGATCACATTGGAACCCACTGGAACATACAATTAACATTTGAACTGTAGCGAAAATGTCGACATTCATAAGTCTCAGAAGATATTTCTACTATCCCATTCTATTAATGACTGGCGCATTAATAGAAAACCTACAAGAACAGCTGTAACCTAGCCATTTGAAGAGTTTATTCTTCCAACGTTTGTTTCTAAAAAACCGGCCGGCTAGCTACATTTCGCAGTCTGAAAACAGAAAAGTCCAGAGGAAAGTATGCTGCCCATGAATGAGCATTTGAACGCTCGTAGCCTTGATTCTATAGATTTTGAAAAAATAAACAGATACATTTTACATGTATTACTCTTGACCAAATGAAAACATAACACTGTATTCATGAATAACTGAATGGAGGGCAGTCAGAGACTGCATACCTCCACCAGCGAATTCAGTTTTGTATCATGCATAAATTACACAATGGGTAATTACGCATTCAATTTACTCTGCCCGGGAAAGGAAGACAAACCTTTGCTAAATTCTTATCCAATTTTCATCCAAATTGAACCGAAATTTACTCGATTTGTCCTTGGACTATATTACTATTAGTCGCACAAATTTTCGTATTAATACATTGGGTATTTTTCTTGTTATGTGTGACAGACAAACACGTGCATGCATACATGTAGATATACACACACTGAAACCCAGGAGTAAAACCATTACCTCCTGGCTCCTGGCGGAGGTAATAATAAGAAACAAAATGTCTGACAAATGACAATGAACTGTTGAGAAGTAAAATATAAATGTCAATCATAATTTTCTAATATAATGTTCATGCCTTCGTCTTATAACATGTGGAATATCTCGATATTTTGTATTTACATGTTTACAACGTACGCGGACGAGTTCGTCAATTAATGCCTTTTTGTATTTTCTCCAATTTCTTTCCATTATATAACTCTTGAAAGCTTCTTTTCGGCTTGGATATGATGAAATTAATTTCTGGCGTAGAAGAGCTAATTCTCGACCACCATCGTGCTTCTTGAAAACGCTGCGTTTTACAAGGAGGCATTCAACCTGACAGAAAGGCAATATACATTTCACATGAACTATGAAGAGATAAGTTTCACGGATTCACAAAATTCTTAATTTTATAACTGAAGTACAAAGGGAGCACACTTGAATAAATTGGCAGTGCGAAACATGTAGACTGTAGACGCCAGTGAGCGCTATATATATCTGGAGCAAGAACTTCAATCATTCGGCCATAGGTAAGAAATGATTCGGTCTATGAGAAAAGTGAAGTCAAGAAAGTGCCAAGATGGCAGCCATTGCCAAGATGGCAGACGTCCAGATCTATGAAGGTTGTAAACAGTTTTAGTACCATTTTCCCCAGCTAAATCCAGTGTTTTCTAACGGACCGTATCGCTAATCAAGTTTTCAGTTCATGAAATCATAATATTAGTCTTTAAATCGAAGTCTTGCCAAGATGGCGGAAATTAAAGAGCTTATAGGACGTCAGTCCCTTTCTTTTGTTTTGTCTGCGCGGTTAACACGAAGCTGAGCCCACTGGTAGAAGCCTACCATTTGATCTTTGAGGTGAGGGTGGGCGTTTTGGCATAAATATATACGACTACGGTGTTTTGGTATAAATATGAAAATACTAGATTCTCTTAAACACACCAATCCTCATCTCTTGTTGTTTCTTGAAGCACTACAAATTAAGTTTCATAAGCTACAAATTAATAGCAGGGCTTTCAGACTTCGAAAGAACTCGTGGTGTTCATCGTCACGTGTGTATTGTATTTTCGCTAGAGCAACCAATAGCTATGTTTTCATTTAACCATTATGTAATATCACGGACTGGGCAATTAAACCAACACACTGCTATTGGTTGGTTGGGCGAAAAAACAATACACATGCACGTGACGATGAACGACCATTTCTTGCTAAACCAGACAAAAAAATAGATAATGAGGTTTATTTTGTCTGCATCGAGTTTCCTAATCTTCTTATTCTATTGACTATGATTCGGTGAGAAGGGGCATAAACCCACGTCGATCGATTTGGTCTATTCTCTGGTTTAATATGACGTCACGTGGGCGGTCAAGAGTCTGTGTCAAGGGCAAAGGACGGCTTTTATATTGTTTTATATTGGCTTTTATAATAGATGCTTTGCATGACAGCCATTTTGTTTTTTTTGTTGTTTCAGTTGACCTCAGCTCAATGATTGACCCACTTCAGTCAAATTATGCTAAATTCTAAAATATCACGTGATTGAAACCCAAGAATATTAGAATTATCATTTAATTACCTTCTCCTCACTGACTATCCATGTCTGATCGAGATTTTCACCAACACCAAAATATCCTCCATGACCGATTATCATCAAAACCAAATATCGTTTCTCCAGTGACTGATCTTTCGACAGTTCAGGAGGAGTCTTGCCAGGTCGAACCAGCGCGAGATGACTTTTTCCAAATGGTAATTTGGTTTTAACGACTGTCACTTCACGGATTACCTTGCATCTGCCAGATTGCACGAAATACACAAATACTTCGTCGTCATCTTTTAAAATAATCTGTAAAAGTAAATGTATACCTAGGAAAACCCTCATTCTTTAAAACATTGCATGAAGAATTTGGTAATAACTTTTCCTTTGTATCAGACTAAGAAATGTTAAAAATCCTGAAACTTTATAATTGTAAAGATAAAAAATGTCATTTAAATATTTTCCAGCCAGAGCTTTTTCTGTAATATCCCGTGGAAAAAGCTCGCAAAGACTAGCCATGGAGATCGTAGCAACGTGGTTGGTTAGCCACAAAATACGCCACGAAAGAATCGATTCCATGTTTTCCCGCCGAATTTTTGTACGATTTGTACGAATTACAAATTAAAGTGGAAAATGGACTTCACGTACAACCGAGAAGATCACTACTTTCAAAGATATTTGACATGTTCTACCTATATGTAAGTCACAGTGCTGTGTTTTATCACAGGTTTTATGCGCCTATATAGTTTTTATACGAAGGCCCTTCGCTCAAAACATCAAAGTTCTCCTTGTATTTTTCAGGCAGTTGCATCCCTACCAATCCAAAGTTTTCTTATTATTGGCACAACCTACATGGCTACACTCTCACCAAGGGTGGGTTGACTACAAAGATTTTGTAGTTCGCTATAACTACAGCTACTTCAAAAATATGTAGTCAGCTACAACTACTGCTACTTTTGAACAAAGGTAGTTCGCTACTGACTACAGATGCTGCTTAAAAAATGTAGCGAACTATTTCGCTATTTCGCTACGCCATATTTTTTAATTTTACTGTATTTGGAACATCTACTATAGCTCAGGCTGTAATGTAACCTATAACAAATCGACTTACGAGTAGCAACAGTAAACACAAAGCAACATTTTTGTAAGCACTACAGTGTTCAAGAGTGCAAAATGACTATTGAGTATTGATTTTAAGCAAACCGTGTCTCAATATCACGCTATTCTATCAAGTTGCTAACAACTTTAAAAAGTAGCACTACTTGGCTACTTTCAGTGCTGTAAGTAACTTCGTTACAAGTAACGAAATTACAAGTAATCGTTACTTTTTATGGTAACTTTATGGGTAACTAGTTACATTTTGTAAAGAGGTAACTGTAACTGTAACTAGTTATATTTTTGCTAAAAATGGAACTATAACGAGTTACATTTGTTAACGTTACTTTTCCGTTACATTTTCATGGTCATTTTTACCATTTCTGTAATGCTTTTACTCTGAAATGAACGGTTCGTAACACTTCGTTATTTCAAAATCTTACAATATTCCAATGCATTCTAAGGTGGGCTACATAACGTCCATCCTGTTTTGGTTTTGCTGACCACTGTTCACGGGCGCATATTACTCATATTGATATTGTTTCATTGTGATTTAGTTGAATAATTCAATATTTAAACATAGTAATCATAGGCGTACCGGGCGGGGGGGGGGGGCGGTAGCCCCCCCAGTTTTTTGGGCAGTCGGGCAATATTCGATCAACAGTCGGGCAATTTTGGTTTGCAATAAAAAAAAATAGGACAAATTCTGTCAATTTTGTCTAAAATTAGCAAACTAAAATTGGCAAATTTTGTGATTTTTCGAAAATTTGTGTTATGTTCCGAAAAATATTGGTTGTCCGGAAAATTTTTTTGACCCCTAAAATGGCACACTGACCGAAATTTTTTTGGCGACGGGGGGGGAGGGGTAGGGAGGTCGCCGAAATAATTTTTCCGGAAAAAATTTTTTGCTATTAGTCGGGCAGAATCCCGAAAAGTCGGGCAATTTTCTTTCCGCCCCCCTAATTTTTTCCTTCCGGAACGCCCATGATAGTAATCTTCAGAATTTAACGCGTAATTGAGCATGACTTCATGCGAGCATCCTTGGCCGTATTTGGCAGAGATGTTTGAATGCAAGTCGGTCAAAGACAAAAACGCAAAACTGCTTTGTTTGCTCTGCCGACCAAAAGTTAAAGAGTGTTCGTCCAGTGTGTCATCGCTTTCAAATTTACGCAAACACGTTCAGGTAAGTAACTGATTTTAGTACACATTTTTATTGCACTGGTAAATTTACTACATTGGACTGATTGAGTGATTGGTGAACTGTGGTAATTTACATTTCACAAATTCATATATTAAACTTAAACTGAATAAAGAATATATGAAATTTCAAATTAGTTTTTCATAACTCTGAGGATGATTCCGAAATTAAATTACATTTCATTTTACAGCCCATGTAATTTTTTAATCTCTTAGATTCATGTGCTTCATTGCACACCGCAACAGGAAGGGTTTTTTTCACTCTAGTTATCAATTGTTGAGTTAGGAAATTAGAATGGAAATATTAAAGTAGTCTATAAACTATAGAAATTACTGATAGAACCTACTATATAGACCAGTAATAAGATTGTAACACTGAAATATACTGTAAAATATTGTTGAAATTATCCTAAATTTCAGAGGGTGAATCCACGTCAAATGGACAGATTTAATGAAATTTGTTCAAGTTCTCATAAACGAAAAGTGTCTAACGAGATTTTTGAAACACCACAAAAACGGGAAAAGCAGCAAAAAGTAGATGTTATGATAGCAGGTCCTGCAAATGCCAATCTAGTATCGCCAGCCAAAGTGAACGACCTCGTAGTTGAATTCATTACTGAGGGACTAATGCCATTTTCAGTCGTTGAAATGCCATCCTTCAAGGCGCCAGTTACAGGTCTCCAACCAAATCGGTCGGTAATAAGTAGACCAACAGTCATAAAAAGGATCAACGAGAAGGCGACCTTGGTTAAAGAAAATGTAAAAGATGCAATGGCAAAGGCTCAACATATTGCAACAACAACCGATTGTTGGACAGCTCACCGAAGATCATTCATTGGAGTTACCTCGCACTGGATTGATGAACAAACATTAGAACGAAAGAGTGCTGCTCTAGCATGTCCACGTCTCAAGGGTAGACATACCTATGATGTATTAGCTGCAAAGCTGGAAGATATCCATGTGGAATATGATATTCAGACAAAGATTGTCATGACAACAACTGACAGTGGGTCTAATTTTGTAAAGGCATTTTCTGTATTTGGAGCTAATGCTGAACAACCAGATGAGTCAGATGACTTTGTATTTGAAGATGTATCTGAACACCTTACAAGAGCGGAAGACAGCTTGGAGTATCACCTTCCACCCCATCATCGATGTGCTGCACACAGTTTAAACCTAGTGTCTACTGTTGATGCAGAGAAAGCCGAGGAACACCCGATCTATAAACGATTGAGCAGGGGAACTTTTGCCAAATGCCAGTCACTCTGGAATAAATCATCGCGTCCTCTCAGGCAGCAGAAGTTATTGAGGATGAATGTGGTCTTGTCCTATTGAAACCAAATGCAACCCGCTGGAACTCAGTATTTTTGGCAGTGGAGCGCCTGGTCCGCATTATAAAGGAGAAGGGTGAAAATGCTATCCACAAGCTATGCACAGAGTTCAATCTGCCCAAGTAAGCATGAAATAAATGTAGTAGCCCAGCAATCAAGAGTCAACAAGATTAATACATATATTCCATTTTATATTTGTATTTATTCAAAAGATTGAGGGTCTGTTTGTTTTAGAAATTTTTTTTGTCCTTTGTAGATTTAAAGCAGAAATCCAGTTTCTGAAGGACTATGCCCATGTGATGAAGCCAGTAGCACAATCATTAAATATTTTGCAAGGGGAAAACAATCATTCAAATGCTTATATGGGCTATCTTGCTCCAACGATATCACTGCTGAAAGAAAAGCTACTCCAAAGGAGAAGCTCAACAACAGGTTTGGAACCCCTGGTAGATGCTTCGTTGTCTGGTATTGATAAAAGATTTGGTTCAATTCTTGGTGATGAGAAAATCATTGCAGCAGCCATTCTTCATCCAAAGTTCAAGGACCAATGGACTGAAGACAAAGATTTGCTTCAGAAAGGTAATAGCCTAATAAGATAGTTTTACAGTTCCATAAACAATAAGTCTTGTGAATAGTTCTGTAATTTATTGAGTTACAGTACAGTCAATTATAGGATTAATTGATTTACAAGCATATGTGTTATTATTTTCTGCTTCATGTGTTACTTTCTCTTTAATTAAATCCTTACAGGCATTAATGTCATCAATACAAAACTGGTACAAGTCGCCACTGTTGGTGATAGTGAAGGTTCAGTAAAAAGCATAAATGAAGATGATGACAATGAGTTTTTCAAAAGCAAGAAAAAATCGTGTACATCTGAGTTGGAGTTGTTTCTTGACAGTCCTGCGGATGAATTGGCTATTTACTCAAGATTTCCCAAGTTACGTCAATTGTTTATTGAATTAAACACACCATTACCTGCAAGTGCAGCGTGCGAGAGGCTATTCAGCTGTGCTGGTTTAATTTTTAGGCCACACCGATGTTCGATGAAAGATGATAATTTTGAAAATTCTCTTCTTGTTAAGTTGAACAAAAAACATTTTATATATTGATTTAATCAGGTATTTTAATGTCTTTCAGTTATATTGAGCGAGTGATAACTGATAAGTGCCAGTGACACTGTACATAGCATTATCCAGTAATGTTTGATGTTTAATGTTTTTAGTTGTTGTTGTTGTTAGGTTATCGCGTTTTTAAGAAAAATATTAGGTTACCCATGTTTAGTTCATTAATTTAACTAAAAGTGATTGTAACATAGTGAAACCTGGAAAAGTAACTTTTACCAAGTTACAAAAAAGTGAAAGTAACTTTCAACTAGTTACAAAAAATTTATTGTAACTTTGTAACGGTAACTAGTTACATTTTTTAATGTAACTTTTACCAGTAACTCGTTCCATTTTTGAGCATGTAACTGTAACTGTAACTGTAACTAGTTCCAAAAATAAAGTAACTTTAACAGCACTGGCTACTTTTAGGCAAAACGCTATAACTACAACTACTGTTTTAAAAAAGTAGTCAAAAACTACTGGCTACTTGAAAATTGTAGTTCGCTGCAGTAGCGAACTACAACTACTTCGCTACAACCCACCCTTGACTGGCACAGAACATTCACTAGTATGTAGTTTACCGAATTAGCAGGAAACACCATAACTTTGGAATTAGCGTTGGCAGATCTGATTTCTTGCATAGACCAATTCTGAAAGTAAGATTGTTCTTTGAAGATCGTCATTTTCTTTTCATGGTCATATTGTTCACTATTTTTCAATACCTAAACAAAGATGAAATTAACAATAGAAATTTTGCAAGAATAGACTATACTGTTTATTGCACTTGTGCCCCAATGACCTCATTTCGTGGAGAATGGGTTTAAGGAGAGCAGTGGTGACGGCGGCGTAGCCACGGGGGGGGGGGGACTGGAGGGACGAGTCCCCCCCCCACTCTCCTCCAGTTCCACCTTCGAGATATGTTTAAATCCGTTGAGAAACTGGGGGTAACACTGATCCGATTTCATGTCCAGCTTATTATTCGCAATCTAATAGCTGAAGACGCAGGCATTCTTGACCGAATTATGATGTTATAATCTTCTGAATTTTGTAAAATCTCACCCCAAAATGCACGAAATGGCGTTTCAGAGGCTCTGAATTTCAAAATGTATCCGGGGGAGCATTCCCCCGGACCCTACAGTGTTCGGCCCTTCGACGCTCAACTTGTATAGAGATATAAACTTCATGTGTACCTGTCATGCTAAAACAGACTAAAATGAAAACGAACGGTTGATGCTTGCGGAGGGGACTAACATATTCTGATGCTTGCGGAGGGGGCTAACATATTCTGATGCTTGCGGAGGGGGATAACATATTTTGATGCTTGCGGAGGAGGCTAACACATTCTGATGCTTGCGGAGGAGGCTAACACATTCTGATGCTTGCGGAGGGGGCTAACGCATTCTGATGCTTGCGGAGGGGGCTAACATATTTTGATGCTTGCGGAGGAGGCTAACATATTCTGATGCTTGCGGAGGGGGCTAACATATTTTGATGCTTGCGGAGGAGGCTAACACATTCTGATGCTTGCGGAGGAGGCTAACACATTCTGATGCTTGCGAAGGGGGCTAACGCATTCTGATGCTTGCGGAGGGGGCTAACATATTTTGATGCTTGCGGAGGAGGCTAACACATTCTGATGCTTGCGCAGGGGACTAATATATCCTGATGCCTGCGGAGGGGGCTAACACATTCTGATGCTTGCGGAGGGGGCTAACATATTCTGATGCTTGCGGAGGGGGCTAACACATTCTGATGCTTGCGGAGGGGGCTAACACATTCTGATGCTTGCGCAGGGGGCTAACATATCCTGATGCTTGCGGAGGGGGCTAACACATTCTGATGCTTGCGGAGGGGGCTAACATATTCTGATGCTTGCGGAGGGGACTAACACATTCTGATGCTTGCGGAGGGGGCTAACATATTCTGATGCTTGCGGAGGGGGCTAACACATTCTGATGCTTGCGGAGGGGGCTAACATATTCTGATGCTTGCGGAGGGGGCTAACACATTCTGATGCTTGCGGAGGAGGCTAACATATTCTGACGCTTGCGGAGGGGGCTAACACATTCTGATGCTTGCGGAGGAGGCTAACATATTCTGATGCTTGCGGAGGGGACTAACACATTCTGATGTTTGCGGAGGAGGCTAACATATTCTGATGCTTGCGGAGGGGACTAACACATTCTGATGTTTGCGGAGGAGGCTAAGATATTCTGATGCTTGCGGAGGAGGCTAAGATATTCTGATGCTTGCGGAGGGGACTAACACATTCTGATGCTTGCGGAGGGGACAAACATATCCTGATGCTTGCGGAGGGGACTAACACATTCCGATGCTTGCGGAAGAGGCTAACACATTCTGATGCTTGCGGAGGAGGCTAACACATTCTGATGCTTGCAGAGGAGGCTGACACATTCTGATGCTTGCGGAGGAGGCTAACACATTCTGATGCTTGCAGAGGAGGCTAACACATTCTGATGCTTGCGGAGGAGGCTAACACATTCTGATGCTTGCGGAGGGGACTAACACATTCTGATGCTTGCGGAGGGGACTAACACATTCTGATGCTTGCGGAGGGGGCTAACATATTGTCATATTCTGATGCTTGCAGAGGGGGCTAACACATTCTGATGCCTGCGGAGGGGGCTAACATAATTTGATGCCTGCGAAGGGGGCTAACACATTCTGATGCTCGCGGGCTAACATATTGTCATATTCTGATCTAGCAGAGGGGGATAACATATTCTGATGCTTGCAGAGGAGGCTAACATATTCTGATGTATACCGACCTGATATTTTCATATTATAATTTGCTAAAATTTGTTGTAGGAAAGGATCAACGAGATCTAAATATACTCTTTGTTATAATCTACACCTATTATCGTTTGTGTTGCGCAAACAACTCGTACTGCATGTATAGGTCTCGTTTCTCAAATCTACCTCACGTTATTCTATTCGCTCTGTAACCAATATTGTCATACTCGCAACCTGATCGGATGTTTGTTTGTTATAAAGTATATGCAGGAAAAGATATATTCACATTATATGAGTCTGTCTTTATAACAAATAACAATCATATACTTCAAACCGACTTTTGCTCGGCAAAACTGGTTTATGAGAGCATGCAACAATGAACACAGAATTGTGTTTTAAAAGTCATCACATACTAGATGAACCACCTGCATGATCTGGGATTTTCTTTCAATTGCACAATTGGGACTGGGGTTTGTTTTAAAAATGCCCGGGAAATGAACAAGATAAATAAGAATATGATAAAAAAGACAAAAATTTGGGCTGGTACATATCTACGATAAGAATACTAGCCAAAGCTGAACATTCTCGAGTGCTCCTATACATGTATATCAAAACTTTGGGAAAAGACAAATTTTGATACAGCGAGGTATATTATAAACTGTACTTATATATATATATATATATATAGGCAATTCGAATTAATTTTATCATTGGGTCGCCGTTTCCTACAGGCACGCCCACTCAGAGACACATGGGGACGCGGGGAAAAATATACTTTGGGAAGCCGCCAGTAATGGTAAAATCTTGCATTGTACTAGTTGAGAAGTTATATCTATCCTTACAATCCTTTATACTACATGATATAACAATGCAAAGGCATTTTTAAACCGTCGTCGTAGCCGATTTGAAGTTGCAAAGAATTGTTTTTAAAACCGACATGCCGCCATCTTTTTATGGCGGATTATACGTCTAATCACCTGTGATTATATAGATGTAGTCCCCCCCTCTCCAGTCAGTGTTTAGTCGGGCAGTTTCTACTTAAAAAATCAGGTAATTGCTAGGCCTGTTCGCCTCGGTATAAATATATTGTCATGATATTAATGTTGAGATATTAATATTATATTTAGTCAGGGAAACAAAATGAATGACAGATTGAAATTTGTTTCATTCAAATTACATGCAGTAGAGTGAGTAGTTTTCTGTGTATCTTGAAATCCCAGAAATACTCGTAACTAGTTCTCATATTTTTTATTTATCTTTTTAAGATTGTTAATTATTAATAACATGATAATTTTTTTACAAATATCACATTAGACTTTCAATTAAATCAGGAAAATAGAGAAACAGTTCACTATATTAGACAGATAGGTCCATTCTCTACACTTCATATCAATAGTAGCTAATAAAAATTCAGTAAGTCTGGGTTATTCCAGGGCTTGTTTCTTCTGCAGTAAATGTAGAATGTTGCTCTCAGAGCTACCTCCACACATTTTTTAATAATATACGTTCATCGTTCATTTCAAGTGTTTGTAATAATCTACGAAATCTGTCAATATCTTTCGACACAAAACCTAGAGTCGTTACTTCAAGTGTAATAACTTCAAACGCATGACACGTCGTGATCAGCTCAGATCTTAGATAATAATATATAATATAATAATAATATAATATATAATAATAATATAAGATATAATATATAATATATAATATATAATATATAATAATAATATATAATATATAATATATAATATATAATATATAATAATAATAATATATAATAATAATATATAATAATAATAATATATAATAATAATAATAATTTTTTTTTAATAATAATAATAATAATAATAATGAATTTATTCAGAAGTATTTCCACGAATGGCTCTTCACCAACTGAATCTAGCTATAACTAAATACATATAAGGACATAATGTTTCAATTCTATAGTACACATGCATAAATTTATAAACTAGATAAAATAGGTAAAGCTTCAATAGTCATATTTAGGATGATAATCAATTCACGACGCGATGCATTAAATAACGTTTAGTCATATTACAAAATTGATTATAATCACAACAAGCCCTTATATCATCTGGTAAAGCATTGAAAGAGCTTGATGCAATATCCTGCAAGGTGTTAGATATTAATGGAACATGCAATCTAGGAGCAGAGCATGACCGTAGTGTCCGGGAGTGACTTACTCTAATTAGTTTAAGTCAGGAGCCTGTGTTTCTTCTATTTATCTTCTTTTCATCTATGAATGTCTATGCGTGATTATTTAGACGGGAAGCGTATATGTATAATATGGCGAAATTTATACACAACATGTGAACTAATTATATATAAATAACATTAAGCAGATATCTTGGTTGTGGGAATACAATCCTTTGAATGCAGATTACCAAAAGTGACAATCTTTGATCACACACATGTCGGTGATATTTAACGGAAAACAATGAAGTAATTAGGAAAACTCGGTATCGCATTGACGTGCTCTTATAATATATTTCTTGATTAGCCATATCATGCATTGGATGAAAAATATAAAAAGTGACACGAATCCGTTCATCTTGCACTTCTCAGACAAATCCGTTCAAGTTGAACTTCTGTAAAGTATTTAATTGGCTGCACCTCCCAAAAGGTAAGTGGACCGTGTTCATTCTATAAAATCTTAGACCTTAGAAGATAACTAATAGCAACAATACAAAACACATTCTAATTATAATGCAGTTATTCTTATCTTCCAATGTTTAATATTGTGAAGTGGACGAAAATCTCCAAAAGGTTTTAGCAATTTAGGATGGTCTGTTAGACCCAACGGCAACGATTAAATGATCGTGTTCAAGACTATAATTATGTTAAAGTATCAAAGTATCAAACCAATTGCGGTTTTTCGGGTAGAGCTGTTGACTCAGCAGGAATTAGCTAGACCCCAAGTCTATGCAAGGAGTGAACATTCCCAACCAACTAAACTGACCAAATATTGCATGGAGCAGAATGCTATTATACTATACAAGACATGATTAGAATTTTTTCTGAAAGCTTCTTGTTACTGTGCACCTTGTCATGCAAGGTCAAGCCCATTCCGGAGGGCAACAAAATCGCTTATTTTTTTAAGGCTGTGGTTTAACCAACACTTTCATTGAGTCCTACTGCGGATTTTAGTTCAGATTATAATAACTTAACACTGTAAATTGCGTTCGGTCTAATTTGTTTGCTCCCATGGACATGTTTAAAATTCTTTGGTTTCTGTCAACTGGTTATTTATGTTTTACTTTCGGTGAATTCAAATCACATGCACGAAAAATAAAATGAAAAGCATGAATCTTTCTAGATTCAATGAAAGTTGGACTTTCCTTCAATTGAAACTAAGTGTAAATGTTTAACTAATAAATAAGAGAATTTAACTGAAATAATATAATTATTTTTAAGACGATCACACTGAGAAAAAAATGGCAAATATTGGATCCTATGTCTTAGTCTGTCTCCTTATCTTGGAAAGTTTTATAATAAAGTGCTGTCCAGCCCAGTAAACAAGGTGTGTTTTACTTCTTGTGTCGTTTTGAAAATACACTTTTATCCCGAAGGAATAAGTGATTATCATATACTGAGACGTAGATTTTTTATTTGTCTTTGCCTTTGGCTTCTGATATGTATACCCAACATATATAGTGCTAATTCGGTATAGAAACATATTTACAATTTCGCACGAAGCCTCGTCCTCGGGCTATTGCCCTTGGGCATTCGACTGTAATTTGGAAATGGTTCGCTATTTGAATTTAGGGATACGATGAACCAACCTGATACTCAGGGTTTTCACTGCAGTGGGTTTCGGGGGGTAGCGGAAGTGAAAACCCTGAGTATCAGGTTGACGATGAACTAGCTCAATCCTATATATGCATGCTCGATCTAGACATGCAACAACAAAGATTATTCTACGTCACTAAACCTTCATATATTTATTTGGTTAAGACTTTCGTTTCATTAAACGCATCGTTTTAGCTAGTTTTTAGAATACCTTTATAAAAAGGTTGACGTCAGCAGGCTTGTGACGTAGTTTGCGGAGAAAATCCCGAAAGCTCAGACACAGAATAGGAAGTTATACCAGAAGCGTAACTCGAACAAATATTTGTCCGCGTTTTTACAAGCGATTCGTCATCAATCACGCCATCCTGGCTAGTACAACCGGCACTTTGTACCTACCAAATCCTGATAAAAACTTCCGGCTGTACTAGCCAGGATGGCGTGGCCTGACGTGAGCGAGTTAAAATTTTCGTGGACGTCAAACAATATAAGGAAAACGACTAGAGTTACGCTTCTGGTATAACTTCCTATTCTGTGGCTCAGAGTTGTTTACTTGTTTTGAGTTTTTTAAAAGCGAAAAGAAGCCAGTATTATGGTAAGTTTGAAGTATTTTTTTCTATATATAGGCCAAATGAGTTTTCATATTCGTTAGAGTTTAAATTTTATTTGTTTTTATATTAGATTGTACATTTATTTTACTGTCAACATTTAGCAAATTGTTCGCTCGGTTTGTTTACATATTTCGTTGCTAAAAAGTATATTTTTTTCTTTTTTTTGTTTCTCAAATTCATCAGTCTAGTCATCAGAATTGCCCAACCTGGCAAAACCTTGATAGAAAATTAAAGCTAGATTGTTGACCCAGACACGGAAAGTGTTAAACACGATTGATAAAAGCTACTTGTCATGTATGTTCACTTCAACTATTTATCGATAAAATAATAGACTTAGTCTTAGTTTATATGTCTAAGTTCACTTATGACTTATGTACCTCTTTGCACGATCACTGAGCAGTCTGAGCCTGTGTATTGCTGTTTACAGCTTGATTAGGGCCATTCTGATGATTAGACTGATGAATTCGAGAAACAAAAAAGAAAAATTCTACTTTTTAGCAAAGAAATATGTAAACAAACCGAGCGAACAATTTGCTAAATGTTGACAGTAAAATAAATGTAAAAACAAATAAAATTTAAACTCTAACGAATATGAAGGCCTATATATAGAAAAATTTACTTTAAACTTACCATAATACTGGCCTCTTTTCGCTTTTAAAAAACTCAAAACAAGTAAACAACTCTGAACTTTCGGGATTTTCTCCGCAAACTACGTCACAATCCTGCTGACGTCAACCTTTTTATAAAGGTCTATTGTATCATAGACAATCCAGAAGACAGGGACTGGAAACGCAAGCGAAAGCGCCTATGATGCTACGTGCCATCCGTGATATGGCTTTAAGCACGTCAATGCATGGGGTTGCCGCGCAACCGTGGTCTTTTTTTCAGAAAAAGCACAATGCGAATCCTCCGTTATTTTTGTTTATTTTGTGGATAAAAAGTCATTTATATATTCTATTTTTAGTTTATCTTTAAGACAGAGTTATTGTCAAGGTAAGTACGTTTTCATTTTTAATTTTAATTCTATATAGAGGTAATTTAATTCCAGTTTTGTCGAAGCATGTAATCAAAAATGTCGCACGTAAAATTAGGAAGTTGCTGGGAACCCTATATCTGGAGAATGAAGCTACAAATTGTCATTTGAAACATGCCATTATCATCTAAAATGAATCGAGGGTGCATTAGAGCAGTTACAACTACGTGTGATGTGTGAGTCCAGCATAAACAAGCTTTTTTCACAGTGACTACAAAATTTATGGCTACGTCTATACCCTCACTTTGTAACGTGTAACTATAATTTTAGCAAATTACAAGACATTTTATGTAGATGGTTTAAAGGAAAATAATACGGGCTGTGCATTTATCGCTTTTTCCAACTTTTTTTTGCTTTAATGAAGCTTGAAATCACCATTAACTTCGTGCGTAGTATTTTTGACTAAAAAATGTCGCCATTGTTGTTCTCGTAGTATGTGCCTACTAGGAACCCTATAACTTCACTTTTAGCGATTTTCAAAGCATCATTTTTATATATTTTGAACCAGAAAACAATAGGCTGTGCATTTGTTGCTTTTTTAATGTTCGTTTTGCTTTAATGAAGCTTAAAATCATCATTAACTTCGTGCGTAGTATTTTTGACTAAAAAATGTCGCCATTGTTGTTCTCTCGGTTGTTCTCGTAGTATGTGCCTAGTTGGAACCCTATAATTTCACTTGAAGCGATTTTCAAAGCATCATTTTTATATATTTTGAACCAGAAAACAATGGGCTGTGCATTTGTTGCTTTTTCAAAGTTCTTTTTGCTTTAATAAAGCTGAAAATCACCATTAACTTCGTGCGTAGTATTTTTGACAAAAAATGCCGCCATTGGCATTGTTGTTCTCGTAGTATGTGCTTTTATTTATAAAACAATACTCACATATTGACTTATACTCGAAACCCCGTACATAAACTTTTTATCTTATAGCTAGTTTAAAGGGATATGCACTTATCGTCTTCAAAACTTCTTTCAGTCATTTGATATTTATATTTAAGCTAAAAATCGCCAATGTCAATAATGAACTGTTTAATAAAATTTTTTACTGATAGATGCCATACAAAAAAGGATTTTCGTCTTTTTTCGAGATTGAAAAAGCAGCAGTTTAAAGTAATGAAAAAGGTTAAAAGTACGAAACGAAAACTAAGCAACAATCTAGAAAAGGCCAGAAAGGTATAAAATACTATATTAAATCATACCTAAAATAAATAGTCTGTCTTTAAATTTTGACCAAACAATGGACTGTAAACTACCTTCTGTATATAATCCCACATCAATTGCTTCCATGAGTTCCATCTCTCGAGTAAAATGCTTTCCAATCATAGATATATCTATTCATAATCGAACAGCTATAAACAACTCTTGAAATGTTTTATTCTTTTGTGAAATATTTCGAAAAATGTTGAATTTTTGTTTAAATGAGCCCGCAAGATCTGCAGCTGGCCGCATCACGGATGGCGCGCGTAAAACATTAGGCGTTTCCAGTCCCTGTCTTCTGGATTGTCTATGATTGTATCCATTCATCAAATCGTATTGTTTTTGGAAACAGAAAGCGAATCAAATTTGCATGATAATAAACTAGCCGTCAGGCAATAAAATTCAGACTCAGAGGAATGTCTGTATACAAATACAAGGCATGTCTGTATCAACAAATAATTATATATGTACTGCTGTTAAAGGTTTTTGGAGGAAGCTCTAGCTTTGAAGCCTATGAAACCCAAAGTTCCCAAGGACATGCATCACTAAAATGATGTGTTTTGGTTCCGATTGTAGGGATATGTCGGATGTGGTGAATTGGTTCTATCTAGACAGCGACGAGAAAGTTGCCCAGCCTTCTGGCAACCTTGTTTCTCAAATCTGAACTGCCTTGATTGCAACATAGCATTGGAATGTCTAGCCTGCGAACAGGCTCTCAAGCCGAATTGAGAGCCTGCATCGATGACTAATGAATTTGAATATCTGCCCCGTAACGTTCGTTTTTCCAAATATGGAATGTCTATCCTTATATGGTGTTGTTTACAACTTTCGTGCAAACTAAATTTAGACCGTGGAAACTAAATTTAGGCATAGTACAAAACATGGACTGGACTGGACTGGACAGTTGGACTGGACTGGACAGTTGGACTGGACTGTTGGACTGGACTGTTGGACTGGACTGATTTTTACATTTTCTCTATTCTTGACTTGCACGTCACCCGCCAGCAGAAAAATTTTTTGGGATCACTTTAAGGCTTGGTTACCAAGCACTGAGCTATATAAATACAATGGATAATTTGTTATCATTACGTAATACGTATCGCGTAATAAAGTATTGTATTGTAAACATTGGTATTCATCTTTAAGCCTGGAAATGATATTTAAAGTTCGTTGTTGTGGTTGTTCTTCCGAATCTTGCTTTGTCTACATTCGCTGGCGAACAAATTTCGAGCAAATTTCAACAAAGATTGAAAATTCATTTCGATACTCCTAAAAATTCTTTGGGATATTATTACTTATTGCTTTCTATTTGATAGAAACTCGGTTTCATAATATCATTTCATAATATCATTGTATTAGGTTTTAGAAAAGATTTTGATTTGTCGTAATTTTATACAATGTCAATGTACTAGTTAGTAAGGGGCGACGTCCATATTCAAGTTGCCACGCAAAACGTCAAATTGACGTTTTTATGAATCGTTTGTGAAACAAAATTACCTTTTAATATATCCACAGGGTTAATATTATAAACATATATAAATATGTAAGAAACAAGAAAGGCAAAAATTCCACCAAGTAAGTTCTTTTTTAATATGGAATATTGATACTGAATAGTGTAAATATATTAACTTTTCCATCGCGTATTGATACTATTTTAATAAATATTGACGGTTATTTTTAATATAAATTCTAGCGTAGTAGTTTTGGAAAATATTCATATTGCCACGCTAAAAACGTCACACCACTACAGTTCTAACCCACCCACCCACTCAAAACGTCAATTTGACGTTTTGCGTGGCAACTTGAATATGGACGTCGCCCCTAAATAATACCAAGATCCAACTTGGGAACAATAGTGCAATTTGCACCAGTTTCAGCCCCAGATTCATCATTTTTTGAATGTATATAACAACTGCACAATAGGATAGCATGATGCTGAATATCATGATGTATATTTTGCCGAACGCAGAGCTACATTCACAGTAGTTACCGCAATATTCTAAACAAAGTGAAATATTTTAACTGTAATAAAGAAGACCCCCTCACTCATGTCACAATATGTTATTAGACAACCATTATAAGGCACTTTAGTGTCCATCATAAAATTCAGTTACTTATCAGATTGTGTTACTGGACTTACTGTTTGCGTTTTTACTTTTATTGCTTTATAAGCTTTATAAGCTATATACTTAGAGAAAGTAAAGGTAACGTTCAGTGGTCCATTGTACATATCAACATATATAGCTCAGTGCTTGGTAACCAAGCCTTAAAGTGATCCCAAAAAATTTTTCTGCCACCCGCCATGTCAGATGGCATGGCACAAAAGAATATTTTATCACAGAATAGATATACCATGTCATGTCTATTTTGTGATTTTATCGATCGGAACATTGTCTGGTGTGTACCAGAAGGAGATTGGTTGCACAAGTCAAGGATATAACGTTTTGCACCTGAATTACTTTTGATTTTCGGAAATTGAAATATTTTACCTTCGCCGATGACCTCACTTTATAACTGGAGTGAAATCTCAGTAAGAAACTCCAGTAAGTAGAAGAGAATACAATACCAGACATAAACTACTTATCTGTCTTTGCTATAATATGTAGCCTGCTCGCATACGTATTAAATTTCGATATTTCAGTCTGCATGGCCATGGGCGTAGGAAGATCGGTATTTTGGGGGGGCTCATATTCATATATTCATAAAGCATTAAATTTCAAAAGAAGTAAATGATGCAGAACACGAATATATGAATATGTGCCCCCCAAAATATCGATCTTCCTACGCCCATGGCCATGCAGACTGAACTATCGAAATTTAATACGTATGCGAACAGGCTACCCATAGCAAAGACAGATAAGTAGTTTATGTTTGGTATTGTATTCTATTCTACCTACTGGGGTTTCTTTCGCTTTAAGAGATTTCACTCCAGTTATAAAGTGAGGTCACCGGCGAAGGTAAAGTATTTCAATTTCCGAAAATCAATTCCGAAAGTAATTCAGGTGCAAAACGTTATATTAATGACTTGCAACCAATCTCCTCCTCCTGGTACACACCAGACAATGTTCATCGATAAAATCACAAAATAGACATGGTATATCTATTATGTGATAAATATTCTTTTGTGCCATGCCACCTGACATGGCGGGTGACGTGCAAGTCAAGAATAGAGAAAATCAAAAATCAGTCCAGTCCAGTCCAACTGTCCAGTCCAGTCCAGTCCAACTGTCCAGTCCAGTCCAACTGTCCAGTCCAGTCCAACTGTCCAGTCCATGTTTTGTACTATGCCCTAAATTTAGACCGTACAGTTTATACTGTTTTTCGAAATATAAGATATTCAAGCAAAAGTTCAAATGTTTTAAATACTGTTTTCTCAAAACAGAACATTTCGTGCTTTGAGATAAGACGGCCAAGACCAATTTGATCAGTTGATGTGTTTTTTATGCATAGTGCTTCAGCAGTTGACATATATAGAGCTCAGCGAAAACATATAAATTATAGCATCTGACCAATGAGAATTTCGCGTCACGATTTGAGACGCAGATATTCAAATTCATTAGTCATCGATGCAGGCTCTCAATTCAGCTTGAGAGCCTGTTCGCAGGCTATGGAATGTCTGGATCCAATGTCGAATAACCAGTATGTGTGCATCGATAATTCAAATGAAGATCCAGGTGGAAATGCGAAGTAAACAATGTTGATGATTTTGCAATAAAATCGAAATATCACGAACTCATTCTCGATCGTCTTGCTTTTAATCCTAAAGTTCCACCAAATTTTTCATCATACGAAAAGATTTCTGCTTGACACTAAAGCGTTGCCGTACTACTTTCTTACCCAGTTTGTTTATCATTTACTTTTGGAGCACATTTAAGCCAGTTTTCCACTAGGCGAATTTGTTCGCGCCAAACGCAGCGAAAAAATTAATTCGGTAACGTCATTGGTCTTATATGGTCTTGTATTGCCGGGACGAAGTGAAAGATGAGATGATTCTTATGTCTGGAAAAAGTCACTTTCATGATTCAGAAAGATTGCTTTATTCTTTGGTAAACATTACAAACTATTCCGCCTTTCATCCCGGCAAAGAGGGATCATGTAGGTAGCCCTTAGACCATAACTATAAAATCTTATCAAAAGTAAGGTGAAAGAACTTTACCTGATTAAAGTCTTCCTTGTCAATTTTTAGAAACTCACAAGCGGTTTTACACACGATTGTTGCTGTGCGAGTGCTGTTTTGGAATAGCGCAAGTTCTCCAAATGCATCTCCCTCAGACATTTCTCCCAAACACTGCATGAAAATATGACAAAAGAAAAAAAAGTTGTTTTCGATTGATAAATAAAATTATTTCCTGATAGGGCGCACACTTACGTGTGCTTTAGGATCTATCACATTGAAATTTAACAATAGTTTAAATTATAAAGTAAAACTATGTTTACAGAAGTCGTCTACCGCTTGTCTTTTTTTTCAAATCACTATAATCCTTGTCGTTTATACATAATGCTGATAATTATACCTGGATATGTTTTTCGCGAGTTCTATCATCTTTCTCTTCTCTTTGTACTATCACTGTGCCAGACACAATGAAATAAAATGAAACACCCAAATGACCTAAAAAACAGCAGTATACGTACCTAGAGTACAGAAACCATAGAGCATTAGAGAATCTTTTTATGACAAAATTTGTTTCTGTATTTTAATTGACATGAAGTATTTGAAAGTGTTCTCAGTATCTTGTTCGGTGTCGTGGGTGATTTTGGGAACGTAGACTATAAGAATCAAGTTAATTTCCGTAGCCCGTAGGCATGGGCGCCCAGAGGGGGAGTGGCGAGCAAACAGAGGCGTAGCCACGAGGGGGGACGGGGTGGGTACGAGTCCTCCCACCACTCTCCTTCAGGATTACCTTCAAAAGCTTGTTGGGGGGGGGGGGAGGGGTGATGTGGGCACAATATATGACGTCCGTCCAACCAGACGACTATGATATTACTTTCCTAACTATATTCATCCTAACCCACCCTGCCAACTTTCCCTGTGGGAAGAAACTCACGCGCCAGGAGAAAATCTACGACTTTCGGCAGACCGTTTACAGACTCTTCTCGCATGATTCCGTAGCGAGAATCGAAGCCACGATCTCAGAGATGAAAGGCGCTTGCTCTGACGACTACGGCTTAGCCCCTTTTATTCCTTTTACAATTATGCTTTGTCCTTTTATTAATTCCTTTTACAATTTATGCTTTGTTTGAGATCCGTTTCCTTGGCTTTACTATTGCTTTTCCAAAAAGTTCTTAAAGGGAAATGGAAATATATTTTTATTCTCTCATTTGAAAGAACTTTTAGTAAGACTATATAAAATACTCTTTTACCGTTTTTTATATCTTGCTTACTTCTACAAATATTTTGATCAAAAGAAATGAAATGTCCGCCATCTTCAAGTTTTGTAGATATGCATGTCACGTCACAACAGGGGTCACGCAATATTTTTACCTAAACAACCACTAATCATTTTGCACTCAAAACTATACTGTGTCTGCCCTTATATCAAGATCATCAAAACCTTTAAAACATCTACCAATCAATATTTGGTCAGCAACGAATACTTTTATATGGTTAATCCCTGTTATGACGTCACCAAAACTACCGTTACTCAGATCATAGACAATCCAGAAGACAGGGACGAAATGTCTTCTGGATTGTCTATGAGATTAAAAATTTATCCAAGATGGCGGACATCTCATTACTTCAAGTGAACTTCAAGAACTAAGCAAGATATGAGAAATCGGTAAAAGAAGTTAATATATAGTTTCAAACGTTATTTCAAATGAGAAAATAAGAATTTATATTGCCATTTCCCTTTAATTAATTAAGGATCCTTTATTTAGCTATAATTTGATTGCGTCTCCGGATTGCATTTCCGGATTGAAAATTTGGCCTTTCTTGATAACGTCATACACCATCCCTCGGCTACGTCACTGGAAGCAAAAGGGGCAATTTGCTTCGGGTTCCCAGCCAATGGTGACCCAGAAATAGAAAAATATATGCAAAGATATAACTTTTACCGAATCTCCCAGAATACAAGAGTTTGCAATTCCAGGGGACCCTCTAACATACCTTAGTACTATACGATAGAAATCACGAGGGCTCGCGCCAAAGTTATGTTTGCTTATGTTTGCTTGCATAATATGGCCAATTCCATATTATAAAAGTACAATTTATAATATACCTTGCTGTATCACAATTCGCCCTTTCCCAAATTTCTGATACAAGAGCACTCGAGAAAGTTCCGCCTTTAAAGCCAAGGAATATGTATCGAAAGCTTTAATCCTCATAACCAAATTCTGAACTAAAGCCAAATCTTTTGGTGTTCTGCCCCAAGACGATTTCACCAAGGCTTTCTTCACTTCTGACGATAGGGAACCAACTGAACGTACATCAGCTCTAAAAGCTGAAATAATGGCGAATAAACTTGAGTAGGATTACAGTTTCAAACTACCTGAAATATATAACAAGAAGGCCTGTCGCTCGAAACTTCGAAGTTCTTGTTATATTCTTTCAAGTTTACCGTTCAAGTTCATTATATTACAAGAAGTCTTCTTGGTGTGCATCAAAACTATACCAGAAAAACGTTACAAATATGCCCAATGACTCGGCGGACACTATATACTATACTATACATATTTTCTTGGGTTTCATATGACGCTACTTGGGGCTCACGGTCTGCATGTGTCAAGGGTAAAGCCTAAAAGGCTAAAGGACGGTTTTTCGGAAAACGCATTTACATAAGATGCGTTGACAGCCATATTACCCTCACTTGTGTCAAATTAAGCTAAAACATCACGTTATTGAAACCCAAGAATATTTGGTAGAAACGCAGGCTAGTAGAAACGTTTCGTGCGGTATTCACAAATTATCATCAACCGCTATGGAGAAGAAACAAACACGTAAAACATTAAATGCTCGAAAGACTCATTGATTGGTTTAGTTCAAAACATCGGCTAGATCGTGTTGCCTTTTAAATGGTCCTTGACCATGTAAAGTTCAAGTTAGTTACGAATGGAGTAAATGATGATCCGATAATATAATCGACATTTCAATGCTTTTGATGGTCACAGAGACAAGTTCCCATTTCCAGGAAAACAACTGTAATAAGGAATACTTACCACTGGCATTAAACGTTAAACGTTTTTCTCCTGTTGCAATTTTCTTCGATTGATCTTCTTGCACTTCTTCATTCGCCTCTTTTGTCCATTTTGAGTTTTTTCCAACAATATTCACGAGTTGTTTAAATGATTTGAATCTTTTACTTGATGTAGAGCTTGAATTGCTCTCACTTTCTGAAGAGCGTTCTGTTTCGTCAGGTTTTCCTCCCACTTTATCATTACTATTAACAATAGGTGGAAACTTAACATTCTCTTTCGATCGCATCGTTCTTTTTTCAAATCATGTACATTATTTGTAAAAACGAATTTCAATTAGCGATCAATCGAACGTTCCATTATTACGTCATATTCTACAAAAAATTTTCATGACGTGTCCATCGGTGCAATGGGCATGCGCCAAGGCCGTACATACACCTTCGCAATTCACAATTTTAAAAATCCAGGACTCTTAAGAACTTTTTCTGTCGTTTCACAAAGGTAATGTCGCCAATAAGTCGATATGTTTCTCAGTAGTATAGATATCGCTGTCAAGTAAAATCACTATATATAGTGAGCTTAAAGGGTCTTAAAGCAAGTGAAGTTTTATCAACTCACTCGGACGTCACCCAAAAATTAGTTTAACCAATTTTGGCGGCATTTTGTATCATAGCGCTCGTGTAAGCTAGAAGCAAAACACTTTAAAAATCTTATGTTTTGTCATATGTTAAAGATTACCACAAACTGACACAAACACAGTTTTTAATCAACTCCCCCCTCGGCGTTTTTAATCAACTCCCCCCTCCGTGTTGACAAAACTTCGCTTGCTTAAGCTCGTTATTGTCGAAAAAGATCGATATTCTAGGCGCAGGAAAGTTTTGTAATCAATTGTATATTTAAACGTTTAATACTTTACGTATCTTACACACAAGTTTATTTTTTCTAGGCGTCTTTTTGAAATCCCAGAACTTTTCAAGAAGTTTCTGTAACGATTTCCGAAGCCATCTTCCAACCACTCTTCAGTACTTAGGCTTAGCGATCTGGGATATTAAATATGACTATAGATGGAGAGCAAATAAACAACATGCTCTAACAGTAATTAGGAAAACCATAATTATAATTTCTTCAATCCTGCAATATGCCAACTCTGTTGTATATTCATCTTAATTATTTTTACTTTTTATATGGTGGCGTATGCTTCAATTCGAAAAATGATTGTCATGCAGTCTTTCTGCCCAAACATTCAATTCATTTCCGGCGAAGATAATCAGCAGTGATGCCTTTAAACAGTTTCACAAAGAGAAGATCAGACAGAGGAGAATATATACAACTTGCAGGCCACAATATTCTCTTCGAGAAATACGATAAAACATCATGCTAGATTATGATGCGTCTTCTCATGCGCTGCTCGAATGACGCGTGCATATGTGCATGTGCATGTGCAATCGTGGAATTTCACGCAAGGCAAAATTAATATATTACGTCACAATACATCAATTAAATTTGTGGTAAATCTTTAGTTTCATTCTGGTGACTGTTTAGAGGGATGTAGATACTGTTAAAACCGTAAACTCAACAAAAAATTAAAGAGAAATGCAAGAAATAAGATCAGCTTCAGCAAGAAGTGAAAACGATAGCGGGATGGATTCTCCAGTCATGCAATGGCAACGCATTTCAAAACGTGTAGGTTTTCAAAAAAATTGGACAAAAGAATGTATCATTAAAGTACTAAATGACTCCGAAGGAGAAACGCTGCAGGGAAAAGATCTCCAGAGAATACCATTCAATGCAAATCGTAAGAAAGTTGATGTTTTCATGAATTTAAAACCTATTTATATCATACCCATGCACTGTTTAAGGCACGGGGTATAACAAGAAGTATTGCTGGCTGTCCCGACCCTGGGAACAAGGTTGGGTGTTGCGAAGCTGAATATCGCGATGTTTCCTGAAACGAGTTCCTGTTTCCCCACCCTTGGAAACATTGTTGCAGAAACAATATTCCCTTTGCAGAAAACAATGTTTTCCAAAAAAAATCAGAAACCCTTTGGTTCGCCAGCTAGTGCGATTATTGTCTCACAAATATTGTTGTATTAGTTTTCAGACTTCAACTTGTATCTCTGCCTCACGAACGACTGGGCGGTACCAGGACGCTTATATACAGGAGCGCCCCAGGCGGTATGCAGGATTTTTTCACCAGGCCAGGGGGCAGTAATGCTTATATACTGAAATGGATTATGCAAGTTATATTAACTATCATCAACATAACGGAAGTTGGAAGAGTGTTATTGAATTAAAAAATTCACTTCTATCTAATTTTTCTTTCTTGCCCAATATCTTTCAGTGTATAAAGCGTGTGTACAGTCAGGTCGTCTAAGCGACAGAGCAAAACATCTTTTCACGAAGGATCCCGACGTTCGAACGAGTAAAGATATCAAGGAAATATTTCGCGCCGTTGACAAGTTGCAATGCTTTTCAAAATATTCCCGAGCCGTGAAGCAAGGCTTAGCAAAGTTTGTGTACTACAGCGATTACCCACCTGACAGGGTTGTTGTACAGCAAGGTAAATTTCGAATTAACTTAAAAATTAGTGCGAAACTGAACTCAACCATTAACGATGCCTGCTAATCTATATAATCATGCATTGAACATTATAAAATGTATCTGAACGTCGCTTTATGATTGTTCCCTTTAGGGGTTATTTACAAGGAGGCGTCCCAGCCCGAGTGCCCCAGGACCGGTTAGGCTATATAATAAACGAAATCCTTTCAACATTATATTTGCGTAAACAAAACATAAATATACTCAGTCCACTTCAGCTTTGAACAACTGATCCAGGATTCCAGGCAGTATAACATGGCAAACACATAAACGCAATGACCTGGGTGTCACTAGGATATACTGAGATCTTGAGGTATACTGCATGGGCCGGTTGTTCAAAGCTTGCAGTAGCGCTAACTTTAAAATTTAACCTGCTTTATTTCAAAATTCCAGAGAAGAAATGACCAGACAGGATTTCTATATGGGCAGTTTGCCTTGAATTTTAGGTTTACGCTAAAGCGGCTTTCGAACAGTTACATGCCCCATGTATGAGGTCAATCGAGGCGGATCTCGCTTATACGCGGGCCAGCTCGGTTCCCATATAAATGCAAGATGAAATTTTAAATTAATTAATAGGATTAAAGAATAACAAACGCGGAATCTCGCTAAAACCGGGTCAGCCTAGCTAGGTAATATAAACTCAAACGGTTTGTGCCAGCATAAGTAACGACGTTCCTAGTTCTTCGTCGGGAACTTAGCAGCCTAGCAAAGCAAGGAAAAAACCCATCAAATTTCCGCAAAAAAAATCCTGCATAAGCAGACAGCCGAAAAAATTCGTGCATGCTTAAAAACCACCGTATAGGCCAGGATATTAGTGAAACTTTTAATCCAAATATAAATTTTTTTCCAGGTCATCCTGCTCTTTCCTTTTACTTCATTCTGCAAGGTTCTGTTAATATCGTCGTCGACGAAATAAATACAATCACTGGAATAATGACGAAAAATGTAAGACGATTTGACTATTAAAGTTTCAATTGGAGTCGAATCATACTGGAAAATTAAAAATATACGTGTCAAAGAATTTAACTGTACAAATCAGTCATTCATTCATTCATGTTTTTAAAAAAGCGTAGAAATAAAAGAAAGCGTAGAAATAGCTATAAGTTTTTGAAACAGTATGATCTGCTGAACGTATACATATGCATTCTAGTTATACAATATCTCGATTACTGCTGTATTGTTTGGGATGGCATTAGTGACAATTAGTGACTACTTCACAGTTAATTAACTTCAAAACCGAGTTGCGCATTCGATTCAACTAGATGCGCAGTTGTCGTGCATTTATTTTTCTCTTAAAAAACCTAGGTGGTTGGAGAAATACTCGCTGGTAATTCATTCGGAGAGTTAGCTTTGATTCATGACACATATCGAAGAGCATCCGTCATTTGTAAAGAGCAATCTGAATTTCTACGATTGGACAAATCTGACTTTAATCAGGTACAATCAATAAAACAACAACAGCAGCAGCAGTAACAACAACAACAACAACAACAACAACAACAACAACAACAACAACAACAACAACAACAACAACAACAACAACAACAACAACAACAACAACAACAACAACAACAACAACAACAACAACAACAACAACAACAACAACAACAACAACAACAACAACAACAACAACAACAACAACAGCAGCAACAACAACAAGTGTATGTCACTGCCTATATTTACCCCACCATGTCACTGCCTATAATGGACCCCATCATGTCATTATCTGTAGGTTTTGCGAGAAACATACGAAAAAGAATGGAGTTTAAGGATGGGTTACTTGCGAGCAATACCAGCTTTTAAAAGCTGGTCAAAGTTGGAACTGAAGGCAGCTAATAATGCATCTAAAATAGTTGATTACCCAGACAACACTGTACGTAAGTGTGGAGTAGATGTTTTATATACAGGTATAGGTGCAATCAAGGCGCAAGTGCTATTTTTTCTCGTACATGCATGCAAGCTAAAACAACTGAGAGAATAACTACAGATCTATAGAAAAGGAATGTCCTTCAACATGAACGTTCACCTTGCGCAGGACGTTCATCTTCCGTCACATTCCGGAAGTTCTAGTGAGCATGAATAAATACACAAATGAGTTAAAGTTCAAACAGCAGCGGTTGTATATAGAGATACAACTACCTGAAACATATATAAACAGCATTTCGAGCGACGAACCTTCGTCGGGAAGTTAGTACTGGTATCGACTGTTCAAGATAATAAAGTTCAATGCTATAGTTATAATAGTCATGCTGCATGACCAGTAACCATAATAGTCCAAAATGTTGGGTCAAAAACTATAGTCCATGCAAGACGATAGCCATACTGTGCAAGACTTTAGTTATACAGAGTATGTCCACATTATTCATATTTCAAGACTATATATACATAGTCACATGGTCATTGAAAAATATCGTCATACATAACTCAATCCAATGAATGAGTCAATGATTCCACTGAACCCCGAGAAAGAACCATTGAATCCCAAGACTCAATAACTGAATCCTATGATTAAAATCTTTACATCTAAATGTTAACTACCACATGTTTTAGGTTGCCTTTAAAGAGGAAGCTGAGCCATCTGAAACAATCTATATTATCAAAGCTGGGAGATGCATTTTAGTGAAAAAGATGTCAATTATAAAGAAGACTTTGCCATTTGGTCGTGAAAAGTTGGTTTTACCACCAGAAAAGGATGGTAAACAACGGCTAAGCAGACTCAAAGAAAATGAAACAATGTTAACGATCTTTCTGACCATTAAAACTTTAAAAAGTGGAGACTATTTTGGAGTTGGAGAATCCATGAAAGATTCATTTATTATAACCAGAGGAAAGGTAAGGAAATTTTGGGTACTTTACACTTTACCGTACCGCAAGTATTTGATGGTGTGTGTTCATATACTCGGGTAGACTTGCTGCAAGTCTCTCTTTCATTGTCATATAGTATCGATCCACGATAGTGCACATTACATGACGTAGTGCGGAGGGGCGGAGCGAGAAAGAGAGACTTGTCAATTTCGGAAAATCTCGGTTCAAAACTGAACCGAAGATGCAAGACTTGCTGTCTTGCTTTAATTGTTTTCTGTCAGTGTTCATATGTATTGATCTAGCACAGTGTAAATAACATGAGTCCATTATAGTAAATAATACAGAAAGAGATTGAAGGAAAACAATTAAAGCAAGTCTTGCATTTTCGGTTCAGTTTTGAACCGAGATTTTCCAAAATTGACAAGTCTTTCTCGCTCCGCCTCTCCGTGCTACGTCATGTAATGTAAACTATAGTGGATCGATAGGACAATGAAAGAGAGACTTGAAGCAAGTCTAATACTCGGGAGGTGGATAGTGCTTTTCGCGCAATTTGATTGGTTGTTCAGCTCTGGATTTCGTTGCATCACCTCCAGACAAAAACAAAATGGCGTCCCGTTTCGTTCCGATTAATACAGACGAGCAAAATTTTATCTATTTATTAGGCTTTGCCATATCTACATAAACTTGTTTACTATATTATACATATAACACAAACAATATGGTCTATGGCTGGGTATATACGCTACAGCTTTCGCCAATTACAGCGGCCCGCGGTTACATAATAATACAATACAAACATTCAAACATTCAAACTAACAACTACACGAATTTGAAAAAGACAAATTACGAGAATTATTACAAGACAAACATATAAATTTCCATGTTCGCGGATCCTCGGCATCATAGATGTTCCTCAAGGCCAGTTTATAGTACTTATAAAGTCCGCTCTTGAATTCATAAAGTGTGGTGTTTTTGTCCGTCAAGTCATTCGGTAATATATTCCACACTCGTGTTGATCTATTTAAGTATGATTTCTGGAATGTTGCAGTCTTGCTGTTGCATTTTGCTATTGTAATGTCAAACAGTTATAGGATCAGCTGATCTTGTTACTCTGATCTTGTTACTCTGATTTGTTACTTTGTTTGTATTAAACAAAGCTGCGGCGGTTTCGCCAAATACAAAGAAAGCCACAAAGGTTTGTTTAACAGTGTGCAGAGGTATTTTAAAGCTATTCACCTCCATGCACTTCGACCGAAATCTTCGGTGAATCGTTAAATATTCGACCTCTCTCTACATGGACTATAATTGTAATACATAATACAATTGTATTCCTTCAAGAGTATAATTAATGCATGTAAAATGTATTTGCATATACTTTTAACAAAGATTCATCAAGTGAAGACCAGTGCTCCTTCATTGCGTTATCCGTGGTGTAAATAACATAAAAGAGCCCAATGTGTGTCCAGGCTTTTTTCCCGATAAATCGCTGCCTCCTCCACATGCCCTCGTTGCGCCATGGGAAGGTCACGATATGGCGAGGGCCTGCGGAATCTTGTAAAAAAAATGGCACCGGCGTCACGTCAGCAAATGAATTTACACATAATCTTGAATATAAGCAGGCTATAAAAAAGCGGCGTGAAACTTGTAAATTAAAATGGCGACTCTAAGGACGTGGAAGGAAGCATTTTTTAACGATAATGTTTGTTGTCCACACCAACGTTGCACAAATAAAACTGCCTTCTTTAACGAAGCAGGTTCAAAACAACATTTATTCATTTTACAAGATTCCGCAGGCCCTCTCGAAATCGTGACCTTCCCATGACACAACGGGGGCCTGCGGAGGAGGCAGGATAATGCAGGATAAATCGTAACTCCTATATTTGGCCGACACGTTACATTTCGCTTCGATACGGCTGAAGTAGAAAAACTAAGCACTGTCAGTGACAGTATTTTTTGTTAGTTTATAACTTCATAGGCATAGCCTGAAGACGGACAGTTAAACTACCCGAAACGTTGCGAAAATAATAAAATATTGAGGAAAAAACCTTCCGTATAATCCTATAGAATTAAAAATAATTTATACTATATAATTTAGAAAATAGTTCGGAAGTTGCTTAACCAGTTAACCATGTGATTATCGTTTATTGTAATTTGTCGCAATATTTATTCCGTCTCCAGACTGAGCTGATGTTGATCCCACGATCCATATTGCAAATACATAACCGAGGAAAGGTATTAAGAGACATGAAAGATGCACTAATCGAGAACAACTGGAAAAGAGAAGATATCTTTAAGGCATACATAAGAACACGAGAGTGGGACCAATACAAGCAAGCAAAAGCAACGAATGTTGTTTCAAGGAAACCAAAACTACGCACAACAACGACTAACGATATACCAATTCATGTCAGAGAGGAAAATCCCAATTATTTTTCATAAATAGTTTAGGCGTAAATTATTACAACTATATCTATGTACATATAGTTTAAAAAGTTTTTTATTTACGTATACGTAAAATTATAATATTGGTCGTAATATTTTTAGAAACTCGTTCACACTATAAGCTGTACCAAATTTACTTGTCAGGCAATCCTACCCGATTTGGGTAGTGGGTACCAAATCTATTTTCAGAGAGGCTCAGATTTGACTTCCACTACAACTACACTATTACCTGCTGCGGATAAATTACCCACTATCCATCCTTACCAAGTTTGTAAAAAGTTGCTCAGTCTTAACCCTTTTAAAACCGCTGGCCCTGATAACATCCCGCCTCGCATTTTCAAATATTCCGCTTATACGAATATTATCTACGTCCAATTTTATTACGGACATCAAATCGACCCTAAACAATAGACCTTTCCCCTTATGAGTGAAATTTTGATCTAGACAGGTCTGGACAGCTTGAAAGAGCATCACAAATTTAGTAATATTCCGTTGCGAAAATTAGTAATATTCCGTTGTAATGTTTCGTTGCGAAATGTTGTAAAATGCGGATAATATATAGCCTTGCGAAGTTTGCCGTTTTTCAGTCATTTTGTATTACAAATCATGTGAAATTGATAATCAGTTTGATCATCTGATTATCAATTTCCCGTTTGTAATGCAAAATGACTGAAAAACGGCAAACTTCGCAAGGCTATATTATCCGCATTTTACAACATTTCACAACGAAACTTCGGAATATTACTAATTTTGTGATGCTCTTTCAAGCTATGATGAAATTTTGTTCAGGCATATCTAGATCAAAATTTCACTCATAAGGGGAAAGGTCTATTTGGATGCCTCCGAAGTTCATCTACTACTATACTATGCCTACTTGACATGTTTCATTTCTGGTTGTCCAAACTTGATGCTGATGGATGTTCACTACGGATTGTCTTACTAGATTTTAGTATTCGACAGAATTAACTTGAACGTACTGATTATACTAAGCTGATCGACATGGGGCTTCGTAAATCTCTTATTCCATGGTTATGTGACTTTTTGTCTGATCGCAGACAGAGAGAGTCAAACTTGGGGAATCAATCTCTGATTGGGAACAAGTAAATGCCGGTGTCCCACAGGGAACAAAATTAGGTCCCATCTTGTTTTTGGTAATGGTCAACGACCTAAAAACATTCGAGTCAAACCATTGGAAGTATGTAGACGATCTTACTATCTCCGAAGTCATTCCAAAACATAGCCAATCTAACATGCAATACGAACTAGACCATATTTCAAACTGGTCCAACCAAAATTATAAGAAACTTAATCCAAAAAAGTGTAAAGAATTGAGAGTTAATTTCCAACGGTACCCGGACATTTTGCCGAAAGACACTTTGCCGAAAGACATTTTGCCAAACGGACATTTTGCCGACGGACGTTTTGCTGCATTAAGCAGTAAGATTCAACTACGAATATTTATCCAAACTGCCTTGGTATAATATGGTAAAAATTACAGTTATGTATAACATAAACCATAATTTACTGATGCATTAGGACTGGTAGATATACAGCTCAGTTTTAGATGCATTGACAAGATGAAATACATTGCGCTAAAGGTACGTTTACACGCTGCGATTTGTCGGGCCGATTTTGCTCGCTGTATGTAAATAACCTGTCGTGAGTACTCGCGTCAGCGCCTTGCGATTCACAAAATCGGGAGAAAAATCTGTAGCAAAGCACAGATTTTTCTCACGATTCAACGATTTTTCTTCCGTTGTAAAGTTGTTGAAAACTTTTCGCACGCAGAAAACTATAATATAAACAGACGAGAGAGCGGACAGCTTCAATTGAACGTTTAAATCGCTAAATGTCGAAGAAGGGGCAACGATTATTTGCCAAAATCGGCCCGACAAATCGCAGCGTGTAAACGTAGCTTAAGGCCACTCCAAATTAGACTTTAGTTTCTCGTCCTCCGTCCGCGTCTCCTAGAACTGGCCGCATTTGTCCATTATGGCATTACTCTAACTTGTTTCTATTATTTGAGCTTAGTTTGTGACTAAGAATAAAGAACATCCACAGTCTTCAAATAATATATCGTTCACGAAATACATATTTATCATACAGGGCCTATTCTAAGGAAATTTCAATACTGCACACTTCAGAGCAGGCGTAATCAATGACGTCACCCTGTGACGTCATCCACAGCCATAGCTAGCATATATAGTGGGGAAGTGTGTCCAAATATTTCATGGCATACGAAGCCACAAAGGCGTTTGCTATCCGGAAAATGAAGTCGCAATTAACAAACAAAAATACGCATATTTTACGCACAAACATACCACAGAAGCATACAGTGCTGTAGGAAGCTCTTTTTGATTGGGGCGGGGGGCTGGAAACGGGGGGAAGCCTCGCAGTGCCTCAGAAGGTCGTCTCCAATTGGATGGGGGTTTTCTAAAGAACGAATCAATTCATTGTTATAAACACAAAAGCAATTGTCATATTGAGCCAATGAAAACCACTCTTCCGAGCTACTGCGAGGCTACCCCAAATTACCACAATAAATTACGGTTAATTTGAATTTGAAAGGGTATACTCTTTTTGAGACACACTGTAGAATGACAACGTGACTTTTTTCTTGGGCATAGTCGATGAGCATGTATTGTTGTAAAATACTAAATATTTGAATTATTACCGGAACTTGGCCAACTTTGTTTGTGCCTTCACTCATTTTGTTGGAAAGGCATTTTGGAATTCTCAACTTTTATATTTCATCTACTTTGCTCCTTCAGCACATACAAAGTTAAAATTTATTTCAAATTTCAATACTGCACACTTTTGCATTCAATACTGCACACTTTTTATCCAATACTGCACAAAGTGTGCAATACTGCACACTAAAATAGGCCCTGGTACAACATGTAAAAATAGAAATAAAATTCTTTGAAACTTTTATCAAAGAGTGTGAATTGTTTTGATTTTTGAACTGGCTTTCATTTCTGCATACAAAAATCTAAAACATTGTGTAAAAACATGGCTGAATGGATATTTAAATTAAAACGTGTATTTATTTCATGGAATAACGGACTGCATTAGATTCTTTCAGACACCATAATGGATAATGGAAATGGACCAATCGCACACGTGTGATTTGAATAAGGGTCGAACGGAAAACTAAAGTCTAATTTGCAGTGGCCTAATTTAACAAAAAATGAAAAATTCCACTTTGTCCCTCTGACTTTGTCCATTGATAAATGTCCGAAAAATTGATAAATGTCCAACCAATTTGTGTCCTTCTAGAGGAAAATAACTATTTGCAGGCCTGTATATCCTCCATATTGAAGATTCTTAAAAAATGGTACAACTTATACTAGTCTGTTAAAATTCATGTTTGGTTCTGTCTAATTCAAACCTGTATTACCACATATGTGTTAGTAACTGCAACACAACAGCAACCTCCTTAATCCAGTTGCTTTTCTCCGTCGCTGTGAATTAAGCAATTCACTAGTGTCTGTATTACTTGCCACAGGTGATGGTAATTTTTCTAGTGAGAAGAAAAATTAATATATGGACTGAATGGTAACTAATTAATATATAGTAATTTAGAGCAGTTGTCATGAAAAATTTTAAAAAGCATCTATACTGTAGATTTAACCTGGTAATCAGTCATATGGAAATTGCAAACCTTACAACATCTCTATGATGCAAAAAATGTGGATAAGGGACATTATTTATGGAAGGGGGAGGGCAAAAATAGGGGGGGGGGGGCATATGTATAAATAAATTATTTTTTCAAGAAAATGAGGGGGTAGGTTACAATTAAATTTGAAGGAATTTTCTTAATAAGCCTGCTATCCATTTGGTTGTAAATGTTGTTTTCACCGATGTGAAATAGTCTGGATTTATCTTGTCCTCTGTGTGCTGTATGCAAATCAGTCTTTACTGATTGCAGAGATAAATTGACAATGTATTATTACATCAGCTATCTTGATGTGGCAGATGTATTATGTAGGCTACATCCGCTGAGGGGAGTCTGTGATGTCATATTGATCAAAGGGGGTTGTTTTCGCGCTTTGTGATCAGTGCTTCGGTGTGGGTATTCATTCTGCCACCCACCCACCCATGTTTATTCTAGAGGATTTTATCTGGTAGCATGTCTTTTTATTTTATATAATTTTAAATCTCAAATAAAAAAGGATGTATAGACCACTATACATTGTATTTCATTTCCACTGACTTGTCAGTGTGACTGGTGCCAGAGGTATGCCTAGTTGCAGCCTTGGACCATAAACGGCACCTGCCTCCAAACACTAATACTTTGCCTTTAAATATGGTTACAATTAGGGACTCCGGAACTGGGGGGTGGGGGGCAGCCGCCCCCGTTGCCCTTTATCAGGAGGGGCAAGGGGGGCAAAGGTGCCCTTCCAATTTAAAGGATTGCCTTTGCGAAATAGCAAATTGTCAGAAATGTTAGTGCAATTCTTTTACGAATTTGCTTCAGAAAATGCAAGAAATGCAGTCATCGAGCTTCAAGAATAGCGCAATCGCCTGGCGAAGACCCCCTCACACCCCTATCATCCAATAAATAGAAAACATGATTAGGCGAAGTTCAACTCCTGATGTTTTACAAACATCTCTTAGTATATATCAATTCAAAAGTGCCCTTTCACGAAAATCTGCCCCCCTTGCCTTCACATTGTTCCGGCGTCCCTGGAAACAATCGCCCAGACCAAATGGAAACCTGATTTTAGTTATATATATAAATACTCCTCTTTTAATTATAATTTTCTGCTAATATATATTTTTGGTCAATGTTAACATCTTGTCGGTTCCATATTCTTATTTAATAATTAACAATAACACATTAACACCTGGGTAAACCCATTTGACAAGTAAAAATGGAAAGGGGGGGTCAAAGGAAAATATTCTAATATGCAGGGGGGTCATCATTAAATTTCTGCTCTTTTAAGGGAAGGGGGCTTTCCGGTCCCTAAATATACATCCTTTCATCCCATCAATTAAAAAATGCTAAACCTGTGATAGATCACTGTCAGCAAAATGAATTTTTGGGCCTTAAAGTATTGCTTGGCAACTTGGCTGCTTAGCAAGTGGGGCGGGGGGGGGGAGCAGTTTTTAAAATAGCTAATACTTAACATACTTAGGGAAAATGCAGGGAAAGAGGACTGCCAACCATGCCAAAACCACACCCATTTTGTTTGCAAAAGTAAGTAAAATTATGATACACTCACTACACCCATGTAGACTGGGGTACCGCACTACCATGAAACTACAGGGAAGGACTTGCAACAGTCTAGGCAGGGGGTCAAGAGCCTATAATGAATAATAACATTATGGTATGTGTACATGTGGCTGAAAATATACTTTATATGTTTATCAGTTGGTCCAATTAATTTGTTTACTTTTTGATGTTAACAGCTAGTTGATATACAAATTAAATTTTATAATAACTATTTGTTTTTAATAATATTATATAATCAGGTACTATCAATCAACAAAAAAATATAAAGTGTTTGTCAACTATTAAACACCAACCTTCATTCAAATCCTGTTTGTTGAATAAAACATCATCACCGACATTAACATAGTTCAACATTCGGCCATTAGCCAGATATGTAACATCATGTTTACGTGATGCAGCGAAATCATTTGCACTGTTTACACGAAATAAAAAGTGATAAATATTTGTCTTCAAAGGAATGCTTCTACTAAACACGCCATTATGTAGTGTTAAATCATACGAGACCGTATTTTGTGTATAGTTGCTGTCGGTAAAATGATCATCCCATACGCTCCTTGCTGGGGCCAGTAATATTTCGACTGAAGAAATGTCGTCTGGTAAATCACTGTAAGTAAACCATGTGAAATTTACTTCGTGTTCGCCCTCCGGTATTTCTTCCATTGATTTTCATTTGTCTTCAATACTGATAGTAAATCGTTTTGTGGTTTAATATCGCGTGAACTATTTAACACTTGTGCATGATATGCTCGTGATTTTGTAAATAAGCAGGTAATTTCCATAACAAAGTAATCGCCACCCCCGGATTCCGGTCAACTAGATTCTTGTTTGCAAAATGAAGACGTGGAATCTAAGGAAGATGGTAACATCAGGTGAAAGCAGAGGTTTAATTTCCCTGTACTGATTCTGTGACTGATAATGGACAACTAACAAGTCGGAAACGAAACCGAGACGGAAACACTCCTACGGCTACGAGATTGGAAACGCTCAATTTTAATTAAGGTTCTGTGCCCAAGGCGATTATCGTGCTCCACCCTACCGTTCCAGTGATTGCGCACTCTTTCTGGATAGATCCGACTAGATCTCTCTAGATAGATGTACATTAATAACAGATACGCCTTATAAATTTAAATATTTATAAGTAATAGCATGGCATTCAGGGCGATTAGTGATTAAGCCAAGAGAGAGCAGAGCCCAGCAAATAACTTTAAAACCAAACATAATAAAAGTAAAATTTTAATTGAAAAAATTTAAAAAAAGTAAAATTAGAAGTAAATTTTAATTTTTTTTTTATTTTTAATTTTTTTGTCCATCACAAATGCACTTCAACTGGCTTATTCACCAACTTTGATAGCTTTATTCCAATGATGTACAAAAAAGGTCTCCTCGTCTCTCTTATATCTCGATATTTCAATATTTGTTCTTCTTACATATCTTTCCAGTCTGAAATGGAAAATTTTAAGAAAACCTTTTCTTCCAATGGTTATCCTAAAGCACTTATACATAGTTGCATTAAGACATTTCTTGACAGGATTTATAACACCAAGGACAAGGTCCATACATGTTCCAAGAAAATTGTCTACTTTTGCCTTCCTTTCACTGGACATCATGGTCTACATATTCGTACACAACTTAGTAAAGTTCTTGCTTCTGCTTATCCACATATTTCCATACGTGTTGTTTTCCGTCCCTCTTGTCGCCTTTCTAGTTTCTTTCCATTTAAAGACAGGATTCCCATTGCCCTGAGATCACATGTTGTGTATCAGTTCACATGTCAATGCTGTAGCGCATTGTATGTTGGCCAAACACGCCGACACATTCACACACGTATCTCCGAGCATATGGGGGTCTCGCCTTTGACTGGAAGAGAACGCTCTATCTCAACCATGTCTAGTATACTCGCTCACAAACACATGCACAAACACCCAGTCTCCGCTTCTGATTTCAAAATTTTATCATATCAGGCACTTCTGAGTGGGATCTTCTTATCCGTGAAAGCCTATTAATTTCTCAACTTAACCCTGTCCTTAATGCTAATATTAGATCTACCCCTCTTGAGTTATTTTAGTTATGTAATATTAACCTTAACTATACTAACCATGCACTTAACATTAATCTTTACTTATTAACTAGTTTCTGATAAGTTGTTTTCCTTTCTTTCTACTCATTTGTTCTTTCAAACTATGTAACCGTTTTTGTAATATTAAACCATTATTTTGTAAATATATATATACCATACCCTGTAAATTCATTTAGATTGCTCTGAAGATGTTGTATTGTAAACAACGAAACGTTAGCTAATTAAAATTTTACTTTTATTATGTTTGGTTTTAAAGTTATTTGCTGGGCTCTGCTCTTTATCTTTAAACTAAGATTTCCGCCTGGTGTATCAATTGCCAAAGCCAAGAGAGGTTTAGTAAAACTGTCTGTACCAGTGTAGGTAGTATACCAATGTGAAAATGCTGTGCTGAGTGGTTATATTGCTACCTTAAAAAACAAGCAGAAACTCGACGTTTCGAGCGAAGGCCCTTCGTCATACCATGGATAATAAAATAAAATTTATTTTATTATCCATGGTCATACGAAGGGCCTTCGCTCGAAACGTCGAGTTTCTGCTCGGTTTTTTAAGATAGCAATATTACCACTCAGCACAGGTTTAGTAAAAGCCTTTTAAAAGGACTAAAGTTTTTAAAGGACTTTTACTATTACCCATAGATATAGGAGACCAATTTGCAAATTGCAAAATTATCAATATGCAAAGGAATTTACTAGATATTTAATTCGCATCCAGTTCACCAGTGTTTATTTCTTAGATGGTGCAAGTGAATCTGATCTTTCAGATCTGGTATCTGAGCTGAATGTCTTGAAAGAAATCAACAACATTCCACACCCCAATGTCATCAGACTCATCGGAGGGTGTTCAATAGCAGGTAATTTGTTTTCGATTAAAAAATATAAAAGGAACTGAATGTGTTTCAATTTTAAAAATTACTTTACTAAAGGCTATTAGCTCAGTTTCCTGCATCTTAGGTTTATTTTTGTGGCAGGAGCATGCATCACAAATTTGTGTTGATTTTGGACACAATAATGAAGTTGACATTATCCCCAAGCGACGCTCGAAAGCCCGTGGCGAGGGTACTAATTCCCCATGGACATTTCTCCCCGGGTATGTGAGAACATAGCGTAGTGCAAAGTATCCCACAATTTGCCCACAATTACTGATGTTATGAACGTTGGGCAGTTTTCTACGTTATGCGCACGCGCAAGAATAATTCGATAGTGGGCTGGCCGTACTGAAACTCATGATTAAATAAGAAAAAAATTTAATTTTTAGTGAATGCGCGTCAATTTTATAACTGTAATTTTGAAATTTGCTGATGGTCATCCTATATCTATTAATATATGACTAAACATCTCGTAGCCTGCGAACAGGCTCTCAAGGTGAACCTCTCGAGGCTTGAGGAATATTTCATCACTAATCGCCGTAATGCCATGCTATCACTTTGTAACTATCATAGCTACCGAGACAATAAAACGTTTTCATTTGATTGAATAAGTTGAAATGAAAAGGTGCGTTTGCTTTTTGATACTAATGACTATTGGGATGTTCGTTAACGAGGTTACGGTTGATTTTTCATGTCTGTTAAATATTTAATAGAACATCAATATAAGAGTTATGGCATAAAGACTCTCTCCTCCGCAGAGGCTTCTGTTGGCTATGATTACGATTAGTATTGAGATACATTTCACTACACTTTACATGCCGCGGGTCTTGGAACACGAGCGGAGCCGTGAGATTCAAATTTCAAAAATTTTCTGGGGGAGTACACCCCCAGACCCTCCTCCTTCATGCGTGGTATATTGGCCACACACGTGGCCTTCGGCCATTGCTATACCCCTCCAATATATTACCTCACAGACAGGTCCCTTTTCAAAAAATGCCCCCCCCCCGCACGGGAAAATCATTAAAAAAGGCCCTGTTATAACAGCAGAACATCTGAACATATACGTCACTGAATCTAACAACGAATGGCGGGGACACCGCAACAGTATAAACCAATTACTGTGGGCCCTTGTTAACAAATATAACAAACTATAAAATCGAAATCTATGAATACTAAACTCCATGCTACACGAGATAACCTCCGCTGCAATCCGCAGATAAAAATCTTAAAGGATGGAAAGTGAAAGAAATAGAATAAAGAATATCGTGCTGTTTAGATAACACGAGTCTACGACGAAATTAACGAATGACATCCAACGCACATGCATGCGCACTCTCACAGTCTCACTCCTCGCTTGTCCGGGCTTAACTTAACTCCAAAATTGAATATTTTTTAAAATATTCTGTAACTTTCGACTACGGTCTCAGTCATCATCAGATCGAGATACTAGGTTAGCATTATTGCTGATGATGAAACTGAAAGTTGGAGAATATTAAAATGTTCACTCTTTCAGAGTTATTTTACTCTAATTTGAGTAAAGATGCAAATCTACTCATTGCGATTGTTACTCATTGCTCTCGAGTAATTTTACACAAGTAAAGGTTGAGTAACAATTATCGAGTAAACACCATGAGCTACGCAAACACGATGAGTAAATTTACTCAAAGTGAAATTTCTATGCCAAACAGTTTACTCAAACTATAATACGATGTTAATGTACTCGTAATTCGCGAGTAGATTGACTACAATACTCTTAAGGTGAGTTTATTCTGTATCGGAACAAAATCTTTACTCAAAAACTGAGTAAATGTTATCCATACAAGATAACTCTAAACAGTATAACTTCGAATAACATTTTGATTTTTAATCGACGTTTCGACTATAGTTTGTAGTCATCGGGACATCCTCAGACTATAGCTGCCGGTTCCTAGTCATGTTCCGGATTCTTTCCACAGAGACCATCGCACCAAACTTAAGTTTCCTTCAAACATCAATAATTCATAAGGAAAAGACAAAGGAAATCACTGCCGTGTCGGTGATTTTATACGTGATGATCATGTTAATTTACATAAACTTTAGCTTTGATTTTCTCGGCTTAGACAAAGTTTATTTTAAAATTACTTCGCCAATGAACTTATCAGATGAGATGGGTCGTTTTTTAAGTCATTTAAAGCACTTGTAGTCGTGCTGATAAAGCACTCCCAGGCCCGTAACTATAGGATTTTAGATTTACTGAGTCGAGTCGTCGAGGCATGCTCCCCCAGAAAGGCTTAGAAACGCTATTTCCTGCATTCTGGGAGCAATTTTAACAAACAATCAGTAATGATAAACAGTGACACAATGACTATAATTTCATAGTCTTCCTGCATTCTGGGAACAGTTTTAAGAAAAAATCAATCTCATAAACAGTGACACAATGACTATAGTAATCTCTCAAGAGTAGAATTGCATTGCAAGTTGCAAGAAAAATTGCACCGTGTAACATGGCCTTTACGCTTCAAGACTCTATTCAATTTCTATTCAATTTATCTGTTATTTTAAGTTTCAAAACAGCACTGAAATCACCACTGAATACAAATTCAACTACAAACATATGTTGAAATCAGTTTTTTTGCACAGCAAAATTTTTGCTTGTTTTGCCGGCTTTGACCTAAAGTTCATCTTTATATGCGTTCGTATCATGAAGCAAAGGATGTAACGAACGATCATTTTCGATTATTTCTTTCATACTGAGATGACCATCACCATCGTTGTCAGCCAACGTAAGAATTTTTCTTGTTCCTCTCATGGCACTCGCACGAGTTGGTACCAACCATTCTTTCAATTCATCTTTATCAAGTTTTCCATCTTTGTTTATGTCATAGTCTTCATTAAAATGTTCCCTTAGTTTTCTCTGGTCGTGAATGTCAGGATTACCGTCTGATTGAGAAGCTATATAGTAGAGAAATAATATGAATTAATCGGTCGTTACCGCTCGCGTCCACATTGGTATTATATACAGCATCAAAAAGCCTGCTGTCTGTGTAGATCAGCTACACGATTGATATTATACAACTAAGACTTTGCAGTGAGTGTGTTGGAGGGGAAGGGGTAAAGCGATAAAGTGGGGAAGGGGGCATGGCCCCCTGCCCCCCAGTTCCGCGGTCCTTGCTTTTAATATTGCTGCAATATTATAGGAAGCATTACGATGTTCCTAAGTTCCTTATATTTTGTTTATTTTTAAATTTGGAGTGTTGGATGAACTACTCTATGTAGACCACTCTGATGTAGACCGCGCATCTCGATCAAGCTAACTCTCGATCTCCAAACGCGAAATGCACAACAGACGTGTCTTTTTCTCAATGCTTCTTTTTCTCATTTTGCAAAACATAACGACAACGTCGACGCCTCTCTTTCCATACTCGATTACATATCCATGTCCATTTTGCTTGTCGCGCTTTTCCGCGAGGTCTAGGTTGTCCAGCTAGCTTTGAGTTTTGACTTTGAAATGACCCTTCCGGAATGTATGTCACTTTGGCTATATATAAAGCCTCGTTTTTGTTGATGTGATCTAAGTTTAAGCCCAACGTCTCAATCATTTAATCTAAATTAATTTAGGGCAAACGATGATATTTTCATCTCCAGGTGGATCATTCTAAGCATGAGCTGCATGCATCTCAACTAACTGTTCTCTAATTGCACTTACCCAAAAATTCATCCATTGTTACGAAATCATCGCGATTTAAGTCAACTTTCTTTAGCCAATCGTCCATTACCATTTCAACCATGTCTTCGTTACCTGCCTGCATGGAGGAATGAAAGAATTTTAATATAGTAGTGGAATGTATGTCTATAGACACCCATTCAGTTTGCGCTGATCTTTTTTCTCCGTCAAGATATTGACCCTACTAACCTCAAAGTCACAGTGGCACATAACCATTGTGGTAATATCTTCATGTTTCACGTGCGAATATATTTCTCTTTGATCTTGAGCCCATGCAATCACAACCCTAACCCTAACCCTAACTATTGAGGCTCGCCTCAAGCGTGATAAAAACCCTGGCTTGCGAGGTTGATTATTGAGGGTGGGAAAGGGTATTTTCGTGAGCCGTGAATGGTCAATATTTGTTCGCGTGAAATGTGAAATGCTTGATTTTAGTGTCGTGAAATGTGATTTGTTCTTCAGCCGTGAGGCGTGATTGTCGATAAAAATGCTCCGTGAAATGAGAATTAAGGATGTCTGTTTCGTGAACTGCGATTTTGCTTTGTTTATTTCGATCTATCAGTTTACTAATAGTCATATAGTTCAGTGTAATAGACATGATACGCGATAATCAATTTATATGATCTCACTCGATTGCACAAGAGTAAAAACTTTGGAGGCCTTTCGGAGGTCGTCGGACATACTCGTCACTCAAACTTCTAAGTTATGATGTAGTTTTTAACTGACAGGTTGTACCATGCATTCAACATACTCTTAATAAACCTATTATTATTATATTATTTTATTAGAATCTAGTTTTCCGTGAAATTGCTTTTTTAAGACACGTGAATCGTGAAACGGCTTTTTTTTCGTTGTGAAACGTGATCCATACCCCCTTTCCCACCCTCATTATTGTGCGCGAACTGCCACATATATCAGCCCGGCCATATTGTTTGGTAGTGGAGCGATCGAGCTGTAATTTTCCCCTGGATACCTACCATACTAATTTAGTCGTAGCTAGTATGTGATAGAAAATATGATTCTGTTATAGTAAACATTTAAAAATCATACCCCTGGAAAATAAAAACTTGCAAACTCTTTAGAGTCAAGAACTCCATCTTGAGTCAAGTCAGCCATGATGAATTTTTTCTTATCGTAATCTAAATCTTCAGAATTTCGTAAAGCTTCATCGGGATAAGCCGTAGATACAAATTCATTCCACGAAATTTTGTTGTCATAATCTATGTGGAAAAGTACGTTCATAAAGACCGTAATTTACTACAGCAATTCTTGTCATGGGTAGTGCGGCTTCGTTACTAATTAAATCATTCATGATTTTTCTGTGTTGGTGTAATGTACTCAGGTGAATATGATGCTTGTGATGTTACTCTGAGTGTATATCCACACCGGGCAAGCTTGAAAAATATGCCTGACCACGGTGGGAATCGAACCTACGACCTTTGGAATACTAGCCCAATGCTCTGCTAACTGAGCTACGCGGTCTGGTCGGTTCGAGTATGTGATATTTCGGAACAGAATCTAGTTCCTTCGATATCAATGTTATCTAATAATAATCATGATTTTTCTGTGTTGGTGTAATGTACTGTTGGTGTAATGTTCGGAAATATCACATACTCGTACCGATCAGACTGCGTAGCTCAGTTGGCAGAGCATTTGGGCTAGTATTCCAAAGGTCGTAGGTTCGATTCCCACCGTGGTCAGGCATATTTTTCAAGCTTGCCCGGTGTGGATATACACTCAGAGTATAACATCACAAACATCATAATTAAATCATTGCTGTAACTGAAGAGTGGTGCTTCCACCTCTACGGAGTCTACCTCTGGGAGTCTACCAAGCATCACCGGGTTCACTTCGACCCACGAAATCAAAGATCTTAATAGAGAATATAATCTTCGAAGTAATGATACTGATCTAGCACTTCCAAAACCTAAAACAAACTATCTGGCTTAAACGAAGTTTCAAATATAGTGGTACAATGTTGTGGAATAGTCTTCCTTCTGAGGCGAAAAAGGCATCTTCGGTTTACCAATTTAAACGCAGCATGTCCACTATACCAGAGACTTAGGATGTGAGTTAAAATAGTTTGTAAGTAAAACACGCCCCATCTGAAAATCAACAGATTGTATATTACAACTATGTTGTGTATGGCAATGCAGCGTGGCTAAATAAATCAGTAAGTAAGTAAGTAAGTAAGTAAGCGAGTAAGTAAGTAGTAGGACTGAATATATGCTGGGCATTCCAAACGCTTAGTAGTCAGAAGGTCAGTAGTCACAACCAACATTGTACGGGGGAGCGGGCCGGATACAAAGATGCCAATATGTGTGCTAAGTGTCTACGGAATTTTTGCCATGATTGTAGCTATATTACAAATACAGCATATATCATTTGATTTGATAGGCCTAGTGGACCCTTTATAAATGTGTGAGCTTACGCCAGACCACTTTAGCCTCCAAACAATTTTGAACTATCCACTCATTGGCCTGAGGCTAAAACCCATTCCCTGCGGAGGAGGCTTTTAGACCACTTTACTCACTGACCAAATTAGTCAGAGCCTGGTGGTAGTGAACTTTCTTTCTGATCATCTGATGCTACCTAGTTTCACTGCTATTCATATAAAAAACAACTTACTTATATCGTATTTATCCATTAATTTATCCACTTCGCTCTGTCTTTGTTGTGAAAACGATTTTTCCATTTTGTGAATGATTTCTTTTTTCGAAACCAAACCATCTTGATCGAGATCCACCTCTTCTTTGATAAATTTCTCAATATTTCTTGAAGAATCTTAAATGCAAAATTTAGAATTGAAAATTTATTATAGAAGAGCGTATAGAATTAAGCAGTTACAAAAATTGGTATATTTCAAATATATTTATTTTTGACCTTGGCCTCAATCATAACCCTATTATTGTCCGGGAAACATAATTGTATTAACCGGAAAATTTAAGCCCGAAGGGCACCTAACGGCTAACGCAAAAGCCTGCATGGGAACTCCGCTTAAATTATTATATTAGGTAGAACGCTTCTCACATATAAGAGCGGTCAGCGGACTGATGCATCAGAGACAGAGTGACGATATTAATCATCTCACAACTGGATTCATTAGTTTTATGCTCCTTAATTGACTTTGCCTTTGGAAATATAGTAATTTTATATAGGTAAGGTAGCTGAGCGACCGGAAAGATTAGCTGGACTACATATCACCAAACGCAGCGCAAGCTTTGCAGGGACAATATCGGATCCTCTAATATTTATTGCCAAGAATCAGAAGCGTCAATCTGACAGCGACGATGCTCACCGATCATGTCGTCGGCTCCGTATGTCTGCTCAGCCTCAGTTAAACTACTCATACTGCAAAGACTTACCTTTCTCGTTTTGATTTTCTGCGCGATTCTCTGAAGTAGATTGTGTCAAACATAAAGAATATCGAAACAGAAGAACAATGACAAGCAGGCAACATATTCCACGTGCTGTCACAAATACCAGCATCATCTAAGTTGATAATTACCCAGATGCAAAACCTAATTTACCCTGTAGAACACTGATCATGAAGCATCATGGCGGGCCGTTTGTTCAAATGAGTTTATCCCTACTCATTAGTTTAAGATCTGGTCTGAAAGCTAATCAGTTTACTAACATTCCATCTAAGTATGTAGTCGGACACAGCCGGCGCGCAACTGACCGATATAGAAATAAGAGATATCCTAAACTACCTGATTTACAACAATGATACCTGCTACAGCACAAACCAGATTATTTACTTTGACAAGTAAAAACTTTAAATGTAAACAAATGTGTAAAATACTGGTAAATTAAAGTTATATATATATATATATATATATATATATATATATATATATATATATATATATATATATATATATATATATATATATATATATATATAATTGTTGTCTTTCTACTTAAAATTAATTAAGTCGCAACTCTGAGTTTCACGTTTTCACGATCTTCAGGCGACGATGTATGTTCAACTAACTTTTCCTGCTTGGTGACGTTGATATCCGTTGTGCTGCTTGCGTGACTGAGTTTGCGTGCGTGATTGAGCTTGCGCGCGTTCAAACTTTTCGGCCAAGAATCGTTTTTGGTGAACGCACTTCGAGAACAACTCGCGTCTTCTATTTAGCAAGTTTGACTTATCCGCTTTTAGAATGCAAAGTTTCTCTTGGAGGCAAAGGTTACATCTCTTTCCACCGCTGGAATACGAGGCTGCTCGTTTTAGGATAGACCAATTAATCGTGAAGTTCTGCTGCTTTTCCTTTAAGTTCCACACGTATTTTGAGAGCTCCGTATTGTTCCTGTATATAACATTATTGAAAGATTTATTGTGGTTATATAACCGTGTCTTAAAGGTGTTTCCCGTCATGCCAATGTATTCTTTAGGTTCCGAATTGTTGGTTACCACCTCTGCTTTATAAACTATGCAGTCTAATAGGCATTTCTTTTGAAGAGGGCATTCGTTGCTATTATTACAATTGCATGTGGCGCTGTATGTTGATGATGATGTTTGGGTTGTCGATTTCGGTTTTGATAGTATTCTGGTGTTATGCTTAGAAATTATACTCTTGCAATTATCCATGCAGCTGTAACTGACTTTCACCGAGTTGCGATTAAATATCTTATGAAGGCAATTGGAGGGTGGGAAATGTTTGTCAATTAGATTGAGGAAGATCTTGCCCACGTTTGTTCTTACGTTCTTGCTGAACGGTGGATTGAACCAAATTATGTTTCGTTGTCTTCGTTTATTACCACTACCGTTGTTGCTTGAGGTATAATGCAAGTTCGCATGATAGTTGCTGTGGTTCAATGCGCTTTCATACATGGGTGCAGCGGCTGAAAAGGCATTTTGGTCGGATGATAATTGCGAAATACGTTTGTTCACTGATAGCGGGATTTGTTTTATGATTGATGGTGGATGATTCGAATGACTGTTGATGAAAAGGGGGTCATTATTAGGTTTCCGGTAAGGCTTGTAACTCTGCTCGTGTAAATTGAAAGTTAAGTCGAGGAAGTTGATGGTTTGGTGGCAAATTTCGGCTGTTATCTTTAACTGGAAGTTCTCTGCAAACAACTTGTGCAGATCTTTTCTTGCCTTATCGGCTAGACGTTTGGAAGTTCCCTTCAGTAAAATAAGTCCATCATCACGATAAAGACCAACGTAATCTTTCCCGTATTTCTCAGCTAAGGAGTTTAGAATAAATAAGCCGACTAGCTCACATACCTCTGCGCCGTCGTAACTTCCCATTGTAACGTCAAATGTGGTGTTGCTTTGCCGTTTTTTCCAGATGTTACCACCATTGAAAAGGAGGGAGTTTCTTGCGTGTTTAATGATTGACACATGATTGTTTTATGTTACCATCCCTGAACAACATGTGTCAATCATTAAACACGCAAGAAACTCCCTCCTTTTCAATGGTGGTAACATCTGGAAAAAACGGCAAAGCAACACCACATTTGACGTTACAATGGGAAGTTACGACGGCGCAGAGGTATGTGAGCTAGTCGGCTTATTTATTCTAAACTCCTTAGCTGAGAAATACGGGAAAGATTACGTTGGTCTTTATCGTGATGATGGACTTATTTTACTGAAGGGAACTTCCAAACGTCTAGCCGATAAGGCAAGAAAAGATCTGCACAAGTTGTTTGCAGAGAACTTCCAGTTAAAGATAACAGCCGAAATTTGCCACCAAACCATCAACTTCCTCGACTTAACTTTCAATTTACACGAGCAGAGTTACAAGCCTTACCGGAAACCTAATAATGACCCCCTTTTCATCAACAGTCATTCGAATCATCCACCATCAATCATAAAACAAATCCCGCTATCAGTGAACAAACGTATTTCGCAATTATCATCCGACCAAAATGCCTTTTCAGCCGCTGCACCCATGTATGAAAGCGCATTGAACCACAGCAACTATCATGCGAACTTGCATTATACCTCAAGCAACAACGGTAGTGGTAATAAACGAAGACAACGAAACATAATTTGGTTCAATCCACCGTTCAGCAAGAACGTAAGAACAAACGTGGGCAAGATCTTCCTCAATCTAATTGACAAACATTTCCCACCCTCCAATTGCCTTCATAAGATATTTAATCGCAACTCGGTGAAAGTCAGTTACAGCTGCATGGATAATTGCAAGAGTATAATTTCTAAGCATAACACCAGAATACTATCAAAACCGAAATCGACAACCCAAACATCATCATCAACATACAGCGCCACATGCAATTGTAATAATAGCAACGAATGTCCTCTTCAAAAGAAATGCCTATTAGACTGCCTAGTTTATAAAGCAGAGGTGGTAACCAACAATTCGGAACCTAAAGAATACATTGGCATGACGGGAAACACCTTTAAGACACGGTTATATAACCACAATAAATCTTTCAATAATGTTATATACAGGAACAATACGGAGCTCTCAAAATACGTGTGGAACTTAAAGGAAAAGCAGCAGAACTTCACGATTAATTGGTCTATCCTAAAACGAGCAGCCTCGTATTCCAGCGGTGGAAAGAGATGTAACCTTTGCCTCCAAGAGAAACTTTGCATTCTAAAAGCGGATAAGTCAAACTTGCTAAATAGAAGACGCGAGTTGTTCTCGAAGTGCGTTCACCAAAAACGATTCTTGGCCGAAAAGTTTGAACGTGCGCAAGCTCAATCACGCACGCAAACTCAGTCACGCAAGCAGCACAACGGATATCAACGTCATCAAGCAGGAAAAGTTAGTTGAACATACATCGTCGCCTGAAGATCGTGAAAACGTGAAACTCAGAGTTGCGACTTAATTAATTTTAAGTAGAAAGACAACAATTATATATATATATATATATATATATATATATATATATATATATATATATATATATAACATATATATATATATATATATATATATATATATATATATATATATATATTTTATATATATATATATATATATATATATATATATATATATATATATATATATATATATATATATATATATATATATATATACTGTAGTTATGAATAATACTAAGTTTTAATAATAGGTTTTAGTATATACAAATACAATATGAGTTTGCAACTTTGCATACTATATATATGCATTTCAGTTAAATGTTACCGGCTAATGACCTATACTTGCAAATCATTAATGATCTGCAGTCCAAGAGTCAGACAGATCAGTCCCATTTACAAACGTTTAGTTCTACACTTAGATAAAGGAACACTTCGTGGGTTCCTATATTTTCCTGACTGTGGTGGTGAGCGGATGGAGCCGAAGAGATCGGATACAATCCCGGCAATCGAGTGAGCGCTATGATAGCGCTCACGTGATTGGCGGGATGAAACTCGATCCCAACATCTTGCAACATCAGCCAACCTTATCCAACCCGATATAGTGTTCAATCGAGGCCATTAACATAATTATGTTGCATCCAAAGTATCCAATTGACAATGTTGGACTACCGTATTTACTCGTTTGAGCACCGCCCCCGATTAAGCGCCGCGTATGGGAGCAAAAATATTAAAGAGCGTCGCCCTCAATCTGAAAAATTGTTCATGACGCCCTACCGCGGATGGGAAACGCCGTGGGTACGTGGTTGCAATTTTTAACAAGCCTCGGGACGTTTTTCTCCTGCTTTTCAGTTTTATATCAGATATTTTGTTGCTAATATTTATTTTTATCACGTCGTATCTTCCGCTCTATCGATCGTATTACGTAATTTATAAAACGGCAGCACAAGAACCTCTGGAAGCAGGGTAACAAATAAATTATAACCCGCTCATTTTATTATATTTCATCCATGCAGTTCTCTCCTTGATGAGCTTAATTAAATGGGAAACATTATCTTCTAATCGTATAAAGCAAAAGGCAATCTTAACATACAAAACTATTAACATTTGTACACAAGTCTATTTACAAGAGATGTTTTCTAGCTCCCAGTGAGAGTGTTTATAACCTGAGAGACTCTGATGGTAAACTCTATATCCCAAAGCTACGCACAGATTATTTACTATTATTTGAAACGCTCCTTTAGACGGTTAGTGGAGCTTTTTTATGGAATAGCCTACCAGGATCTCTTAGATCAGGCCCCTCTCACTGCTTAGCTTAAGACGGGTTGAGAAACCTTCTCAGAATAAATGAATTGATCTGCAGACTCCCACAGGGCAATCAGGTTGAACAGTATTTTAATTTGTGCAAGTATTTTTTAAATTTGTCAGTGTGGTACTAGTCGACAAACCAGTCCAGCCGAAGGCGAGAGTTTGTATATCAAATAAAGATCGGATGCGAATGTTTTAACGGCGTACTTAAAAAACGACCCATCTTATGAGTTCATTGCCATTGAAGAGAACTGAATCTGTTTAAAATTTTCACATCCAACATTGTACAACATTGTCCATTTGTCCAACATTGTTGGACCAACCGAACGTTGTACAGCCAAGGACAGTGGAACTGGGCGGGGGGGCGAGCGCGTAAAAGAAAGAAAGGTAATTCATATGTATGGTCCAAATATTCTGATCAACTTGTAACTCGCTTGCCTCCTCCCCCCTCTCCGCACTTCCAAACACACTCCGGGTCACTGACATCGGGTGGGCAGATGACAGATCATTGTTTCCAACTGGATATGGAGTTTCCAAGATTTACTCGCTGTTGTGGATATTTTAATCGTGATTAGAATCTAATAACGGTCTGTCAAAGACCATTGAAAAGTCATCCGTGGCAAGAACAGGTAAATCATGACCATACAGGGTGTCCCAAAAAAACCCCATTGAAATAACGTATTGTTAAAATTTGAATGCCCTAGCACTAAGCTGAACGCAAAGATGCGTAAAATATTGACAAGGGTGCATATATTAAATATATTGACTTATTAAGAACTTAAAATATCTTTGTAAAGCGCGCGATTTTCTGCTCTTGGGAATTTAAAACAGCTTCTTAAACGGTTTCTTTAGGCATAAAATTTACTAACGGCAAGCTTTGATGCACGTGTGTGTTCAGCAGAGTACCGAGGCATTCACATTCTAACACTACGTTATTTCAATAGTTTTGCGGTTTTTTTGGGACACCCTGTATAGGGATATCATGCTCAGAAGCTACATTTATCAATAAGGTGAATATAGGAGCATGTGTTGATGAACATTTCTGCTACATACAAATTGACAGGGGAATAATTATCGGGCAAAGGCGACTTGAAATTATTGTCTTCCAAAATTTTACTGAGAATGGTCGATGGTCCTTAATCCATCCCTTCAGGTACCTAAATTCACAAACATGTGCGTGCGGTCCCCCTCCCCCCAAAAAAGAAAGATCTCCTTAATTACATCAGTCGAGATATAAAATTTGTGGCCTGCGTAGCATGCGCACTCGCTTTATTTTGGAAGGTTTTGAGGATTTTTGAATAAATAGCAGGTTAGAAAAAATGGGCGAAGAAAAAGGGCGAGAAAAAACGGGCAAAGAAACATTTTTCTCCATTTATTGAAAAAGCCTCCTTCAAAAATAAAGCGACTGCTACACAGGTTATAAAATTTGCATCAATAATTACAATCAAAGTAAATTGTATCATAATTTATGTCATAATAATTATTATGTTTTGGATACTAAAAACTACGTATATCATTATGTAAATATATATTGCACAGAGTTATATTATATTATTCGAATTTAAAAAGTACCCAGTAATTTCTATGTTACGCAGATGTTTTTCGGTCGAGATATAAATTAACCGCTTTGTGGTTTAATTATTACAATAACAAATACAAATTATCATAATTTCCAGCTGTCTGTTACTGCACATGCGCACTACGTTCAAGGGCGTAATCAAATTCATTCATCATGGCCGATTGGATTCGATATTTCGAATCTGAAATCCCTCCTACAAATTTGGAGGAAACTCGAAAGACCCTGTATGGATTTACAGCCAGTCATATACAAGGTGCAAGAAATGTTGTTTTTATCACGGTAAGGCCGACATAATATCGACGTTTGCTGCATTTTAAAGTGATGTATGCGTTACATTCCATGCATACTCAAAACAAAATAGTGTATAATTTTGCATGTATTTTGCTAAAACATTTTAAATTTATTTTATGCAAGTCCAAATTATACAATCCTTTGTATTGCTTTTGTGGCGGATATCAACTACGAGCGAAAACCGATTTCGAAAAGATGGAAATGGCATGAAACTTTGCTTTATCATTGTTGTGTCTCTATGATGACCTTTTGCTCATGTCTCATGATATGTGCACTTTCAAAATTAAATCTAATGTATTCGCAGCGTTCGCTGTCTTTATACCGAATTATTTATTAACAAAGCTCTCGGTGAAATCTGTTTTATTTATAACTACTATTTGCCAAGTTTAAAATAGTGTTTCTTTATATAAAATATGAGTGTTCAATATTAATGTATTAAATTATATTTGTCACATAAATATCACAGATGTATACAAAATATAAATATGACACTGCCTCCTTCAGGAAATTTTTGACCTCAGATAAATGGATTGCATTCTAGATAGGACCAGATAGTGAACTAATGGTTGATGATTCTGTGGATGAGGGAGGGTAGCAAGGTGGTACCGGGTATTACAAAATACATGGCGATTCAAATATTCACCGGTTGGCGGGTGGGGAGGGTTTGACGTTCCATTTTTACAGAAGAAAAGGGTGTTGCTCCACTTATTCTCTCCCTTCGAGGTGTAACTAAGTTCAGAAAATTTAAAGTCAACTGAATTAACATGCGATCACTCAGTGAACGAATAGCAAGAGCATATAGAGTAATAGCACATGACCTAAGCACAACAGTTCTTTGGAGGGTATAGCTCTGTTGGAGGGGATGCACGCTACATTTAGCAAGGCTGTAACCATGAACTGAAGTCAATTTGGCTGTCAAATAGGTACTCAAGCTACCGACCAACGACTATCCCGGCTTGGCAAATCCCAATGATGCCGAGAATTCACCTCTCCAAAGACAGAACTATTGTCACACAAAGTGGAAACCGGAATACAAAGACAAACAAAAAACACACAAATACTTACCCAAGTGACGGAACATACAACACCAAACAATAAATAATACTCCCAGACAAAGCAAAGATAACAATACCATAGCTGAAAAGAATGAAAAGCTCTGCAACGCAGTACATGACTACAAAAAAGCAGATTAGTGTTAAAACCAATTTGAGTAACAAGAGGAATAATCATCCAGAATAGCTGGAGGTATGCTCGAGAGTTGGCGCAGCAAGTAAGCACAACGAAAAAATATCCAACAGGACAACAGTTGACATAATCGACAGCGCACCCCCCAAAACACAAGACGTAACAACATAAAATGCAATTATCACGTGTAGACTACGAGAACAAAGAAAAGTTACTGAACACAATAACCTACCCAGGGGTGCGCCTTGATTGTCAGCCAAAACAATTACAGTACTCCAATTAACGATACAGGCACCTCTGGTCAGCAGCGACCAGGAAACGCTGATACTACCCACACCTCCGCTGGTTTGCAATAACTGAAAGCATAGAATGTAAAGCAACCCATAGAAGCCAAAATAAGCACGCAGACACTCTGTCACTCCCAGCAAGTGGGTTAGCACCAGCAGCATCCCCCAAGAAACCCAGTGCGGACAAAGGGGCTGGGTGGGTGGGGATGTTGTGAACTTGAAAGTCTGCAAGCAATGAGCTATACCTGTGAGCTCCACGGCTTAAATAATCTCAGTAAAACTGCATAATAACTAATATGAATATATAATTAATATATACTTAAACAACACACACACATTCGTTCTTGAAGTTAATTACTTTTATTGCATAAAACCCATAACTACCCACACCTCCACTGGTTTGCAATAACTGAAAGCATAGAATGTAAAGCAACCCATAGAAGCCAAAATAAGCAGGCAGACGCTCCCAAGCGGGTTAGCACTGCACCAGCACCCCCCCCCCCCCCAAGAAAACCAGTGCAGACAAAGGGGCTGGGTGGGTGGGGATGTTGTGAACTTGAAAGTCTGCAAGCAATGAGCTATACCTGTGAGCTCCACGGCTTAAATAATATCTGTAAACCTGCATAATAACTAATATGAATATATATTAATTAATATATACATAAACAACACGCACACACTCGTTCTTGAAGTTAATTATTTTTATTGCATAAAATCATTTTTTCAATATTCTCTAACAGGTAAAATAAGATTAAATTTAATTAAAATTCTTGATTGTAAAGTACTATTAGGAAAACCAACTGAAGTGCTTGATAAACAGGGTTCTCCTTATCAGGCGGTAACCGGTAAAATTTACTGTTTCCACGAGCACTGATTACTGCCTGGTTCCCACGAGCACTGATTACCGCCTTTGTTAAGAAATAATTAGTAATACGGTGTGAGAAAATCTATTAATCAATCAATCAAGTATTGCTGAAATTCCACACTATTAATTATTTAGCATCGATGCAGATTGAATACAGAAATATCCTATAAACCCGATCTGTGAAGAAAATTTTTTGGCAGAATGATTATATTATCAATCCAGCGTGGGCCTGGGGACTGAGTAATTAAATCAGTGTGTGTTTAGAATACAGTATAATCTTTAGTATTCTATAAAAGTTTAAATCTCTCAAAATGCAGGAAATGCCATTTGAGATTTCAAAAATTTCCGTTGGTATCCCCCATACCCCCTAGAGGTTTGTAAGTACGACTTGATGCTTATACCTGTTGAAAAACCTGTTTTACCTGTCCCACTCACAACTTTGGAGAACCCTGGATAAAGATGCTATATAAAACCAACAGTCCATTATTACTTTCATATTTTCACCAACAGTCCAATATTACCCCCAAACCCTCACAAGGTATGCCCCTGATCATAGAAGCATGGGTGGACACTAGAAGGAGGTAGCTAGCTAATGGAGGGTGGAGAGCGAGTGCACCCATCAATAATTTTTTAAAGCCATTGAATAATTGCTGAATAACAGACTGTGTAACAAAGCTGTGATCATGATTATTGTTAATGTGAATATTGTTATTGTGATGTGTATGCAAATGATATTGAGGATCTGAAATCAGGTCAGCATATTAATGGTAAAGCGATTCAGTTATTGGCAGAATCCATTTCTTATATTACCTCTGTAATACCCAGCTCCAGGGAAATTCAGCGGAGGAAAATAGTGATTGTAAGGAAGTTATTACAGAAAAACCAACAGCTAAAACGACCAAACACATTGATTATGTAAATTCTGATACTACTGAAAGCCCTATTGTCATGGAAGAATTGGTTCATTCAAGTGAAAACAATAGAGATGATTGCAATTCTTCGATAAACGGAAAAGCTATAGCTGCAACACCTGAAGTGATTAAGTTGGCCCCTGTTAGCCAATTCTTCTGACGGTTTCATTGGAGTGGATTGAAAACGACAAAAACATAAAAAGTTTTCTTATCCGGAATTGCCGAAAGTGTGAAAGAAGGTCAGATATATATACCTTACTAAACAAGGAATAATCCCAACCAATATCACTATTTTTCGACTACTTGCCAAAGGCTTGATACAAAATCTCTCCCAAATGTCACTTATGCTAGTGAATGCAAGATCAATATATAATAAGTTACTGTAAATGAATTGGAACTTCTTGTTGACAATAATAGCAGTGACATTGTCTGTTTAACGGAGACATGGTTAACGGATAATATACCTGATGAGGCAATTAATCGCATCGGTATGAATCTCATTAGATTTGACACAAAGTGTAGAACAGGTGGGGGAGTTGCCTTATTAATTAATAATAAAATTTAGTAAAATTCCATTCAAGATTCGTGACCACCTGACAGATCCCTCATTTGAAAGCCTTTGGGTAACTATAAGACCAAAGTGGCTGCCAAGAGTACTTACTTCCTAGCCAAAGTGATATATGGATTCATTTTACGATAATACAACTGCTATGACAAACTTTGTCGGGAAAGCCCAAATTCGGGTTTTATCGTTGCAGGAGATTTAATCCGATAAGTACTGAATTTCAAAGTAAACGGTTAAAGATTCATTGTAACTTTAATCAAATTGTAAAGAAACCTACTAGAAAACATAACATCTTGGGCTTGATTTTTACTAATATTACTCAGTTTTATCTACGTCCTGATACATTAGCGCCATTGTCTACGTCTGACCATAATGTGGTAATATGCATGGAAATAAAAAAATTCATACCAGGATATAGAGAAGGGAAAATAATAAAAGTTAAAGTTAGGGAAATTAAACCAACTAATATTAATGGTTTTGGGTTTTTCCTGCAAAACCTCGATTGGTGTCACGTTTTTGGCAATATTGGGATTGACGAGAATGTTCATTCCTTTCTTGAATGTACTAACTCAATGATCAATCAGTTCTTTCCTGAAAAGACGATAAAGAGGCATAGTAATGATAAACCTTTTATCACAAACAAGATAAAAGTACTGATTGCTAAAAGAAATAGAGCTTTCAAAAGTCATACAATGGAACTCTTTAATCATTACGAAATCAAGTCTCGATAGAAATAAGGAAAGCAAAGTTGTCCTTCTATGACAAAAAAGTTCGACCTAAACAAAGTTCTTGCCCAAAATATTGGTGGAAGCAAATTAAAAAACTCACTGGTAAGAAAAAGGATACGGTGTCATTAATGATTCGACTCAATCAGTGGACTTGTTTTAGATGACAATCAGTCAGCTACTCTCATCAATGACTTCTTTGTTAACTTAACTAGCAACTTTCCACCAGTTAAAAATGAGTCGTTTCATTTGCAGTGCCCAGACAACTTCCCAGCCGTCGGTGTTGAATATGAGATGTTCGATTGAATTATAGAGATCTTGAAAATGTATGCATACTCGTTTGCAATTCCCTTTGTGGACATTTATAACGAATCATTTAGATCTAAATATTTTCCCGAGATTTGGAAGCAGTACAAGGTAGTTGCAATCCCAAACATCGTACCATATACTATAGCGGAAAACACTAGACCAATCGCACTTACAAGTGTGTTATCCAAAGTTCAGGAATCGTTTGTTGTCAGATGGATCAATGAAGACATAAATGGTAAAATTTCAGATTCCCAGTATAGGGGTCTTCCTAGGTCGCCAACAGTTCGTGCTCTTTTAAATTTACTTCATGCATGGTAATAAAGCAATGGACATATCGCGGAGAGTGATACGCGTATTTTCCTAGATTTTAGGAAAGCATTCGATCCGATTGATCACAATATTTTACTTGATAATATGAGAACGTTGATGAAATGGTTTGCTTCATACTTAAATAATAGATCCCACTTCACTAAAGTTGGCAATGTTTATGGACTACAATGTATGAGGCACTTGATGTCACTGATCATGTCTCTGGTACAGAAATTAGGAATAAAACTATTGAACGGGGACATATTTTATAATTTTAAATGTAGAACTGAACGTTATAAAAATAGTCCAATTGTATATAGAATTAAGAGATTTAATCAAACTTTAGCTTAGAAGTATTAGACTTGTTTGTTAATCCTAATTCAAAAACTCATTAATAATTCATGAAGATTGCAATTATCCAATCTTGAGTAAGAAATTAGTCACGTGCATACATCTTTATACCAGCTAAAGAACACTTTAACAAAAGACCATTGTTATGCAAACTATATAAAGATTTTTATATAAAGATTTTTATATAAAGATTTTTTATATAAAGATTTTTATATAAAGATTTGACTTAATATGCAAATGTTTTTGAAGTCATTTAAAAAACTCGCCGGTCGTGTTTTATTAGGTCTAAAGCCACTCGCGCTGCGCGCTCGTGGCTTTAAACCTAATAAAACACTCCTGCTCGTTTTTTAAATAGTACTTCAAATTTTGTAAATAGAGTAATGTAAACTAATTCAATTTTGTTAACAATTGTTGTAATTCGCATGATAATTTACCTACCCACATTTCAAATGTCTTAGTTGTTATGTTAACGAATATAATGGTTAAAGTGAAGGCTTAAGTTTGCAAAAGTACCAGGGGTGTTTGCACCAGTACCAGCTGAGTGGGTTGCACCTGCACCAGGGTGCGTTTGTGTGAAAATTCAAATAAAAGCAGTACCAGGGTGTGTTTGCACCAGTACCAGAGTGTTTTTGCACAAGTACCAGGGTGTTTTTGCACAAGTACCAGGGTGTCTTTGCACCAGTACCAGTGTGTCTTTGCACCAGAACCAGAGTGTTTTTGCACCAGTACCAGCTGAGTGCGTTTGCACCAGTACCGGAGTCTTTTTGCACCAGTACCAAGGTGTGTTTGCACCAGTACCAGGGTGTGTTTGCACCAGTACCAGGTTGTGTTTGCACCAGTACCAAGGTGTCTTTGCACCAGAACCAGTGTGTTTTTGCACCAGAACCAGAGTGTGTTTGCACCAGTACCAGGGTGTGTTTGCACCAGTACCAGGGTGTGTTTGCACCAGTACCAAGGTGTGTTTGCACCAGTACCAAGGTGTGTTTGCACCAGTACCAAGGTGTGTTTGCACCAGTACCAGGGTGTGTTTGCACCAGAACCAGAGTATTTTTGCACCAGTACCAAGGTGTGTTTGCACCAATACCAAGGTGTGTTTGCACCAGTACCAGGGTGTGTTTGCATCAGTACCAGGGTGTGTTTGCACCAGTACCAGGGTTTGTTTGCACCAGTACCAGGGTTTGTTTGCACCAGGGTGCTTGTATACTGTATAAGCACCATACACCTGTGGTAACAATGGATAATTGTGACTTCTGTGTTGCTTTCAGCCGTTATACAGCGTATTGTGAACAAACAGTTATTCTAAATATTTGTGTGCAAATGAAAAAATTAATGTTAACTTTTTGTTTTCAGTCTGGAGGCACTACAGTTCCTTTAGAGACGAATACAGTGAGGTTTATTGATAACTTTAGTTCTGGAGGGAGAGGTGCTGCTTCAGCAGAGTATCCTTGAAAAGTCACGAAAAACAAGTGGTCAGACTGTTCTCTTTATGTATTAATGTGGTTAATCAATCTCGTACCCAGAGTATGCCCGTTCGCAGGTTAGGTGCTGGGCATGACTCTGGAGAAACGGAATACCGGATATCCAATTTTGGATATCCGGTTAGTTGTGCGCATGCTCACGCTCAAACCGCAACACTGAATTCGCGCGGGCGTCATTAGTTGCAATTATAAATAAAATCGTAGAATTCAGTCGAAAATTTGATACTTTTTACATTGAAATCAATTGAAAAAGATTCATTTTCTTGTGCTAAAAGTTACAGAGTAAATATATATGCGGTGTATATAAACCAATCATTTTTATGGATTTTATACGGTCAAGAAATGGTATCGAGAGACTTCGCAAGAAGGCCACTGACAGAGGTTTTATAGAGGATCTAGATTATTACAAACTATTAGATGTTTTTATAATATTAAAATATGTAGAATGTTTTATGGGCAATTGTGGACCTGTTAGCCTATTTTGTTTATTACAATCACAGTGATACTTTAATTGGTGCATTGTATTGATATTTAAAATAAGCATGAATCAAAATACTTCCTCTGTTAATACTCTAGCTATATCATTCCTTTGTTCTTTGATTTAACATTGTGCCAGTGCCGTAGCCAGAACGATAATTGGGGGGGGGGCACATATTCATATATTCGTGTTCTGCTTTATTAATTTCTTTTGAAATCAATTGTTTTTATGGTATGTGAACACGAATATATGAATATGTGCCCCCCCCCCCAATTATCGTTCTGGCTACGGCACTGCATTGTACATTGCATTACATTCATACAAACAGTTCCATGGTTATATCTATTTAATTTATTTATTAATTGAGTCATAAAAAATTATGTTGACAATTAATTATGCTTGAAAATAACTTAATTAAATGGAATTATGACATAGTGTTTGAACTTTGAAATGTTTTTGCTGATATAATATTATCATTTATCATAACTATTGGGTTTAACCATAGATATAGGAGACCTATCTATGGGTTTAACAATTAACACAGACTGATGTCATCAGGTTGGGTGCCTGTCTGAAAGGTGGCAGGCAAGGCAGGGTGTTGCTAAATTGCCTATCCGAATACTGGGGGCACTGATTGGGAAATCTGCCATTATTGGGGTTATGAGGTAAGCTACATTACCCTGACCTCCTGACATTGCTTCATATCCCTGGGAGATAAATCATAACTTACATGTGCTGATGTATGCCTGCAACCGGTATATGGCCAAGTCAAGGTAACTAGCTACTATTCCCATTAAATATGTATTGTACGTTAACTATATAATGTTGCAGGCGGAATGTAAGATACATGTGGGATGACCTGCTACCACTATGGCATTGTCATAGCCAGTGGTCTAGTAGGGGAGGGGTTCTGGGGGACTTAGGCCACCCCCCTCCACCAGTTTAGGACACTTTTGGAGAAAAGGGACAAAACTACCTGGGGGTGTGTGTGGAGGGGTGACACCCCCTGTCTCTATCTCATCGGGTATACCCATACAATTTAGTCGGGCAAATTTTGAAAATATTTGAGTGTCTCAGATTGAAAAGTAATAGTGGTAGGAAAAAGTGGTAGTGAAAAATGCTCCCCACTCACCAACAATTTTGGGAAAAGAAATATTAATTGGCGATTGATCAAATGTTCGTCCTTCAGGAATGACTTTGGAAACAACCCTTTTGGTCAGGCAAAACAAGTTAACCTCACCCCCCCCCAGCCATAATACAGAAGTTTTGCCCCTGTTGGAGAGCCCCCCTTGTTAACATTCCAGGACTACACCACTAGTCGTAGCCATACTGACATTGTTAGCATATATAATTTCAGCACATCAAATTGTATGCTCTTACTCCAGTAGCAGATACTTTTGGTGGGAAGGCATTCGGTTGCCACAACATGAACACCTTATGGTTCTCTAAATCTCAGTCCTTTAAATTTTACCTCAAAATTCTGGCAATTTATAGCTTATTTTATTCCCAACCTATGCTTTCATGGATGCTGTATCATCCAAAGGCTTTCAGAAATGGGAGAGTGGTTTGCACCCTACACTGCTGTCCTGTTTATTTTCTGTTAAGCCCCAAGCTGGCCAAGCAGCTTATTTATTTCAGGCATGGAGTCTAGAAACTATAGCTTGTAATCTCAATTTGAGAGGATGTGGAGGGCTTAAATTAACAGTAGGTTTGTTATAAAATTCGAGATAAAATTATTACTTTCATCGAATATTCCACTACTATAATATGGCCTTGATGTATTTGTAACAGATCCATAGCTCACATAATTTAATACTTTCATATATTTATAAAGTTACAAGAATATTATGGTATACTCAAAAGTAGAGTCTTATATCCACACAAAAATTCAATGCTGGCGCCTTATTTCCAAACGGCAAACACAGGTCCAGAACAAGCCAAAATCCCAACACTGGCGATCACTAGCGCAATTGAATTGAAGTAAATATTTTGTTACATCATATCGGTAATTTATATATAAACAAACAAAAAGTATTTGCCATAATACAAGATACAAAAGTGTACAGATCGTACGTATAAATCCTCAATCAGATTAAATGTAACAATTAACTTGTATTTGAAATCTTGCAAATAAATGCAATTTCGACTTTGTTTACGTCGTATTCGTGAATTTCCACGTGTAATTCCCGCACTTGAACACCAATTTCCGGTATCGGTGTTATTGATCTCACGCCAGCCAATGAAATTGATAATTTCATCCCGTTTCTCCAGAGTCATGCCCAGCACCTAACCTGCGAACGGGCATACTCTGGGTACGAGATTGGTGGTTAATTAGATTTGTTTTAACAATAATTACATTGTGCAATCTGATCTGAAGGAGCTTAACAGCCATCCCATAGCATGTTTTCGAAATTCCTAATGAAACATAACTAGATAGGAAAACGCAACCATCTTATAGTATTAGCACAAGACAAACTATGCACACAAATTAGCATGATTAGGGTCCAAGGGTCCTGAAACATTCCAAGCTATCGTGGTTTTGTTGTGAAAATCCATTAAGGTTCATTTTTGCATTGCGCACTTTTACTGTGCATATGTAGTAACAAATTCTAGCTAATATATATGTAGTCGAACTGCAATGTGAAGTGATAAAGAAAGAGTAAGGGCAAAGAGAAAAACACTCTGCATTGATTAGGCGTGCTTCAGGAAATGTATAAAAATGACAGAACTCTGGCTAGGGCTGTCTGTGCAACTAACACTATAAAACCACAGCGTGTTGCATGTTTAACCCTTGTATCTCTTTAAGAAGGTCCGTGACCCTACTTTTTATTTTATATTTTTGTTCTTCTATACGTTTTACATGTCATAACAGAAAATGAGAGAAAAATCATTTCTACAATTTATACTATTTTACATTGTTTACACGAGCAATTTTTTCTTTTCCCATGCTCATTCAGAAACTTCCAGCCTGATCGTCCGTCTCTATGATAAATGAGACATTTATCTCACTGATGAATACTGTATAAGGTTCCTGCAGGAAATAATGTTTTTTTCCAGTTAAATTAAAATTAAATTTGTATTAAATTAAAGTTCCTTAACACACTGCTTTAGATATTTTCTTTCCCAAGGGTATGCAGTTATATTCGTTTATCGACAAAAATCTGCACTGCCATTTCAAAGATACTTTATCACTCAAAATCCACTAGAATTTTTGAGTGTCAGTGACAATGTTGATAATCCTCTGGCAAGAAGTATTTCTGGTAAGTTTTCAAAATGTAGAGGTTATTCAGAGAGCTTGTAAGAAATTGAATCTGTTTGAATCAGGTTAAATTTTGTGTAATAATAAAAGAATATAACAAAGAACTTGTCAACTTTAGGCAAAAATAGTATATTACAAATGTTTCTGTTTTTGACGCTTATAAAATGCTACAATTGTCATATCAGGTTTTAGTAATTAAAAGTAGTTGACAGTAGTTTAAATGTCGTTCTAATCCTATACATTTAGACTCGTTATCATTATTTGACTCGTGAAAAGTTCTGGATTTGTTAATTTCTTTCACTTTGTTTTCATGTACATAGTGGATGAATCGAAAGCACCTGGTCTAAAAGAAATTCTTACCCAATACAGAGAGGTAAATGTAGTTATTTACACCATGTAACACGAGGCAATGTTTACTGCAACTTGCCAAACAGTTTCTCTTAACTATGTGGGAATGTACCCAAAGGAAATGGTGAGCATGGCTCTTGTTCACTTCGCTCCATTTCTACATGTATGTTGCTTGTTAGAAAAACATCTGCAGAAAAGCACAGGGGATGATCTCTACTTACATTAATTTGTCGAGCACCACATGAAGGAAAATCCCTCACCTCAGAGTTGTCGTGGCCACTACGCTTGCCTTTCAAGCTGGGAGATCCGGGTTCAATTCTACTCAAGGTTTTAAAATAATCGAGGAGAAACTGCTATCTTTGACATCAGTAAATGGTTAGACTTTCGCTTCTCTGATAAGGACGTTAAAATCCCCTATACCTCGGACCCATATCAATTCGGGAATGGCCTGTTTGGAAATCCGCTTACCAAGCAGTGAAAAAAACCAAAAAAGTGACAACCTACAAACCGCATCTGACGTAGCATCTGTTTCAGAAACTGTGTTTCAACTTGCAGGGAAAAGGTGCCTCGTTTAACCTTTCGTGTTTCATTCTACTCTATTATAGGTGAAACGTAATGGCACTTTGCTGCAGATCGAGTTCACCACGCTAAGCAGTTACTTGTTCTTACTGCGCATGTCTGCTGAAACGCTCTCTGCATTTGGACATCGAGTTATGTTCTATTTAGCTGCAGCTGTTTCGGATTTTTATATTCCACGAGAAAACTTAGTAAGTTTAATTAATGTAAATGTCCTGAAACACTTACTTACGTAACCACTCGGACCCATAGAGGGGCATATGGCTGCAATAAGCTTCCTCCACTTCTTACGATATTGGGCCAGGACAGAAGCTTGATCCATGAGAGGCCCATTACTTTCTATTCAGCCTCGTGTCCTGAAATGAGGTCACAATAACATTGATCCTCAAATGTCCTGAATAACGTCACATTAACATTACTTCACAGGTCTTATGTTAATAGAATGTCAGCAATGCTGTTGCTGCACAGTAGTGCTAAGGGACCGGTCATTATTTATGGTGGGGGGTTTCACCGAAGAGAAATGTTTTTCGTGGCAAAAATTTTGCTGACCCAACCATTAAAAAGTCAAAAATTTGATTACCCAACCTCAAATATCAATTAAAAAATAAATACCCACCTCTGGCAAAAACGTTATACAGACGGATACCATTCAGTTGTCACACATGTCCTTTACTACTTCTGTGACATGAGTTTGATAACGGCTTGTGAAATTTTCTGCAGTCTAAAGTTTCATGTTGTCTGCACATGTACTTCTGTGGAGACACCATTTGTCTCCCAACATATCGGAAAATGATCAGGATAGTGACTCCGATTGATTCACATATTGTATTGACATATGACTGAGCTACTGTTGACATTGCTTTTTAGTCTACAATATTTGGAAATGACAATAAATTTTTATTACCCAACCCTTTACTTACTCAAAATTTCGATTTACCCAACCTTATTCTCTTCAGTGCCACCCCTCGCCATAAATAATGACTGGTCCCTAAGTGAAACCCACTTATTGTAGAACTTGTAAGTAAAACTTTTATATAAAGCGTTTAAAATAAATTATTTTAGTCGACGCATAAGATACAGTCAAGTCAAGGACCTCTAGTGCTGAACTTGCAACAAACACCGAAGCTTTTACAACCGTTAGTTAAAGATTGGTCACCTCAAGCTTTTGTTGTTTCATTTAAACTGGAAACTGATGTAAATATTATCTCCAAGAAAGCGAGGGAATCTCTTAATAAGAACTCACATCAGGTTGGTAATGACTGACTATTTCTTTTATTACCGTGATATCAGAAGACAAACATATACATGCATGTTGATGAAGACAATCTTTATTTCCTAGTGTTTTGTGTAAATATTACGATTTCCAATTTGCAAATGTGTCTGTATTTCAATACAATTTCACTTCTCTCGGCTAACTGCCGATAGAGTGTAGAGATTTATCTTAAAAGTATAATATTACAGGTCTACAGTAACTAGTAAAACTGTGTCTCCAGGTAGTAATATCAAACATCCTCCAAACTCGTCGTAAAACAGTGGTGATAGTGACAGCAAATGAAGAGAATGCCATATGGATGTCGGACAGTGAGCTAGAACAGGGAAAAGATATTGAAGAAAAGATTGTTGCTGACTTAGTGAAGAAACACAGCGAGTTTATCAGAAACAACTCTTTACCAGGTAATTACTGTCCACTTATATGTTCTATTAGAAATATTCTGTTAATTATAGTTTTCGTTTACAAGCTCATCTAGTGCGGTGATAGAAACGCTTTAATAACTTCCAGAGGCCAATCTATTTGCTGTCTGTTTTCAGGTTATAATTCAAGTAATGAGTTTTCGCTGGATAAGAGTTTTCCAATTACTACCACCAGTGGACAGGTAAATAACGAAAAGAATAACACTTAGTATCAATATTTTTGCTAAACAACTATTTTTATAGTAAAAACTGCTTATCCAATTTATCCTCAGCTTGAGTTTGTTTCCATTATTAGAGAGCTTAAGCAAGCCACGTTTTTGACAACACGTACGCCAACCGGAAGTCAATGTTTAAATCATGGGAGTGATGGCGACAACCGTTCTTGTTTGAAATCACGAACGTGAAACTGTAGTGACTGTTTTGTTTTTGTTTTAAATACTTTATTGGGTAAATATAATAATTATTTACAAAAGACGTACTAATACTATACATGCGCAGAACAAATGTTACCCAAATGGAAGAGGTGCGAACGTAAATAATATGCGCTATCCATGCAAGGCACCTTTCCAGCAGAATACATGTAAATTTTGTAAATACTAATAACAAGTTTATACAGCGAAACAATTAACTCCTATGACAATGGCAGGCACGTAACATAGACCAAGTACATAACAAGTTTACATCGAATACGGTCGATACTAATATAGAATAATGATTAAAGAGGTAGTATTTAAATGTTTTGACACTAGAGAATGTATTTGGTGAAGCTACTTTACAAACACTGTTCCATAATTTCACGATCCGGTTGAAATATGAGTTGTGGTATGTTGTGGTATTACACAATGGAGACTGCCATTCTTGATTCAAGTAATAACTACTGACGCCATCACTCGCCATCTATAACGGCTCGATTGACTTCCGCTTTGCAGATGCTGTCAAAAACATCGCTTGATTGAGCTCTGTATTATTGTCAAGAGGTCTTTCTCGGTAATTACATGCTTTTGCATTGAACGTTGACTGGGAGCTGTGCACATCTAGTAAGCGTGTTTGTGTTCGTTGCCATCCAACTCATATTTTCGGAGTACCCATTCGCCTAGTTATAACTATTCTGATAATATAAGGCGGACAGAAGGAACAAATGTTACCATAAATTAACCTACAGCATTTCCTAACCTAACGCTAATTAACAGGGGTGGCGGAACAGCTGGAATGAACAAATGAACTTTTTTTTTCCATTTTACATTTGTGACAGCATATTTAGTTCTTCCACTCAAGATTTTTTTTTGGATTTAGACCCCCTGACCTCACTTCTACTTGGTTTCTGCATGCCAAATCATCCCCCACAACGCATTTTATAAAATGGCATATTTTTGAAACTCAATTTTTCAAAGGGAGGATCCCCCTTTCCCTATCTGAATCAATCTTCCGCCACCAAAGCTTTTTGAACGTTGAATAATGAAAATCACGAAACACTTGTCTCTTGTAGGTTATTTACTTATCCGAAGGCACGACATATCAACTTCAGGGCAGGGTAGCTGAAAACCCAGCTAGTACAATTTTGTTAAGCCCTAATCAAACACAGCAATTTACAATGCCTAATTCTTATGGTGCGAGAAAACCTACTGAAGACAACACAGCAAGTCGGCCATTACAAACAGAGGTTAGCGAACTTGACACGTTATCAACCACTGCAACAAACCTTGCATCAAAATTTAAATTTTCCTACGACAACACAGCTTTATCTGAAGACATGAAAGCATTTATCGAGATGTTTAAAAACAAACGTATGACACTAGGCTACACTCAGGAGGATGTTGGGGTTGAGTTATCTCAGAGTAGCGGGCCTACCTACAGTCAGTCGTTTATATCTCGTTTTGAGTCGAAACAACTTGCTGCAAAGGCATCAGAAAAAATGCGCCCAATACTTCAAGCTTGGTTAGATGCTAAAGATGTTGACCAAACCACAGGTCTTCGTCTTTGTAAGAAACGTCGTAGACGTACATCTTTCACGAGTGATTCTCTTGCTGTTTTGGTTGAAAATTATCAAAAGAATCCTAAACCAAATACAAGTGAGATTGCTGAGATTGCAGGGCAACTGAACATTGAACCAGTGACGGTGAAAGTTTGGTTCTGTAACAGAAAGCAGAGTGAAAGACGACGTTCTCAAGGCAGAACGAAAACCAGTGAAACATTGAAGTCGGAATTGGAGGCACGCTCAGTAGGAAAAGAACAAGAGAAGTCAGGGGGAGAGCAGATTGCTTCATATTCTCTAGAGCGGTTACAACCACTTATTGCAGAACAAGCTGCTACACCTGTGACAGTCCTGGACAGTGACTCATCACATATTGTACAGTATCAGACAGGCGTTACCGTAACAACGCATGACGACAACAATGCATCTCTAACCCAGAATACTTCACAGCCGTACAGTTCTCATGTGACCGTGATGGACACAGACCCTAATGTTGTGCAATATCAACCAGGCACAACACCCGATGCTAACAGTACTGCGCTAAACCAGGCAACACCTTATACCGCTCCTGTAGCTGTTATGGAAACAGAAGTACCTACATCAGACGCAGTACAGTCAACCCCAGTTGTGTAGTGACGATAACACACACGTTATACTCTATTTTAAAACCTATATCCATATCAAGAACCACTTATCTCGTACTGATGCCCGTTTGGGGTCAACGCACAAACACGTCCATGTCAAATTATTCTACATGGTAGCAATAACGTGTAAGGATGAAACTACTTGTGACGTAGAAACCACGTATGACGTAGAAACCACTTAAGGTGAAATCTCTTAGGACGTGACAGTTATATGCTGCCGAATTAAAACGTATACCCTGGGATTTTAAACTTATGCGCATATATAGAACAACTAGGTGCCCACGTGGGATCAACCAACCGTTGGGTCGACCATGTTAGATAATTTTAATGAATATAAAACAAGGAAAATCCAGAAAAGAGCTTGGGAACGTGGTTGCCAAGTAACGACATAAGAAGGCTACTATAAAGTAGAAATTCCTTGCTGAAATTTTATGAATTTATGTCAGTGTTATAATAATTTGGAAATTTACAGTTTGATCTGTGAAGACTGTTTTATCCATTGCTGACCATTAGTCAGTTTTTTAAAAACATGGAAATAGTACAGACATATGTATATAGATGGAACTACCACACGATGGACGAGCCTTGGGACGACGTACCATATATATTGTAATAAGTTTAGGAGGTTGATAATATACTGTATAAATTGCAGTTAAACTATAACATGTAGCTGAGATTGGAAGATTAGAATATGCATATATCAGAGTATTGAGCTGGTCAATCATCATTTGTGTTTCACTTATAGCCACCACAGAATTGCCCATTCAACAATTTTTGTACCAGCATATTTTGTCTTCTGTGTAAAGCAAGATAAAGCAAGGTACAATTAAGGGGATATCAATTTTGTAATTTAAAGCGAATCTACCGTGCGGAAACTAATTATTCTTTTAGCAACTTTTTGCATATTCCGAAATGATGATTGAACAGTTCAATTCTTTGAAATGCATATTCTAATTCTTGCAGTTTCACCAAATGTTATAGTTCAACTGCAACTTATCCCGACCCAGAGATTCGAGCATGAAGGATTAGACGGATTAAATGAGAGTGAATTTTGAGTAACATTGTGCATGTTTTCAAACGGGTATTAAAAACTGGTTCACTCATTTTTTCGGCCGGTTTTTTGTTTTTTATGACAACCGCGTCACCCAACGCAAAAATTGTAGAACTTTCTTTACCATGTTTCTGATATCGTTCATGCAATGCCAATATTGAGTAACCACTCTTGCAAGTCAATTAATTACACTAAGCGCAAAGGCGATGCAGTGCCTGAAGCTTGACCAGGTGATTTGGTTGTAGACTGACTAAAGCCCCGTTTACACTACGCTCAATTTTTGGTACGGTACGGATAAAACAAGCCGGTTTTCCACTTCGCCCGTATCGTAGCGAAACGTACTGGTGAGCATGCGCAGATTGAAAAGAGGTTTATAAATCCACGTACTTCCGGGCGTATTCGCGTATCAAAATAAAAAGTTCGTCGCAAGTCAACTTTCTGGCGTACTACGGAAGTACTAAAATTTTGAAATTTAAGAACGTTTTTGATACGTTTCGGTACGGTACGCTTGAAGTGGAAAACCGGCTTTAAAGAGCCATAAGTAAAACATAAGTGATAAGACCCAAATTGTGTATTTGCTCAATTGTAGAGCTCTGGCGCCCTTGCTGGTAACTCGTATGTCATCGACTCTAGTCTGCACTTCAATAATATTTTTAAATACAGTTATATATTATATGGAGGTATATATTAAAAATGAAAGATTTTTATATACACTCGTTTTGTCGTTGCTTGGATCAATCAATGGTTGGGAAAGAAATGAACTGCAATTTTATCGCGAGGCAGAATGCGTCATTTGGATGCGCAGACGGCACTCTGAATTGGTCAGTGAGCTCTATAAGCCGTTGAGCTCTATATAACTCTATACATATCTGAAACCCTGTAATAGAGTACATGGTTTGGAGACTCGATGAAAGTACAATATAACTCGTTAACTATGTTGGTTTCGGTTTATGCAAGACATGCAAGAATTTGGGCCTATCTCGTCACGTGTGTATTGTATTTTTCCCGCACAACCAATAGCAATGTTTAAATTGAGCATTTGTTCAAGTTACGGATGGATAACTCAACCACAAACTTGTTATTGGTTATAACGGATCGTATCGCTAAACAAGTCAGTTCATAAAACCATAGTATTATTCATTAAATCGAAGACAAAATACGAAATATCTGCACACTCCTTGCAGACCGCGTAGACAAAACTACTGAAACTGACGTCCAATTGCTCCATCCAAAAAACTTTTACAAGTTTTAGACTTGAGTGCTCACTCCAGATATATATGGAGCTCACTCGAATTGGCTTTTAAATTGGCACGTCAAAGGCACAGACATACAGAGCTGTAACTGACCGTCGTAAGCACTGCGGAAGCTAACGTTTTTATGTACCCACTTTTTTTCAGGCGACCGGGCAAAAAATGATCAACTGCACGTGCTCAACAAGTTTAAAGTGAGTCGTCATCAGGTTAGCCTACGGTGTAGACTCCAGCAGAAACACGAAACGTGTTTCTGCTGGGGTCTACACCGTAGGCTATCATCAGGTCGTCATCCAATGCATCTAGTAACTTGCCGAGCATGCGCACAAAAAAGGGGTACACTAGTTACACCTCTGTATGTCTCCCCTCTGTGTCAAAGGTCCCAGTTACACAATATCGGATTCGCTTTTGACATCAACATGTGCCGTTCATGAGTAATGGCTGCCCACAAAATAATTTCCTCCTTTAACAGTTTTCACTTTATTTTTTCATATTATCGCAATTTTAAGTGTTAAGATATTCCTGAAACCGTTAAATTCGATGTCGTGGCAAGCGAATGAATCCGGTGTCGTGTAACTGGGACTGAAATGGTGAATTGACCACATGCACTAGGTTTAATCCAGAGCCAGAGGTTTAATTATACTTTAAGCTTGGAATTGTTTGCCGTTATTGTGTAGCATATAAACGTTATTTGTAACATAAGCAAGGGAATTTACGTTCAAAAGTTACATAGGCATAGGGGTGGCGTAGTAGCCGGTTTCGTCAAAACTTCAAGATTGGTTTAGAAACAAACTTGGAATAGGGTTAGGTTAGGGTTAGTGTTTGCAATAGGGTTAGTGTTACTGTTAGTAAAACCGTTGCTTTGTTACGTTTTGTCACTCTGAGGCCAGCGAAATAACCTCTTCCGACCTAAAATGGCTCTAGGGACGAGAATGTCTGCTACGCTGATTGCCAGGAACTGGTCCCAATCGCTGCTAATCGTGTTGTTGTTGTTGGTGTTGTTGTTGCGACTCCTTCATTTTGAGTTCGATCGTCATGAAATTTGACACGATTTTAAACGATATTCCTCATCGACTGACGGTACGCAGAAATTTTTCTGACGGTACACGTGTAAACTCCTTAATAGGGAGTTTAAGCTTCGCGTTTCCGGGAACGGCAAACGGCAGGTTCGAACTTTCTTGGCAAAATTTTCGTTGAACGTTTTCGTTTCATATTTTCTTTCTTGTGTCGAAAGAATAGTCATGCATTGCAGTTTTAAAACAGCAAGTTCATTTACTCTTTGACTTTATTGCCTGATACCGTAAAATGTTTCTTTGCCTAACGTTTGTCGTTTGCCGTAAAACGCAAAGCTTAAACTCTCTAATATGTTCTTATCTAACATACAACGATTCTTGTCTGTACGCGTACGCGTAGAATAATATGCATAAAGACAGTCATGGACATGGACCAGCGGCAGCGGCTAACAATTGAATTTTGATTAAATTGTTAATAAACAGTTATTGGATAAGGTTTTTGTGATATCCAGAATTATCAAGGTCGAGGCAGTAAGTACTACACTACCGTAGGAAGCAATTTTAATTTTGTATTTGGGGGGGGGATTAGTCAGGGGCGATTATTAGGTCATTATTTCCCTCTCAAATTTTGCAGATTATCGCTAGTTTACATTTATATTTTTCATCACATTCGGGATATCACAAAAACCGAAATCAATAACTGTTTCATTATACATTTCATTTTTGTTCGACAAACAATGATTTGTCGCACAAAACAACGTTTGGTTCTCAAAGGAGCAGTGAGAAAGATTTAAAATATCACGATAACAACAAAAATATTAGAAATCTCATGTACCTACTAAAGTTCCGATAAAATACAAAAAACATTCATGAAAAAGCCGTTCGTTCATGTTGTTTTTTCTTGTTTTTATTCGTGTATTTAATCTGCCGGTTGCTATAAAGTTAATACCGCTGCCTCAACCTACACATTACTCAGTTATCTGCTAGCACTCAGCGGCGGCGGAACAGATTTCGTTCTGGGGGGGCTAAATTTTTTCGGCGACCTCCCCCCCCCGTCGCCAAAAAAATTTCGGTCAGTGTACCACTTTAGGGGTACAATATACAAAAAAAGGGACGAAAAAAATTTTTTCGGACTTATATCAAACATTTTTTTCGGAAATACACTTTTTTTAAACAAAATATTGCAAATTTGTCCCCTTATACCTAAATTTTCAAAAAATAACCTAAATTTTTCCCTAATTATCAAAATTTTTTCCAAAAATTCAAATTTTCTGGGGGGGCTAAGCCCCCCCCCCCACTTTTACTTCTGGGGGGGCTTTAGCCCCCCTAGCCCCCCCTGTTCCGCCGCCCCTGCTAGCACTGATAACTGAGTTCTGTGCAGGTTGCCACATTTAGCTGTAAGCTACTGACCAAACTACTGTATGCGACTAGAATGTATAATAATGCTTTTTAATTCTTGCCCTTGCCCCTTGGTGATTAATTCTTGCCCTTGGTGATTAATTCTTGGTTTGCAATAGGCAATTCCACTGATGGGACGTAAGGTATCATGTTGCTGATTATGCTGAAAATGTTCAATAAAAACTGCCGAAACAATCGAAATATTTCAATAATTACAAGTATAAGCTATCACTCCGTGAGCAAATTGCCCCCTTTGCAAATTGCCCCCTTGAGTTATCTGCTATGTGAACCGAGTTATCGGCAAAAAGGCCTGCGATGATTAGCAAGCGCGGTATCTATTTAACACTAACTGAAGGAAAACTAGCAAAGCAAAATTTTGAACAAATGTAGAAAAAATGTGAATATGGATAGGTTTTCATAAACAAAGTTTTTCATGCGTTAATACTATGTTTATTATTCTTCAAATGTATAACTAAACTGATTATTGAATTTGGTTTTTGCGATATGCAAAATTATCAAGGTCTCGGTAAGCGTTATATCACAAAAACTCATCCAATAATTGTTAATTAATTGTTTGCCCATAATACTACGTGGAAATGCACTATAAAGCAAACGGCTACACTGCAAGAGCCATTTAATTGACTGGTGTTTCATTCGATCATTTTAACATATTAAAAAAAAAAATGCCGAACCAACATTAAGGGTTGAAATAATGCGAACGTTTGAGTTCTATTAAAATTAACAATCGATCAACGAAGTGATGTAAACTTGCACGATATACCACATCGACCAGCATACTTTCGTTGATAAAAGTTTGTGGGGAACGGCGCAGGTTCAATACTTCAATCCCGTTCAATACGAATCCACAACTCACAAGATCACAAATTCACTTACAGTTTCGGTAATAAAAAGAAATTTATTTTTCACAAAAGATACAGTGAGCCTTGGCTCACAATCTTACATATGCACACTAGCTCACGTTTAACACAAAATTATGCATGGTGAGAGTCCAATTAACTATAATGACGTAAAACAGCGAGTACTTGATAAAGCTTGTTTTAAGTCATTTGTCGTCTTTGAAAATTATTGAAAATCATTCCTAGTACATTGTTTAACGAGACAAAATGAGCAACGATGATGTACTGACGAAATTTGATAGAAATCGAGCAAATTGGGGAGCAAATAAATACCGGACGTCATTTCCCACGCTGATAAAGGCGGAAGTTGAATAATTTTTACTCAGAAGCAAGCAATGAATAATATCATATGGTCGAATATGGACGACGATATAATAAATCTCAATATCGGTGGACACAAAATGACTACGAAAAGATCCACTCTGTGTCAAGTCGAAGGTTCGTTACTCGCCTCCATGTTTAGTGGACGTTGGGAAGACAGTCTCGAGCGTGACCAAGATGATGCCGTTTTCTTGGACTTTAATCCTCAACATTTTGGTTTTATTTTAAATTATCTACGCGTGAAGCGAATTGCGACTCCGGAGAATCCCGCACCATCGCCTAAAGTCCCTGAAGACCAGCTGAAAGAATTTAGAATTCTTGTCGAGTATTTCGGGCTGAATGACGAAATGTTCCCCACTGAGATTCTGCCAAACGAGATATTCAGTCTACACAGCAAAGGGCTCACTCTTGAGGAAGGCGGGAAAGTTGCAATTCACGGTCCAACTCATGGGCCTAAATACGCTCTTGGTGAAAATGCGTACCAAAAAGGGATTATTCGTCTTAAATTGAAGTTAGAGTCGTTCCAAAATAGATATTGGATGTTGGTCGGCATAGTGTTAGGGGAATTAGGAGTTGTTGTACGACAGAGTGGCACTTCATACGACTGGCCAGGTTCTTATGGATGGGCCATCGGGAACAATGGTAATGAAGGAGTATGGAAAGAGGGGTCTTTTACGAAAGACAATACTTTGACAAAACTGATAAAAACAGGTGACACGGTTGAGTTAGTCTTGAATTGCGATGCAGCTAAGTTGTCACTTCATATTCCCACTGGTCAGAAATTTCACATTGATATTCCAACGTTCCGGCAAACCTGGAGACTGCATGTCTATTTGTATGGTGCAAATGACAAAATCCGTATAACAAATGTTAATGAATAATAAATTTAAGGCTCCATTCTTTGTATTACAATAACAATTGCCGGTTAACAGCACGATATGACTTTAGTTTCACTAGCCTGCGTAGCAGCCTCGCCGCCTGCAAGCAAATAAATGCCTGCTACACAGGCTAGACTAAAAGCCAGACTAAACGACTTTATGTATATTTGAAACTGTTTCCAATTGGCCGCGGCCACTAACCTCATAGTACACTGGATAGAACTACCTCGCCAGCGTGCCGCACGTGCGAAAAAAGAGATGAAGTTGATAGGCGAGGTAGTTCTGTCCAGTGCACTATGAGATCAGTGACCACCCCCTGGTGACCGCCCAGGAAAGTTGAGCTGAATTCCCACTTGCAAGGATAATTTCGCTGTCGAAATTCTCCGCTCAATCTATTTTGAATTGTGAGCGGTGAAGTAGAACTGATTTATTCGGATGGTCACAATTCAAAAGAAATCAAGCGAAATATCTCGACGACGAAATATTTCTCTGTAAGTGGAAATCCTCCTGGCCTCTTTGCTCGAAATGTCGAGGAGTGTACCACATTTTTTCTGTGTAGATTGAATTCAAGTAAATTTTATGATTGAAATGACAAATTAGTGCTTGATGCAGGCTTAAGTTGGTTGACGAAACATTGAAAATACACCTTGTTCTATTGTGCATGTAAGAGAATCAAGTAATCCCCGAGCCAATGGCGTGTCAGCGAGGATACTAATTAATTAATTCCGTTCGGCTATTTACACCCGAGTATGTGCCGGAGAACATAACAAAATGCAAAGTCATCCTCCAGTATACAAATAATGAATGTTTATGAGTGCAATGGTAAGAATATTTTCATGAGGTGAAAGATGGAATGTTCCATTCAACGAGGCGACAGCCGAGTTGAATGGAACATTCCATCTTTCACCGAATGAAAATATTCTTATCATTGCACGAAAAAACATTCATTATTTGTTTTATATAATACCAAAATAGACTAATAGATTCGTATGAGAAGCATTTTGAGGGATGCGTTTTATCGAAAACACAAAGAGTGCAATTGTACTATACGTTATATTCCATTGCACTCGCAGAGAGTGCAATGGAACGTATTCCATTGCACTCTTGGGAAATGGAATTTTCTATTCAATATCACGTGACCATAAACAGCCAATTAAACGATCAGAATTCAATAAGGTATTATATAATATGTAATAGTGAGGTTTAGATTTTGGCTTCCACTACCGCTACGTTTTATATTAAGTACGTTTTAAGTCAGTTTTCCACTTCCACCGTATCGTACCGAAACGTAGTGTATTTCTCTGTTTCCTGAGCGGTAGTGTGGAACTAATGACTTCGACACAAAAGAAAATGCTACGGTACGTTACGATTGAAGTGGAAAACAGGCTTTACACTTACCAATGATTGTCACGCGTCTATATAAAGTCATGCATACATGCGTGACGTCATGCATATATGAGTGTTGCCATTGTGGCCGAGTGTTGCCATTGTGGCTGAGTGTTGCCATTGTGTGCCTGCCTTCCCCCATCTTGCGCCACCCTTCCTCCACTCTAAAAATAAAGCTTCATCGATAGCAGTAGTATGCTCACCGATTGACTGCTACACACATGGGAGACGCTCGGGTGTTGCCTGGAATGAGGATTAATCGACCATGACTCTACGCATATTTCATATTGTCACAAAAATAGAATATCATATTCATTGTGTAACTGCCTTCGCTTGCCTCGCTTGGAAACATTGTCAAGGAACCAGCATTTCCCTAGTGTGATTTCCCAAGTTGCGAAAACAATGTTGCCAGTTTTGTCCAGCCTCCTCAGCAAGTATCTCAAAGGTTGCTGTGATTTAGACACACCTACCTGACACAGGTGACCCTACAGAAATGCCTACGGAGGAGGCTAGGGGAAACTAGGAAAATTGGTTTCCGCAACAATATTTCCTACAGTCGTTGGTCCAGGGCATAAAGCACGATAACACTGACAAAGCATTCGTCCGCACTGTACATAAAGCTTTTGTAGCTCTCCAGTTGTTAATCATGGCCTCTAAAGCACCGTACCTTGACTGTCAATAATATAGTACTTCGTACGTACTGTACACATTCCCTACTCCATCGCAGTTAAAATTCCTGCTATCATAAAGCTTTCTTTGCACTTCAGTTAAACATATGGTCAAGAGCAGAAACACTTGTCTGACAAAGATAGGGCAATTCGCATGTACTGTACACATTGCCTACTCCACCGCAATGAAATATCCTCATATCATAAAGCTTTCTTTGCTCTCCAGTTAAACATGTCCTCAACATCATCACTATCAGAGTCACTGTCCTCATTCATTCTTACACTCAATTTTTCATTTCTCTTCTCCTCTCTGCTCTTTCTGAAAGCATTTTGTTTGTGCCGAAGAGCATCTGCCCGTATGTAATACAATCTAGGATAGAAAACAGGACTTAGCTATTTTAGTACTTATAGGTTTATATTATTTGTATCCTACACCTTAGACCTATCAAATACAAGACATAAAACAGGTTATCGACCGAAAATGAGTAAAAATGTCAGTAAAAAGGTTTTTTATCAATTTAAATGTCCCGCTCCAAATGTACAGCACAGTTGTTAGCTATATAAAAACTGTCATGTGATTATTTGAAGCAAATCTCAGCTGAACATACAGTATATCAGATATAAACTTAAACCACTTGCATAGTCAGATGGACTTAAATATTCTTTGCGTGCGTCTGAATAAACTATTGGCCTCATTTCTGTGTCTGAAAGTGAATAGAAATTTTGGAACCTGAACGAGGCTGAGGAGGCTTATTAAGATGCACACAAAAGAATATCCAAACCCATCTGTATTATGAAAGCGGAATGAATAAAAGGGATGGATAAGAGGCAGTTCAGAAGACAGTTTCAAACTTAAACTCAGAAATCGCTTTTGTGTTAAGAGTGGGGTAAAGTTTAGGGTAAAGTTTTAAGAATATTACAAGTGCATGGTTATTGATTTTTTCCATAGAGATTAGTTCTCTGATTGGCTAAAATCTCGTTGCCCGGATGTAAATTCTCATTGTCAGATGCAATGCCGCGATGTTTAGGAGGAACCGGAAATTATGAAAATAATAAAACTTTGAAAACATCGATTTTTTACAGTTTTAGTATAGTTCAAGCACAGACTAAAAACTCAAATCAACAAAAATATCTGGACTTTAATACAAACAATTTTTGGAACGGTAGAAATGCTTTAAAATGCTTTTTTCGATGCTGAAAAGTGTTGTTTTCTTTGTGAGTTCAGCACGTCCAAATTTTTATCATTTTCCATGATATAAAACGGGAATTACACAATTTTTCGCCACATATAAATGTAAAACAGGCAGGACCGTTGGTAAAATCAGGATTGAATACTTGAATTGTAGGCAAAAAGTGAAAAAATAGATTTTCTTGGTTCTACATCCGGTATAATCCAAATTTGCCTCCATTAGCAAGCTTCAATTTGTCCCTTTCGTTTGCCTGAACTTTTCCCACAATGCCCACTCTGTTCTTTTATAATCTCTATGGATTTTTCACGTTTCAATGTTCGTGAAATCAAGCTGCCATCTTGAAAACCTACCTCTCGTCCACCCCGTTAGCAACAACTAACATGGATCATTACGCAATTTTTCCGGAGTGACTTGGAGGGACCGTGGAAGATTCAGGAAGATGTATAGCCTCATTTCAATTTTTATTTAAACTTCTGAGAGACGGTTTCTTTTCAGTTTAATGATATTCTGGTATACGAAAGAATGCATAAAAAATAGTACAATAGCTCCAGATCGAAACTCTAAATAAACATTGAAAAGGGCAATTTGCATATATGAAGCTGAGGAGGTCTGTTATGGAAAGCATGTATTAACTATATACCTTTGTTCACTGATTTCATCGAGAGCTCTGTCAACACGAGATTCTTCCTCCTCCTCGTGGATTATTGCTTCCGAAACCTGACGAAGATATTTAATATATATAAATTCTGGGAATATACTTCACATCACACTATGTCTCATAACTGTATAATTATTACATTATTTCATTTAATCTCTCGCACTGCCATAACATAGAGTCGACAAATTTTGCTTGTCCAGAATGTTCCTAGCCATTTCTTGAGATAACTAACATACCATCATTTGTATATACTGTGAACAAAGATGGTAAATATATGTGTACGAGTTATTTACTCAATGAAGCCAATTCCAATGAGCACTAGAAAGAAACATTTTCAAAGAATAAGTAGGAAAATATATTCACCTGATCTTCTGTACTTAGAGCTTTCTTAAATTTTTCCCATTCTTCGTCTCCAGGATCTTTGTATTCAACTTTTCGAGCCTAAATCCCGCGGAAGTAAAACAGATTAATTTTTTAAAGGCACAGTTCAGCCTTTTGAATGCTGGTTTTTAAGGCGCATTTCAGCCCTTTTAATTGAAAAAACTAACTAGAAAAATTAATTAAGCATAATTCAAGATCAGCAAACTCAATGTTTTTAACAATAAAAATGTTTTAAAATGTTAAAAACATTGAGCTTGCTGATCTTGAATTATGCTTAATTGATTTTCCTAGTTAGTTTTTTCAATTAAAAGGGCTGAAATCTGCCTTAAAAACCATCATTCAAAAGGCTGAACTGTGCTTTTAAGTGCATTAAAACATCTTGGTAGGTACATAAGAACAAATATAGCCAAATTAACAACATGTCTCTAAATACTGAAGAGAACGAACAAATACAACACACGATCATTCAAATGTATTTAATCAATACAATTACAAGCTCAAAATGTACATTACTTTACAAGTCCCAACTGTGAATCGAACACAAGGTTTCTGGTTCAACGTACCAGTGCTCTAACCACTGAGCTATTGGGATCGACCGATGGAGACACTCATTGATACGATGAGCTTACATTAGGGAGAACCGGCAAACGGCAGGTTCCAACTTTCTCGGCAAAATTTTCGTTGAACGTTTTCGTTTCATATTTTCTTTCTCGCGTCGAAAGAATAATTATGTATTTCAGTTTTAAAACAGCAAGTTCATTTACTCTTCATTGCTTGATACCGTAAAATTTTTCTTTGCCTGGCGTTTGCCGTATAACGCGAAGCTTAAACTCTCTATTAAGGATTGTGGCCATACAGGAATGAATATCAAAATGGGAAAACCACCCACGTTATACACTCTACACAGCTGAAGGACAACAACCAACAAGCAAATATACTTAACAACATATTTCTACATCATGTATTTCAATTTTTCACCGGCACGGGAAATTCGGTAGATGACTTTTACAAGAGTACATATAGCAAATCCTAACACCGCGCTGATAACATGAATATCTTGTTAGCAGTGTGTTACCTAGTACCAACCTTGGCATCAAGTTTTGGGTCATCAAAAAATCCTTCAGGAATAGCTTCCGTTTTATCAGATTCTTTCCTAAAGTATAAAATATCATAAAATATTACTTGGAAACACTGATATATACTTTCGCGATCACAATTGATATATACTGATATATACATTGATATATACTTTCGCGATCACATTGATATATACTCACTCGCTGCGCTCGTTCGTAAAATATTGTTTTCACCACTCCAAGATAGAAGTCATATCTTCGCGCCGCCGTGTAATATCCTCTATATATCTAGCACCAGGACTTTTGAAGAAGTTTCATGCAGGACCAGATAAAAATCCTAGGTTTTCATGCAGGATTTCCAGTACGAACCCTGTTCAGGTTACATTTACTTCTGAAGTTAAATCCATTAACTGCTCAACAATTGTCAGGTTTGCAACTTGCACTTACTCATTTGATGAAGTTTTATTTTCTGTTTCTTCAGATTCTTTTTGTGAGCTGTCGAAGAAATCTAGAAATAAATTAAGAATGTCATTTTCGTACAATAACAAATGCGCTTCCCAACCAATATTTAAGACACGTTAGGGTATAGTTAAGCGAACACATGGTTGGGCGATAATGTTATATGCACGTGAAAGAAGTATTACGTATTCTATTCGTAACGGAAACTATGGTTTCGAGTGCAATTTGGAAAAAAACACGCACGAGTGAGTTTTTCAAAGACGATCAAAATTGACGTCTTTGAAATACTCACGAGTGTATGTTTTTCCAAATTGCAAGAGAAACTATACTATTACTTGTTTTAGAATAATATACGTGAAAAGTTTACACGGTTCGATAACACCGGTGTACTCAATTACGCCATTTAAGCATTGTTTTCATTGCTTATTAACAAATCGTTTATGTGCTCCTTGTACTTAAATTGTTATATTCACGTACGATTTTCCATTGAAAGTGTGCAAAAAGTCGTCCAAAAGAGAACATTTACATTGCTACTATCTGCTTCCATGTTGATTTTTTCTGCCTCATTTCCAGGCTCTGCTCTTGTTTTGTTAATTGCAATGTAGTAAGTGTAATTTCAAAAATAATTGCACTGCTCTTAGCCAATCAGAAATGAGTAATTTTTTCATCTATATTATTAAATTGATTAGTGTGCGGCTTATGGTAAGCAGCGTTTAACAACCCTGAGGGAGCTACGGCAGTGTTCTGGGGGGAAACAAGCTCTAGCTGAATGGGTCCAAAGAGTGGAGCCCAAGTTTAAAGCAAACCCCACCAAGTGTAAAGCAACCAGAGACAGTTCAAAATCTTGACGACGATCAGAAATCGGATGAAGAAGTATCGGCAAAGAGGAGAATAAAGGGAAAAAAGCGTGTCAGGTTTGTGGAAAGGAAATGGATCCACGTAGCATACAAAGGCATCTCAAAGATATTCACGGGGCCGAACTGACAAGAAGTGTTTGTGCTGATGAAGTTAGGGGGATATTAACATGGTGAAAAAAAGAGTTTCAAAGTAGGGAACAAATTCGCCTAATGGAAAACGGGCTTGAGGCAGTGGTTAAGAGGATTAAGATTCTAAGCTTTAGAAATGTTTTGGCAAATATTGCTAAATGCATGGCTTTGATAAAGGCCAGCTCACTGCAAAAAATCCCTGAGTAGTTTGACTCAAAAACTTAAAATGAGTAAAATAATGCACTCAAATTTGTGAACAAATTTATACCCATTATTTTTCTTGAGTGAAGATTTACTTTACTCAAAAAGTTGAGGAAATTTGCTCATAAATTTGAGCAATTTTTTTCTCAATATTTTGCGTCACTGTGAGTACAATATTTTACTCAACTTTTTGAGTGAAATTCTTTGCAGAGAGCTAATTCATCCCTGCACTACAATTACCTGCGGGTAAACCTGATATTTCTGAAGGCCCAGCAGAAGGTGTCGTTTCCACACCATCATTATCCACTGCCATCTTTTGATCTTCAACTGAATTACTCTCATGAGTCTCATCTGCATCGAAAAAGTCGGCAGGTATACTACATAAAGATAAAGCACAAACTATACGTTACATTTTCACATTGTTTTGTCCGTAAACGAATAATATCTACATTAAATTGTCACCGTTTTTTGTCCAGCAAAGGCGAAGGAAATTTATTTAAGGAGTGTTTACACGAGGAGCACTACTGCATGCAGTAGGGCTGGTTTTCACCTCGTGTTCACATGAGAAAAATCAGCCCCCTTGTTAAGGCGGTTTTCCACTTGGCGAAATTTTTCGGCCGAATCGAAAGTTCTCTTTGTTTCTCGAGCTCTCGAGCAGAACTAATTGTAAAAAGACAAAGAGAAATTTCGTTTCGGTCGAAAAATTCCGCCTCATGGAATCAGGCCTTTAGGGCTGGCTCTCTTCCGCAAACAACATTAAATGTAGCTTCCGTACGACTCACTTATATTATCATCGAATTTAACAAAATTAAGCCTCAGTCTGACAAAGATGAGAGTTCTTTTGCTCGCGTTTGATCGCCACTCTCATTGAATCCAGTGTTTGTTTGACCGGGGTATACGAGAGTTCCACATACCTTGAACTTGCGTTGTCACTGGATACTATATTATAGAAAAGACACAAAAAGTGACTTAGAAATAAGTTTGACTTTCGATTCATTTGTTGCATTTTGTAACTATAATTATCATACCTTTAGGTTTCTTTACAACTGGTGTCTCACTGGAAGAATCTGATGTCTGCAAAATTGGAACATAAAGATGTAAAAGTACATACTGTACAATGTTATATACTTCTTTACAACACTATAACCAGTACTTAGGGAAAGACATTATAGCGGTATTTAACTGAAATTAGAAATTTGAAATAGTTACATTGTTGTCTTCGGTTCTTCTTTTATTTGACTGTGATGAACTTGAAGTTATTGTGTTACCCTTAAATAAAGATATAAATAGCTGATACAGTACTGAATACCTGTCAGGGCACAAATAAAGATCATCAATGTCTTACTTTATTATATTTTATTTTAGCGCGATATTTAAAGATTTTGTCAGGTTTCAAAAGAGCGAAGGCTAATTGTGCGAATGGTTATATAGTCATTGCTGCGATAAACATGGATAAACATCCAATACTGAATTAATCACGTCTTATTCGACATAATTTTACCAAATCATATTCAATGCAGAGATTCGTTACGTTTTGGTCAGCCAAAAAATGAACAAACGTTTTACCTTAGATCTACTGTTGTTACCAAATGCATCTTGCTGGGCAGAACGAGGTTTCACTGTGTCTGTTTGCGATTTTCGTTCACCAGATTTTAAGGATATAAGATTCTGCAAAAAAGGAAAGAAAACTAGTTTGCTTGAACGTCACGCTAACCGTATACTTGACAATCTTGACCTAACTTGATAATCTTATGGTATTAAATCCCTCTTTCAGGGCAGAGTGCGACACTGCGATCTGTCAAACAATTTACCGCTATATTAAAGCTCGTTCAATGACGGTATTGTCAAGTGTAGGAAAGGTATTTAATTCTCTTTTAAAATTTACATCATTCTACATTATTGACAGTTAGTGGCATAGAGCTGCTGGCATAGGTTGCAATTAAGTGGTGCAATTTGCTGTGAGAAAGCAAGAACGTGGTAGCGTCTGACCGATTCCATTAAAGTCGGTCATTTTTAAAACCTCTCATTTTTATACAAGGCTCTCAGGTTTAAGGATTTCAATGTTTTAAGGAATTTTTAAAGGGTTTTTATACATGATACTTGTGTTTTTGACACCCGATTTTCAGACTTTTCTGGTGTGGAGAACCAGAATTTGCCCACGAAAAATATTCTCTAGTTGCGAAACTACTCTGACTGTATTATTATTATTATTATTAATACAGGTTGAAACTTGTTCAGCTACTAAAAGCTGTTATCCTACAAAGACCTGTCTACAATAAAATCACTATATAATATCAAAGTTCTATGAGTGTCTCCAATAAAAGTTTAAGAATATGGATGTTTATAGAATCTATGAGAATGTACAATTAAAAAGTTTTCTCTTAAATTGAATAACACTTTTGGCAATTTGTTGAAGATTCGAGCTCCTCCTATAACCCCACATGGGCGATACGTTTATATTTCACTGTGATTGTAAGAAGAACCACTCAGAATGCGCATTCTTCCTCCCTGACCTTCCGAAGAACGAAAGGGAACGGTCATCAATGATTACTAAGTGTTACCATAAAGGCAACATCAGCAATCTGCTTCCCGCTCAGAAGAAGGCGCTACAACTCATCATCGTGGTTGCGAATGTTGTCTATGTTAGAGAACAAAGACGGGACACGTACTATAGAAATGATCCTAAAAAGTACGGTCTTAACACAAAATATCCATGAATTGGTATTTATGTTAAAATGTTTAGCTTAATGATTGTGGTAAGCAGTCAGATACTCTTCAACTATTACCATTGCACATGCGCACTAAAGTCATGAACATGACTCCATCTTATTGAAGGTTAGGTCTGCCAGCTAGCCGCATATTGACGTGGATGATTTAAAGATCACTTATCTTCAATAAAATATACAGACAATAATAGTGTAATATACTTTATTAGTATTTTTGCACAAGTGAACATAACAAATCCTACAAGTTGATTGGTCAAATTTGACGTATTAATTAAGCTGTTATATTCACCTACAGGTGAATATAACAAAACCGAAATTTTCAAAATAGCGGCTAGCCGTTTTGAGGAAGTCACTGACAAATTTATCATTCCCATATATTCAGCAATTATTCAGCAAATTTTCTCCCAGTACCGCAGGCTCGCATTTTCAGCGGACTTGCGGCGAAAAATTGAAACGTTTGCATTTTTCAAAGACTGGCCACTTTCTGTAAGATGTCCGCTGACAATACGAGCTCGCACGAGTGGGAGAAATTTTGCTAAATTTGACCAACGTGAAAGAAATAAGCGAAATTAAAATAAATTCAGTCCCAAGAAAGACAAAAGCTTGTGTAAAATTACTGAAACAATTATTCGCCTCAGGCTCGGTGATTATCGAGGAATATTCACCTCGACTTCGTCTCGGCGAATATTCCCTGATAATCACCTCTCCTTCAGCGAATAATTGTTAATTATTTTTAATTATGCAAACAAACCAAATTTTTGTAACTGGGTATTGGCACAAAGTGCGAATTTGTTTTAAATAAATTGAATGAAATTTTTAACTGTATAATGTTCAAACCTTCCATGTACTTTCTTTGTTTAGGAAATATCTTTTAAAGATGATGTCCACTCCTGTGCGCATGCGCAAACTTTGTTTACGTTTTGAACTGCTATATTTGTAAAATATGATATACTAACTGAATATCTAACACTTTTCTGGTTCGCCATGCTTGTAAATGAATATAAACTCTACGTTTCAATTCAAAAAAAGTTCGAAAGATGCAAAATTTGGGCAATGTTTATATCTGGGGGAACAAATCATCTTTAAATGTAAATATGATAACGTCATGTTAATTGTTAATTTCATGCTATGTGTATGGAAATTGGTCAATGAAATCATCAATATATAAAAATTAAATGATTTCATCAATTTTAAAAATTTGAAAATTTTAAGAATTTGAAGATTTCATAAATTTGAAGAGACTGCCGTCTTCGAAAATATTTTGAAATGTCATACATGGGTTTACTGTATTTTATTACGCTCTCCTCCGCAGAGTCAATTATATAGGATTGTAGGGATAATGTAGGGATAGTAGAGGACATTTACGTAATTTTACTAAAAATTCGTAAGGCTCTGCGGAGGAGAGTGATTTTATTACATATTAAAAAACCTTAATTTTAAAAAAATATCTTGCGAAAGAAAAAAGATAAAGAAAAGTGCAATCAGTTATTTTATGGTTTTACAAACTCTGTCTGTCAAACTATAGACATCCGAGAGGGACTTCTCCCGATTGCCCAGTGAGCAATGGTCAAAGAGACTGGGACCCTGTCCACAGGTACACTTTGTACGTTTCTCAGATCGATGAAAAACGGATACCGTCATCCACGAAAACGGGGCTTTTCAAAAACGTCTTTCAAAGTAGGAAGTTTAATTGTCTTTAGAAAACGGAGCTTTTTTTCAATTTTAGATTGGTTTTCAAAAACGCTGACGTCATTAGCACAATTCTGCGTGGCGAACGTGAGCCTTTCTCACGATGATCTAATTCCCGTTAACCAATGGCAATGCAGACAATTAAAACAGTGTGAAAAGCAATTTTTCAAAATAAACTATTAATCATTTACAAAGCAAATTTACCATCATTCGTCCAAAAAATTATAAAAGGTCGCTGTTATGTGGACTTATCTCGCAGACTTCGGCTGAAAAACTACCCAAAAATGGCGGCATGAGAAAGGCCATAGCCCATCGAAGGGAAGATGGCTGTGAAACTCATTAGAATAACAATATAATGATTATCTATACGTTTATTCATAAATCTGGTCCTTCACCGTCACGTGTGTATTGTATTCTTGCCCAACTAACCAATAGCAATGTTTTAGGAAAGTCACCTATCCGTGACTCGAACAATAGGGAAACTGGAAATTGCTATTGGTGGATTTGGTAAAAATACAATACATGCACACGTGACGGTGAAACGACCAGATTTATGAATAAACGTTGACTAACATAGATAATGATTAATGAGTTATATTGTTATTCTAATGAGTTTCACAGCCATCTTCCCTTCGATAGGCTATGGAAAGGCTAATTGCTTATCCTGAATTGGATATCCTGTAGTTCACTAATCTGCCAGAAAACGTCTATACTGAGAAAAGATGCTCTACACTGTTTTGGATTTATTTAACTGCTCTCTGACATTATACAAAGCCCACAAAAAAGCCGAATCATGAGCAGCAGGGCTGTAGCCTGTGTTCCAGTACAGGGCTGTTGATGTAATTAATAATTAATAGTATTCAGTGTTCGCAACTGCGAGCAAAATCTTCAGAATGTGCCTGGAAAATTGCGTACTAGTAGAGAACTATTAAAATATTATTAAAATGTCTGGATTATAATGAGATTTCAAAATGTGCCTGCACAAATTCAACAAGTGCCTGCAAGCGGCGTTTGCGCATTTCAATAATGCTTAATCAGCAGACCTCGTAAGGATTAAACAATACGTAAGAATTTGTCTCTTTCTCTGTAAAAACCCGTTCCACTTCTTCTTTAAGATTTTTTCGGTCTTGAAAATAAACGACAAAATGAATGAAATCAATACAGCTTGCAAATAATTATTTGCTGATGATACACACACGTGTGTGAAAAATGCGTAAATAGAAAGCAGCCTTTAATGAACATCCTTTACTTTGTTGAGATGTTTTAAAAAATCATTACATGTTCGCCGAATGAGCCCAAAATAGCGAATCAAAATACGGTTTTCTGGGGGAAATAAAAAAGGGTGGGCGTGAAAAATCGTCTGCCATACATTTTTCCATATAAAAATTACATCATCGCTTTAATCAGTGGATAATTCGCGTACTTACGTACCGGAGGTACGCCAATATTACGGTCTGGTACGTTTTTGTTTTCAACCACGTACCACGCAGGTACACGGAACTCTCGCTATTTGCGTACTTACTTTTTGTTGGTACCATATGACTTTACCAAACCCAATGTATTCAGACCGTAATTACGCCGGTATATGGGCACGTCTGACATGTCTTGGCATGAAAAATTATTGGACTGATGGGACTAAGCCTAAGGAATGAGTCGATTCTAGTGTTTGTATGTGCAGTTGTCGTCCTTCTTCTAACTCGTAGTTTCAGCTTACTGAATTAATACCTTTCAGAAACATGTACTTCATGTTCTTCATTTTAAAGAATAAGTACACCTTGAGTCTTAAGTTTGTACCGACTCAAGTATTGTACGCGGCAATAATCATTAGAGTACCAGTCAGGTACGACTAAAAATCTTCAATTATTGCACCTTGCGCTTATTTTATCTGTTGCGTCACAACATTGCAATTGATGAACAAATTACTCGGAGCAAATTGCAACCACTTTTGATCATTTGCCACCCATAAGCTTCAATATTTGAAAATATATTTTTGAGTTTTCGTTGCCCAACAACTTGTACAAAATTTATAAAGAATTTGTTCACTATTTACATAAATTAAGTTAAAATAATATATTATGTTTCAATGGTATAGATACTGATAGATTGAAAATAAGAATATACTGAGATGAGTACATTTATTAAACACTGATCTATCAGCCGTTCAGGGTAACAAGTCAGGACATACAAGTGAGTCTCCATTGTTACTGTAGATTCACCATTTATCACAATAAGAAATTTTACGGCGAACTTGTCCCACATATGAAAGTATTTTGAAATTAATTACAAAACCTTAAAAAACCGTCTGCTAGACAGGCTATCGTGAATTACGCCCATATTCTAAAAGCTCACTCATGCTCACACTCAATGAGTGGAGGTTCAATCTGAGCTTCTCTTGAGTGTTAATGCTGTTTTTGAATAGCTGGATGGCTAGTGTCATACCTTACTCGGTGACTACTCACCCTCCAGCTATTGAAAAACAGGATTGGCACTCAAGAGAAGCTCAGATTGAACCTCCACTCATTGAGTGTGAGTGAGCTTTTAGAATAAGGGCATTAGTCTGTCTTTATTCATAACTCATGCCTTCTGCCTTTAAATACAATCACAAGCCCAAAGGTAGATGTGTGAGTTCATGTAGCCCTATTATTCTACAATATTTTGTACAGTATTGCATACATTGCAAAAAATGCCCTAGTATATTTCTGTGAAATGATGACCAAACATATCGTATTGTTGGGAACAAGCTCAAACATTCCAAAGTAATGATAATTCTTCTAGTATCGATATTTGGTATTTGTATTGGCCCTTCCCTATGTGACGCCCCAAAACTAAAACAGAAAATTGCCATGATTTTACAGCTCCATGCCAACAACTGAAGGAGCAATAATTGCATAATACCTCTTTATGTTTCACTCCTCTTATATGTGCATCCCATAAAAGATCACTTTTGATAATTGTGTTGCACAAAACACAGAATAACTGTCCTGCATTGTTATACCTAAAATAATCAAATATAACAAGTTAATACTCACAGAACAGGGATCTCATCCAGGGTGAATTTCTCTGATTTTCTGCGCCAACAATTTTTAAAATTTAATTCATGTAAAGCTGCGCCAAAACCTGTGCTAATTTTTTGGCCAAATGGATCTTTTGGATCATTCTGTGCCAAATTGCTGCCAACCTTAGCAACTGATATATAGGGAGAATTCTTATTTAAACACTTAATTTGGTGGGAGAATTGGGTTTTTAGAGGGAGAAAACCGATCAAAGCTTTTCATTAGGGCAGTCAGATTGCAGCACAAGAAGCCCCTTGACTAATGTTAAATTGGGCACTATCTTGGACTGAAAATACAACATGAAGACATGTTTTAACAAATAAAAACTTCAATTTTGACTTTCAGAACGTTATAGAATCTAAAGTTTCCCCTTTTACAGTTTTACTTGTCTCCTACGCAGCCACGTATAGATATTTCTTGATAAAATTTAATAAGATCAACAAGAAATCAGGATAATTGCCAGCTGCCAAGACTGGGAGAAATTTTTCAATACCGGGACATCACAGGTCTATACCGGGAGACTCTCGGCTATGTCGGGAGAGTTGGCAGGTCTGCCTCAAATCAGACATTCCAACTACTGGAGGTAAAATTTAGGGAGACTGTTCAGTGAATTGAAATCTAGTTCTTCTGGGAAAAAATAATAGAAATTAAGTCTTCTGAAATGGCGTTTCCTGCATTTTGGGACTATGTTGTTATAAATGATCCTATAAATTGCCATAAAGTAACTTCAAAAAAGGTCCGAGACAGACTATTTAAATATGACAGACTAAAAACAGTATATTATTTTATAATTTTTTTATGATATTTCCTGAATATTCTGAAAAATCGGGAGAATTTGATAAAAATTGGGAGACCGGAAGATTGCATGAATTTTCGGGAGACTCCCGGTAAAATCGGAGAGTTGGAATGTCTGCCTCAAATTCACCCTGGGATCTCATTCGAAGCCTGTAACTGGCTATTCCGGTGGCTACTTTCAAAATAATCACCAGCTACCTTCATATTAAATCAATGTTTTAAATAATTGCTATCTCCACGTTCAGCCACCCAGTGGCGTAGCTAGCGGTCCCACTGTCCCGCCGGGCGGGACTAGAAATTTAAAAAAAAAAAGGAAATGTTTATAGTGAAGCCAAATTCACAGCCTTTCTTAATCTGAAAATTTATAAATATTAATTATGATCATTGTTCAGCGCTTTCATTTATTTATTTAAAGTTTACGCAATGTTGCTGTCTGCTCTTTGACCTCTGAAACCCAAAATTAGCTAATTTTCACGCAATTGATTGCTTACTCACACAATTCGTGTAATCGCATGTCTCGTGTTCCGCTGATTTTCATATGGCGGAATATGCAATACTATCCTATACAAGAAATTCTGGTTTCTGATTGGATAATTGGCGCAGCGCATGCTCAGAACGGCTGTTTTTAATGCCGAGTCCCGCTATTTTATAAAGGCAGAGGTTGTCAAGTCAATTCCATATATTATAGAACTCCGTGAGTATTTGCAGTAGAAATACAAAAATACCACCAATAGCCATTAATATAAACTAGCCATAATATAAACTAGCCATACTCGAACAATGTGAACTAACAATACCTATATACAATATACTTGAACAATGTAAACAATGTATCACTATTAATATTAAGCCATACCTTTCGCCGAAATTATATAACTTCGGGCACTTTCAACATTTCTTTTTGGTATTAGTCTTGTTCGAATCACAATCTAACACACTATTTAGAGTGTTATGTTCAAGCTTGTATCTGCATATTTGCATCTTTTATTTCAGTATTTCAAAATATCTAAATTTTACGCGAGAGCTTTGACCGGAGGTTCAAGTTCAAATATTCAAAACAATGCAATGTTTACATCCTAGCACTCAGGAAACGTTCGAAATCGATTCTAAAGGTCAAATTACCCGTGTAGCGTGATTTGCACGTGCATCGGGCTGCCTATGCTCCTTACAATTTCTTTGTATTTTAGTCATTTTACCAAGGCAAAGTACTCCTGTTTAAATAGAGGTGTATTGAAACTTCGGCGGGACGATTATTTTGAGCCAGCTACGTACGCCACTGCAGCCGCCTACTTAAAAAGAGCCTGCTACTTTCAAAATTTATATTGAAACAGCAAGGATTGGAAGACTACTATTATAAAATACTATAATGAGCAACTAGAAATAACATATTATAAAAGCTTGTTAGGGCAAATTTCTTTCCGCCCCCCTAATTTTTTCTTTCCCTTCCCGTACGCCCATGAGTACATTCCAACAAGTTCAAAGGCATTGTGAAATGAAATGCCACTGGATTAAAAATCACATTATTCAATGTTTTCGACACTTTTATAGTAAAAATGTCAAACTGACAGTCCAGTGTCACTGTGTCAACTCAGATGACAGATTGCTCAGTATAAATGACAGTATATTAAATGTCACTAAAAATAATAATATCATATGTGATATAAAATTCAAGAATTGTAACATACTGCTTAAAAGGGAGAAAATAATAAATAAGCTTTTATAAATATAATACCTCGCAAGTGGTGAATCGATCTTCTTTTTCGATTTATTGCGTTGTTCTTTCATCAAACTACGAACGTCTTTTGGCTTCGTTTTCGTCGCCATCTTGAAAATGTGTACCGCTGGACGGATACGAGACAGACCTGCAGGCTCAGACTCTGTAACATTGACCATTCCATCCTGGTACGGTTGGTACCACAGCACAGATTGCTTGGTACCGTCCATGCCAGATATAGTTCACCCAGTGATTGATCCTTCATGGCTGAAGATTTTTACTCAAGATATAGCATGGACTATGGATATGAAGGTTGTATTGCTGCCATGAGAGAAAAAGAATTCCCAAATTTAAACGGTATAAGTGAATTTATAAATTTGTCAAGGGGGGAGAGTGAATAGGTTTGCGGATCGGCAGGTTTTGGTCTAAATTGCATTGCGGATTTCTCTACTTGTTGGGGATTGCGGATTTTCCTAAAAATGGATCTTCCTTGTAATTTTATATTTGGGATCGATTTATTCCTCTCTCGGACTCCAGAATATTTTTTGTTGGACTTTCTATTGTTTGGCATGAAAAGGCAGTTACCAAGTGTAAACAGAAAAAAATAAATGTTTCTCATGGACAATAATACAACGTTAGGTTGAATTCGAAACAAAATTTTAATGTCTTATAGGTCTGGATTTTGAGAATAATAAGGGTAGATTGGTGGATTTTATAAAAAAAATTGTCAGATTATTGGATTTGCATAACCCTATTCATCCCAACCTCTCAAACTGACCATATACCTTGGGTGCCAGAGGTTGTGCTATATATATGCTTGAAAAATACTACTTCAATATAAAGTATTTTGAGTGTTTTACATTTAGGAGTCCACAGTGGAAGAACCTCTAAGCACACAGAGCAAAATGAGTAAATGAAGGTCTGCAGGGGTAAAATGGGAGTTGGGAATTTTCTATTCTTTCAAGAATGTGATTGGGCATCTTACAGGTGCACGATTGCAAAACAGTCAAAACTATATTCAAATAGAGACTAGATTAACCCATTAATTTATATTTAAGTACATACCATTCTGCAATGCATGTGGCTGGTAAATTAGTGTAAATGTTATTAATATTTTCACATGAAGAAGTCACAAAGTCGCAACATGCAGTACACAATTTTATACTCAAAAAACAAAATGTGGCTGGCCAGCGGTAGAAAAATGTGCATCTTGATGTGATTACTGTAAGTATATTAATGTCTGTGCATCCTCATGTTGACAAACCTGCCAAGATTCCAGCAAGATCTTGACAAGAGCTTGAAATAATATCTATTTTTTAATTATGCAAGATCATGGTAAGGCTATATTAGTAAGGTCATATATAGCAAGATCAGACAAGATTGTGGAATGATCAAATTGCAAACTTAATCATATTGCAAGATTGGGGCTTGATCATGGCAAGATTGCTGTGGACAGATCATGGCATGATCCATGCAAGATCTTGTCCAGATAATGGGAATTATATCATTGATGGTAATAAAAGATCATGACAAGATCATGGTAAAATCATGAATGACAAGTTCAGTATAAGATAATGGCAACAAATTCATGACGTTTGATCAAGAATAAATGATTGCTATCGAAAATTGGACTAAAGATCATTGCAAGATCCTGGCAAGACCATGATGAGATTCGGGCATGTCCACGGCAAGATCATGGAAAGATCATTGCAAACTTGGTCATTACCAGATCATGGTGCTATATATAGATCATATCAAGATTGTGGCAAGATCATGGCAAGATCCCTGCCAAGATCGTGTCGTACATAATGTGATCAATGGGAAGATCATGCTTAAGACTGATCATGAAAAAATAATGTTGAGGTCATAGCAAGAACATGGTAAGATCATGAATGGCAAGATCAGTATTTAAGATAATGACATTTTCATGCAAGAACTGAAGATCATGGCAAGATCCTGGCAAGATCCTGGCAAGATCCTGGCAAGACCATGATGAGATCCTGGCAAGCCATGGCAAGGTCCTGTTGTAAAACATCTAGGACATCTAGTTGTAAAACAGTCTGTTCCTTTAGTAACTATGACCTGGGCTTAATAGATCAATGCCTAGCCTATGAGTTATCAAATTAATGAAAAATTCTCATTTTATTTCAGAGGCTGTGTACCTTGATCATACAGGAGCAACATTGTATGCCAAGTCTCAACTACAGAGCTACCATGACGACCTACTGAAAAACATGTATGGAAACCCACACAGCAGTTGTTTGAGTAGTGAGAAGACTTCATACATGATTGACGACGTCAGACATGAAATTCTTTCATTTTTTAACACAACTAGTGATGATTACCATGTGCTTTTTACATTTAATGCAACTCATGGAATTAAACTGGTAGCTGAGAATTTTAAATTTCATACTGTGAATGATTCTACAATCATGTCTAACAGCTGGTTTGTCTACCTTCAGGATAGTCATACTTCTGTTGCAGGTATACGTGCGGTTGCTTTAGAAAAAGGAGTCAATATTAGAATTGTTGATTACAAAGAATCATCACAAGAGACATTGTCTGTTACTCTTCAAAACAAAAGCAATATAATTAACAGTACAGTAATTAACAATCACAGTTCCATCAATGGTGATGTAAGTGAGAACTTGCCATCTGATAATATACCTAAAAATTTATTTGCATTTCCTGCTATGAGTAATTTTTCTGGACATAAATACCCAATGGAATGGATTTCTTCTGCGCAAAACAAAGGCCTATTTTCGAACGAATTTCCAGGAAAATGGTTTGTACTGTTAGATGCAGCGTCTTTTGTTAGCACTTCAGAACTTGATCTTAGTTCGTATCATCCTGATTTTGTACCAATTTCATTTTACAAACTGTTCGGATTTCCTACCGGATTAGGAGCTCTGTTGGTGAGTGTGAGGGGAGGAGAGGCATTGAGAAAAACATATTTTGGTGGAGGAAGTGTTTCTGCGTATTCTAGTGATACTGATTTTCACGCTTTTAAACCTTCCCTTCAAGACAGGTACGTCTTTTCGGACACAAAGCACAGCTTTTTAATTCTCGCTTCATTGAATGACTGTATGCATGATCTTATGAGTTATGGCATAGACAGGACAGAACGTGGGGTGATTTTGATGTATCGGAACATGACACTGGGTAAAAATGAAAAGTGAAAAAGCTAGAAAAATGGTGTAAAATCCTGTGGCTTTATTTTCCTGTTATTGTTTAATTTACACTATTCGTAGTAAAATAATACACTTTTTCTGAATCATAAACCGCGGCTTATTTCCATACGTCTAAATCATCCCATCTTTCATCCCGTGCCGGGAAAGCGGGTGTATCTTACAAGACCTTACATTTTTGCGAGTGTCTTTCCTCAGATTTCTTCTGGATACAGACAACCTGGCTTATCTACAATTGGAGATTAGAAGAACAACATTTACTGTGATTTATACCTCTACTTCTCTTGTCAATCTTTGACATGTATATTTGGTTCCATTATGTCATTTTAGGCACAAAGATGGAACACCACCATTCTTGGAGATTCTGGCCGTACGACATGGCTTTCAATCTTTGCGCAAACTTACAACATCAATGGATCTTGTGACTAAACACACTTTTTGTCTTGCTCATTACGTTTATAATAAGTTGAACGAATTGAGACATTTCAATGAGCGTAATGTTTGTGAGTGTTATTGTGATACTGAGTACAAGTCAAGTTCTGTTCAAGGTCCAATTGTCAACTTTAATGTTTTGAGGTCAGATGGAAATTACGTTGGTTATGCAGAGGTAGGATGCTCGTAGTTTTACACATGCAAAGTCCACTTATAGACAAATTTGGCTAACGTTATTTATCTTTAGTTGTCAAGATTAAAATTGGCTCGACTTGTTTGCTATTTAAACCTATCTTCTTTCATTTGCAGGTATCCAAACTGGCAATTATCTACCATATCCATTTGCGGACTGGATGTTTCTGCAATGTCGGTGCCTGTCAGTATTTCCTCAGGTTAAGTACACCACAGCTGCACAAACACTTTGAAGCTGGTCATGTGTGTGGAGACAGTATCGATATTATTGATGGTCAACCTACTGGATCTATCAGGATCTCGTTTGGTTATATGTCAGATTTCTCTGATGCCGAAAAATTTCTTAATTTTATTAAAGATTGTTTTGTTGAGCAAGTTGGTAATACTTGTAATGAAACTATACGGAGTTGCGCTGCGGAAAACAATTGCCATCTGAAAAGATTGTTTATCTATCCAGTTAAATCATGTGCAGCTTTCGAGGTAAATATGGATAGTTTTGAATTATTTTTTTTGTGTTGGTGTTGTGTACTCATGCAGGTGAATAATATGTTTGCGATGTTACTCTGAGTGCATATCCACACCGGGCGAGCTTGAAAAATATGCCCGGCCACGGCATATGGATAGTTTTGATGTGATGTCACTAAATTCTAAAATTAATGTTACACAGCTGTTAATGTTACACACATGTTCCATGTATCGTTATTAACGACTGTTCACCAAACGTTTTAGTCGAAACTATAGACCTTTTTCGTATAATGACGTTAAACGCTGAGGCCGGTTGTATAAAAAAGTGATTAAAGTTAACTATGATTAAATGCAAACGTCATCCAATAAGAAGCGCCTATATTTGAGAGTTAATCACTATTTAACAACAAAATAGTAATTAAAAAAGTGATTAAGAGTTTTATACAACTGGCCCCAGATAAACACTGTCCCACAGGACAATTTTAAGAACAAATTGCCATGAAAACGTCACTAAGCCAATCAAATTTCATATAACATCATTTGCATTGTGAATTGTAGCTAAAATTTGGCCCATAGGATACCGCATTAAGTGTTTACCAGTGTTTGACGTCATTATATGAAAAAGGTCTATTGTTTTCTTGAGTTAAATTTTGAAAGTATAACTGCTGGCATTAGCTTTATTTTCAAAAACTATAATTGAAGCTATGTTATACACACAATTTGGTTTTAATATACTTATTTAAGATTAGGATGTCCAATCCAAGCTTTTAAAACAACCTAAACAGTTTGGTTAAAACTCTCCCTTATAATTAGTAGCATTTGATTTTTGCACCATGTACAGGTATGTTAGTGCACAAGTACCTACCAAATTAATGTAACAAGGTGGGCAAAAGCAAGCGCTCAAATAGAGCCGCATATTAACCCAAATGTTTTCAATGGACCTTTCCCCTTATAACTAAAATTTTGATCTAGACAAGTCTAGACAAAAATTTCATCACAGCGTGAAAGAGCATCACAAAATTAGTAATATTCCGAAGTTTCGTTGCGAAATGTTGTAAAATGCGGATAATATAGCCCTGCGAAATTTGCAATTTTCAGTCATTTTGTATTACAAACGGGAAATTGATGCCCCAACACCCGATTGGGCTGTCAATTTCCCATGCGTAATACAAAATGACTGAAAAACGGCAAATTTCACAAGGCTATATATATTATCCGCATTTTACAACATTTCGCAACGAAACTTTGGAATATTACTAATTTTGTGATGCTCTTTCAAATTTTTGCCTAGATCAAAATTTTAGTTATAAGGTGAAAGGTCCATTCATATCCATGTTCAACTTATTCAGGTTGAGGAATGGGACTTGAACGAGAAAGGATTGTGTTATGACAGGGAATGGTTGATTGTTAATGAATCTGGATCTTTCATCAGTCAAAAGCGACAACCACGTTTATGTTTCATCAAACCATACATTGGTTTGAAAGAAAATGTTTTACGACTGCAAGCACCAGGTAATACAAAATGAATTCTGATTCTGATTTGCATGATATAAGTGAAGTTAACCAATAATGTACATGTTACACAATTTTATAGGTTTAAATTTTAACATGTGGCTAGAAAACACTCGCGTGTGCTAATTAGTTCCGACGAATCAGCTCTTATTTGTGTTTTGGTAGACGTCATGATCCCTAAGAAAAATTTAGGGACACACCTGCAACATTTGGAACAATTAGTCCCGTTACAATACTGGTCTTTTACGTATAATTGACCTAGAAATAACCCTATTTCGGTTAACTTAATATCCCTGGTTAAATTTCCTATCATAGTCTAGGTAATGTAACCAGGAATCTGGTTATATATTTGACCAGGACGTCCCAGTTAAAAAATTAACCAGATTTTGTTGGGTGGATAAATAACCAATTGGTCCCTAGCTAGTTATTTATGTCCGACCGTTATTTCAGTCTCTGATAGATTGATTTTTGTGGAAATACGACTTTTATTATTTATCGGTGGAAATAGTGATAGTATAAAAATACTTTTTGTTTGTGGAAACACCACGTAAATTTATTACTGCAAAGCTTTCGATCCGCGGAAGCCCGGATCTTCATCAGTGCGAATAATATACCATGCAAACTTACAAAGAGTGATAGTATTATTAGCAGTGAATTATTAAAAGTGGTGTTTCCACAAGAATTGATAAATAAAACACATCGCCATGCAGCATAATTACTAAAGTATGTCACTGTATAATTACTAATCTATTTTGTTTCCATGATAAAATGAAGAAATGCCCGAGTTAGTGCTTCCACTTCGCATGTCAACTGGGGAAATGAACAGTTTAATAATCCAACCACGGATATGTGGAGCTAAGTAAGTTTATTTTACAATTACATTGTTATGCCCTAACCTAATAATTAAGAGTTTTCAGGCAGTGTTTCTTGGTATTTTTTTCAATATAGAGGATTAGAGGTTTCAAAGACACTTAAAACAGAAAGAAAGAAAGAAAGAAAGAAAGAAAGAAAGAAAGAAAGAAAGAAAGAAAGAAAGAAAGAAAGAAAGAAAGAAAGAAAGAAAGAAAGAAAGAAGAAAGAAAGAAAGAAAGAAAGAAAGATAAAGCAAAAATGATGTTGATATACAAATCATTACTGTAAATAAAATGAGTCACTCACAAATCATTTTACATATATAAAAGTGCATGAGATAACAAATCCTCATCATCCCAACATCTCCATGCAGTAGTCTTTCTGTATACCAAAACCGCGTACAAGTAATATACGAAAAAAGATTCATGTATAAAGAAGAATAGTACCTTAAATTGAAATTCGGTTCGAAAAGAAATTAGGAACTTTCCTGAGTTTCCTCCTTTCGAAAGAGAATCGCTATGTAAATGTATTAAATAGATATATCCATATATAGATTAGTTATCTTAATACTATATGTTATATTGAATCTTATAATAACATCTTCTATTTTAATTCTATATTAATTTTTATATCTAGTAATTATCTCGTAAATGCTATATTTGTGCAATTCTTTTGTACACGCCCCTCGTGGAAATCAGCTTCGGTTGACGGGGTCAGCATGACTGTTTAAATAAAGTTTTCATTCATTGAACCAAAATTGCCATATTTGGCCTTTTATTTGCAGAGTATCGGGAATTGATTGTGGTGATGTTGTCTCAAAGTGGTTGACATCATTTCTAAAACAAAAATGTCGTTTAATAAGACAAAATCCCAACGTCATCAGGAGAAACAATTTGAATGAAGGTATACCTATATAAAATGTCAAAACTAGTTTTCCTATCAATTGCTGGATTTCATAAAGCGTCACATGAGGGCAGCAAATCATGGTCATGCAACTTCGGAAATCTTGCCCTTGATTGGAGCAGTCAAATAGGTCATTTCTAATAAGGTGATAATGAGACTTGTGGCAACCATCTTGGTGTGGCTTCATTAGTTATTAATGGTATATTTAATAGGTTCGATTCCTGCCAGAAGGCTAAAAGTTGCATTTTTCGCAGCTGTTCCTGGTAGAGCTGTGCAAACTTCGGTTATTTTAGCTCCGGCTACGGCAGTCAAAACTCCGGCTCCGGCAAGGAATTTTTAAGGAAATTTCATATTTAAAAGTGGAAGCAGGCGAAAGTATTTCAGTGTAATTTCAGAATTTATCTTTTTTAAACACCTTTTTACAACACTATTAATAGTAAACAACATAGTAATATATAGTAAAACAATACATAAATAGTAATATATTAGTAAACAACAACTTAATTTTTCCATTTAATACCAAATGTTCATTGAAATATGAAATAATTTTTCATAATTTTGTCTGCCGGAGTTTTTGCCGGAGTTTTCCAACTCTGGCTCCGGCAAAATATGCCGGCACTCCGGCTCCGGCGCGCAGCTGTAGTTCCTGGTTAGGTCTAAAATTGTATATAATCTTCCGCTCAAAATTTCCATCTCCAAAAACCTTTCAACTAATTGATCTTTATTATTCCATGATTATAGATTATTTCAGCCAGGCTCTTTCCCTTGCAAATAATTCTCAGTTGGTTTACATCACTGAAGCAAGCTGTTTGGATCTCCTAGACAACATCAAATCCCTTTTTCCTAATGGAGAGGTATGAAGCCGAAGGAAGATGTCTGTTTTCTATCATGTATATAAATAACTACGAGGTTTATATATACGATGTTTCCAACTCTCATATAGACATGTGAATTGACAGTGGAAACGCTGATTCAGCGATTTCGACCCAACTTGGTTATTTCTGGAGTTGACGCTTATGAAGAAGAATTCTGGAGTTCTGTTACAATCGGTAACTGTGAATTTCAGGTACATTTCTATATTTGTCGTTGTTTGTACATGTTACTGAACTGACAGACTTGTAGTTGATTCAAACCTGTGTACTGACATGAAAGTACAAGTGAAATATCTTTACTAATATCTTTGTAATAATGCTTGGCAACTGGACTCTGTAGCTCAATTGTCAGAGCGCTGCACCGGAATCGCAGGGCCACAGATTCGATCCTGCCAGAGGGCCTACTGCATGATTGCACATTCGCAGCTGCTCTCGGTCAGGTTTAAAAATGTGTATAATTTGCGTTCGAAATTTCTATCAACAAAACCCTTCAACGCTTAACCAACAACTTTACATCCAATTTTATTCAAATGAAAATCGGATGTTTAATTGGTCAAACTTGGAATATTCCTTGCCACAACTAAAATCATAGTCTATAGAAGTTTAATATTAAAATAATTCATATTGTTGAAGCACAAACCTTTTTGCGTACCTTTTTTAGTGTTGTGGTGTATGTTTTCGCTGTCAGATGATTTCTGTTGACCCACAGAGTGGAGAACGATCCAAAGAGCCAATGAGAACGCTGGCCAAACTAAGAGGAAGCAAGGTTTGAGAATTTGTTTAATTCTTTCAGATGACTCAGTCGTTACTTTCCTATGGTTTACTGGTATGTAAAATTATAACTGACTATATACAGCTGGTTCAATTAATGTTATCGTTTCAAAATCAAAACTAGTCAGAGGAGTTCAGATTTGACTTCCACTGCCGCTACCGCTATACTATTAATGGACTATCAACCAATCAGATGCGTTTGATACAGTATATCCCATTAACCAATCAGATGCGTACTATAAGCTAGCGAGAGGTAGTGCATGGTAACAATTTAGTGGAAGTCAAATCTGAACCTCTCTAATAATAAACGCAAAAACCTCAACCTATGAGATTGAAAAGCACAATGTCAGTGGACGTGCATATCTAATGGCGTATAAATGCGGCATGGCAGTTGTGCACGGTTTTGCAAAATAGTAGGACAAAGTAGAAACATTAAGAAAGAGGCTTGACCACGCATTGACCTGATTAAAATAACTCTATAATTCAGTTCTTGTAACTGCGAGAGAGTTTGAATAAACCATTACTATTATTGACGTGTTTTTCTCGCTTGGAGGACGAAGTTTTGCGGTTGTGAGTTTTGGCGTTCAGAGGAGAACGTTAAAGGAATTTGCCATACTACACAGTACGAGCCAGAGAAACGTCTGAGGCGATGATACGACAGCAGTTCGTGACAAATAAAAGTTTAGTCCTAGCAGAAGCTGCGTATGCTGCATGATTCAACTGGAAGGAAAGCATGAAGGAAATCATATCATGAAATATTCTGAATAGGAGTAAAATAGATACCTTGACGAATATCTTTCTTTGTATGTTTAGATCCCATTTGGTGTTCATTTGCAGCAGATATTATCCGAAACAAAAATGCAGCTTCGTGTTGGAGATGTTGTTGCAGGTCAAAATGAGCTGACATAATCCGCCTCGTTTTAGTGTTAGAGGAAAGTGTATTATGAAGAATAATGAGTGACAAAAATACTAAAATACTAATATGTATATGTTACATCTATGTAGCGGTAAGTCAATGAATTCAGGGGTTATCGAATGTACCTCTTATACACAATTTTTTTGTCAAGAATGCACTCTGCAAATTAAAAATAATTGATTAAATTTAGAAATTTAATGTAGGTATTATATATATATATATATATATATATATATATATATATATATATATATATATATATATATATATATATATATATATATATATATATATATATATATATATATATTACAAAAATTATATCTATTATAAATAATAAGAAATAATAAGAATTATTAGTTGTAATATTGTTTTGGTTCGTGGAAGACACCAGGCACGTTTATTTTCTCCTCCACGAGGTAATGTTTGCATCCGCATTTGTCTGTGTGTCTGTCAGCGCGTTTTAGTTTAGTTTAGTTTAGTTTAGTTTAGTTTAGTTTAGTTTAGTTTAGTTTAGTTTAGTTTAGTTGTTTAGTTTTAGTTTTAGTTTTAGTTGCCCATTCCAGAAGAGATTACTGGTTACATGCATGCAGTAATCCCATCGAAATCAACTTCTCTATACACACGTTTCAGTATATATAATTCTGCTGATCTTAAGATGGTAATATTAGAAACAAAGCTTTACGGCGGCAGCGTCAGAAAGTTACATTTTAAGGGGTCGACTGTGAAGCGAGATAGGAGCGTAAAGATAAGAGCCTGAGAACGAGGTTGGGGTTGACCTACAGGCCACATTCTAAATTCAGATAGTCTCGTAGAAATCCCAGATTGGAAGGAATAGAACCACAGGAGCCCAGGCTCTGCTTGTTGCCCGCATCCAGCAAACTAGTTCCTAGTCCTTTGTCTACGCCTTTTATTTCCCCATGACGTCACCGAGTGTCTGCATATAATAAAAACGCGTACTAAGAGGCCTAGGAACTAGGCTGAGCATCCAGCCTCCGCCTGCGCCAGCCCATGCGTCCTGTGATACGACTACCAGAGCCTGGGCTTCCTGTCATACTACCACTCAGGCCTGGGCCTCCTGTCATACGACTACCAGAGCCTGGACTTCCTGTCATACGACTACTTTGGCCTGGGCCTCCTGTCATACGACTACCAGAGCCTGGACTTCCTGTCATACGACTACCAGAGCCTGGACTTCCTGTCATACGACTACCAGAGCCTGGACTTCCTGTCATACGACTACCAGAGCCCATGCGTCCTGTGATACGACTACCAGAGCCAGGGCTCCCTGTCCTAAGACTACCAGAGCCTGGACTTCCTGTCATACGACTACCAGAACCTGGACAATATGAATCATCCTTACAGCTAGGACTATATACACTTGGATTTTCGCAAAGTACTTTAGAGAGCTAGTCGTGAAGACATGAAGGAGTAAAATAGGAAACAGCTACATATTTGCCTATTTTTCACATGGAAAATAGGATTTGGTAGTGGGTCGGAGGGTGATTGGTTTCAGAAGGTTTGGCCATGAGAATAAGATTGACCTCCACCCCCATTCACAACCCTCTACATACCCTGCGTATCAGCGTGATCTCATATCTCAGGTTATTCCACGTAATGTATTCCTGCAGCTCGCTTAAAAGCCTTACTGCAAGTGTAAGGCCTTCTGCTGTTTGCGAGCATGCATGCCGGTTTGTAAAAACCTGTCTTTGCAGCTTGCGTTTTGGAATTTTGGATTCAGTACGTAGCTTTAGTGTCATCTTATTTTAAAATTTAATTTCGCAAGCATTAATAATGTAATATTTGTGATGTTACTCTCAGGGGCACCGGAAGCAACACGAAGCGGCGGGGGCAGCCATTTAAAAAGGGCAATTACTCTCGAGCCTTAATTTTTTTTTTTTTTTGGGGGGGGGGCAATGTTCGTTAACATTTTGCTGTATAACGGATACTTCGTTACTTGTAGACGATACTTCGTTACTTGCTGTATAACGGATACTTCGTTACGTTAGACAAATTTCGGCATGGATTGGAACATTTTTATTCGTTGCATGACACTAAAGACTAAAATGTATTGTGAAGCAACATGACAGTTGTCAGTTGTTTAGGAAGGCTTTCTTTTTCCCTTTTTTTCATTGGTGGAAGCTGATTGGTAACGTTTCTGAGAGGAATTCAGATTCAAATATGAGCTAAATTGTTTAAAAACAGTTTTCAACTTCAATTCATGTGAAAAACGCACGACGTTCGAAGTGCAGTTCTGGTAAAAAAGGCAACCTGCTGCCCCCGCTCTGTTTAGGCAACGGGGGCAGCTGCCCCCGTGGCTCCGGCGCCCCTGGTTACTCTGAGTGTATATCCACACCGGGCGAGCCTGAAAAATATGCCGGGCCACGGTGGGAATCGAACCTACGACCTTTGCCCTTTGGAACTCAGGCCGGCAAGCTCGCCCGGTGTGGATATACAGAGGGCCCCCTATACCTCTTCACAAAATGCTTTCACGTAAAAATATTTTGCCTTTTCACGAGTCACGAAAAATTGAAAAAATTCCTTCACGTTCACGGAAAAATCGAAGCGATCACGATTCACGTAAAAATAAAACAAAGTTCACGAATTATTATAGGATGTCTTCCTTAATTGTAGAATCATTGTACTCGTCTGTACTTACCTCGACATGCTTTCAAACCTCCAACTATGTCGAAAACAGACTTCTGTACATCAAGTACTTCAAAAAACAGCAACAAACCGTATTTATTCTTTGGAAAGCTGATCACACAAAAGGTCACAAAACAGAAGATTCACGAATATTAATCACGAATATTTCTATCTGCCATTCACGGGTCACGGTTAAATCGAATCTTTCCTTCACGTGCACGTAAAAAGATTGGAAGTCATACCATCACGAATCACGGATTAAGAAAATCATCGATCACGTTTCACGGCTAAGTAAAATAAGCCCATCACGCTTCACGCAAAAAGTATAGGGGGCCCTCTATACACTCAGAGTAACATCACAAACATCATATTCACTGAATATACACAACACCAACACAGAAAAAATCATTTATAATGTATTTAAACTGCAACCATTGGTATAATTATTAATGTTTTTTTTAATTTTAACCATCGTTTTACAATTACCAAAGTCAGTACCACTGAGCTATAATATTACTGGAGGAGGTGCTCCTATCTCTCGTCAGTCAAAAAAGTGTCCGCAAAAACATGGCGGATTTTCACGTTTGCTGACGCCATATGGTTCCTCCGGCTCATGGCAATTACCACTGACCAACCGCGATCCTAAGCATCCGACAAGGACCTTCGCCCCCCTGTTTTTGCACAAATATTTTATGTTTTCAAGACAAAATCATGCCGTTTTTCTCCACTTGTGGATGCAAAAATTCGCTGTAAAGACTTTAAAAGGAAGAATATTTCTTCTGAAAGGTAAGATTTGTGAAAATTTTAAGTTTTTACCTTTTATTCGACTAATTCTCGATTGGCAAAGTCAGGGGCCGATATGCGTATAAAATCGAGGTATAAATATGTATTTGTCAAACTCTTATATTTTATATTTACACCAATATTTCTGGAGCAGACATAAAAAAACGTTGTACATGGTTATTTATACATTGTGTACATACATTTTCTTTCTAGTTTCAGGCACTGGCTTTTGTTTTTAGTGCCAGTTTATTAGTTTAATTAAACAGCATGCTGCTCATGCAATCTGTAGTTTGCTTTGTTTCATAAAGAGCAGTTAGCACTAGATTTATATACAGTACAGTATAAACAAGTTGTATTGTATCCTTCACAAATATTATGAACTGCTAGTCTTGCTACTTGCTAGGTTTTGTATCAGCATTTACCAATTGGCTGTAACTTAGGCTTTTTTTGTGGGGTTGTGCACTACATTTCAGTTCAGCATCGAGCTATCATCGACTTGTGCATACCCAAATTTGCATAATTTATACTTATATCATTCTTGCATTGGCATTACCTTGAATGCTAGTATGGGTCAACCTGACAACCTCTATGCCTCATAAAAATCTCCAAACAAAGAACCTCCTTCACTCAGAAAATATTATACCTCTGTCATGGGAGTCTTGATTTATGTTTAGCCATATTTATTTAGGTCCCTTAGAGGTGAACCCATTGAGTCACATTGCACCCTACCTTATTATTCTACTCTGTCTGATGCCAGACGATTTCACTCATCAAGTAGAGAGTGCTGGTGCTTAATGGGTTAATAACTAGCCTATGTGTCTAGTTATGAGTCGCATTGCACCCTGATGCGCCCTTTACTCTGTCTAACGCCAGATTATTTTACTCTGTCTAACACCAGATAATTTTACTCATCAATTGGGGAGAGCGATGGCGTTTAATTCAGATTTATACAAGATTAGTGGTGCACCAGAGCTAACAGTTCCAATCCAGCCACAGCTGTAACTTGCAAAGTAGGGGTCTGAGCTAACTGGCCAGAACCCACAGTATGCACCCATTGCAATTAATTTTGAAATGTACATGAAACAGTTTCACACCATAGAATAAAACAATCATAAACAAAGTAACTTTATTTCTCATTTCTATTACAGGCATCAAAGTGATATGTAATTATACAAGAACTGAAGCAAAAATGTTCTTGCTGTAACAGTTGTATTGTATCATGATAGTTAACATTGATGTATATGATCTTATTTGGGTGTAACAATGTGTAGTAATACAGTATCTGTAGTACTAATCTGTTATCGATACCAAAAGAAAATTGAAAAGAGATATGCCAAACAGCCAAAGTGATGTCACAGCTCATGGGACTACAAAGTGATAATTATACTAGAATAACTTGATTATACAGTTAGTTCAAACTGATTGGGTCATTCAAAAAAATATCCACACCCCTAATGGAAGAGATGGGAGGCTCTTCCTCCCACTTTTGGACTCCCTTAGCTAATACTTTTACTATTATCAGCAGTCGAGTTCTGCCCACTTCAGACAGCACTTCACACATCTGTGGAGTTAGTGTTTATCTTTTCTGGAATGACTCATTGGTGATTGGTAGTTAATAATGTTATTATTCATTGAAGAATTTAAATTAAAATAATACAATTTCAACTGCATCATTGTGGTGGTAAATAATTCTGCAATAAACAAGACAGAGTAAAGGGTAAATTTTTAAAAGTTTTGACCTAAGAACAATAGAAATAATTTGACAAGAAAGAGCTCAAGTTAAACTTCAAAATATTCTTGAGATAAAATATATTGAGTAGTATCAAAATAGTATCATGAAATACAAACTGCACAGCAGGCTTATTCAAAACATCATAAAATATGCAACAAATAGAGCATGTAAACAAATAAACAATAGATCAAAATACCATTTTGCTCACGATTTAAATGAAACGAAAGTTGATTACTTTGTACAACAAGGCTTTAGAGACCATTACATACTTGTGGCTAAAATATAATACATTGTACCACAGTTAAACCCAACAATTTTTGTAGAAAATTTGCTCGAGTGTGACTCAGTGTGTGAAGTTTAATATGAACTGAGAAATATTTTACCTGTAGTTGCGGCTTCAAATATCGTCTTTGCGGATGTATTTCGAGGTTTTCTGTCTTTTGAGGACGAGAATATAATGTGTACGACTTGCACACATTTGAACCAGTGGTCAAAGGTACAAAAAATATGAAAAAAATCAAAACTACGAGAATATACTGCAAATACTTCAACAAGCAAAAATATTTTAATAAGAACCAGGGGGGTGTGAAAGTCGTAGCGGGCTCAAAATTGAGCCTGGTCAGTGGTAATTACCATGAGCCGGAGGAACCACATGGCGTCATTCTGGCGTCAGCAAAGGCCGAAATCCGCCATGTTTTTGCGGACACTTTTTGATGCCGAGCACGTCCTCCAGTAATATAGTATAGCTCAGTGGTCAGGACAAAAAATAAGCCATCTTGAATATCAGTGATACTACTATAACCACAATGCAAAGCGCTACGAAAACGTAATAAGGGAAATCTAGTGTTTGGGAGAAATGGGAGTTGAATATGTTCGCGATTTCTTTTGGATCCGTGATCAAATCGTTGTTATCAAGTATCTTATTAGGTATTGCTTTGTTCTTATCGAGGTCTGCTGCATCTTTCGTCAGTTTCCGTAGTTTCCTCGAATCATGTTTGCTTTCATAGATTTCTCGTTTGAAGTAATTCTGTTTTGCTTGTTTTATTTTGGTTGTTATTTTGCTTCGATGCCGATGGCGTGTGAAAGTTTCCCATGGTATTGACACCGTTTCATGCTTGCAATTTCAATTGCTCTCGTTGTCTAATTCCCGCGAGAATTTCTGACGTCATCCACTTAGGAAGCTGTAAAGAATTAACTTTCTTCGTCCGCAGAGGTAAGGCCCTGTCACACTATTGCGTATGAGACAAACGTATGAGAAGCGTATGAAAATTAATGAAATTATTTTCATACGCACAAAAATCCTTTGAAATGCCAGCGTATGAGTACCGTACATCTGGCGCACCTCTAGCGTATTCAGCGTGTGTCTAGAGTATGCTTATCGTATAACGCATACGTCCGAATACGCACAACATTTTTGAGCATGCTTAAAAAAATGTTCTGCCTCGCCGTATGCCAGCGTATGCGACCGTGCTTGAAACGTATACAACCTATGTCTAACGTACCCCTAGCGTATGTCAGCGTTTTCCAGCGTATATGAGTGATATTTTTCATACGCTGGCATACGCTAGTACGATACGCAATAGTGTGACAGGGCCTTTACATGCCTATCAACGATACTTTGAAAGATTTGAAAGATTTCGCTGGGTGAGGGTGGTAGGATATGGATAGAAGCAACATTTCTTTCAGATGAACAGTAAATGTGATCAATGAGGGTTGAGGTGATGTGGAATGTGCCATTTACCGAGCTTCGTTCTAGTAGGCACTGACGCACTGTCACTAACTGCTTCAGTCCAAGGTGACGAAATTTTTTAGAAAACGTCGTGGGCTTAGATTTTGATGATTGACAATTCGGCTTCATTGACGTGTAATTGTTAAATAATCCTTTTTAAAAGTGGCACCTGACGCTGCACCTTTACTTTATTATTTTACTCTGTCTAATGCCAGATGAATTTACTCATCAAGGAGAGAGTGCTATCACTCAATGGGTTAATCAGACTACTGTAACGGCCCAGACTAGTGCCCAGACTATCTGCCCACTATCCGACAGTTGGACAAAGCCATAGGTTCGGTCCCTGCCAGAGGACCTAGTGTTGCATTTCTCGCAACTGTTCCTGATTAGGTATACAAAGTGTATAATATATTGTCACTTGCATTCTCCATGTACTCCAATATCTGTCGACCACGTACCACGTATTCTGTTAAGTAAACCCTTTAAGTGGACATTATGCAAAGTGCCCTGCTTTACTATTTTACTCTAAAATGTTTAATGCCAGATAATGTTACTTGTTTAACGGGGAGAGGGCTGCCACACAAATGTGGCACACCACAAGGCTCTATTTTAGAGGCTCTATTTTAGAGCCACTATTCTTTCTGTTTTTTATTAATGATTAACCTCAATGCCTATATTAAACAAAACCTCGGTTGCTGACGACAGTAATCTGACCGCTTCTGGAGACTCCATTACTGATCTTGAAGCTGCAGTGAATTCTGATTTGGAAAATCTTAGAAAATGTTTAATTGCCAATAAACTTTAATTGCCAATAAACAATAAACCAGATGTAGACCCAAACAAAAAGGCACTTGCCGTTACTTTGTCTTTACAAGGTCAAGCGCGTGTCAAAGCGGTTGAAATTGATATCGAAAAACTCAGTGACAAGGACGGCATAGCAACACTTATTAGTGTATTGGATACAGTTTTTCTGAGAGATTCTGTTGACATAGCGTATGAACACTATACCAAGTTTGATAAATACCAGAGAGAGAGTCAGAACAGCTGAACAGGACATGTCCAGCTTTATTATTGAATTTGAAAGGCGGTATGATATGTGTAAGAAATCTGACATGTCATTACCTGATGCTGTTTTGAGTTTTAAACTTCTCGACAGTGCTGGTCTCTCAGAAACTGACAGACAACTGGCATTGACTGCTGCTAAAGATTTAAAGTTCAGCTCAATGAAATCTGGTGTGAAGAGAATTTTTGGGGGTGAACATGTGGAAAGTAGTAGTGGTATAACAGTAAAATCAGAATCTGTTTGTTTTACCAAGGCTGCTAATCAATCTGGTTTTAACACAAAAAGATATGCAGGTCCAGGACAGGGCTTAAATAGAAGAAGTCACAAATCCAGGTAAATACCAAAGGGGACAAATCCATTAGATAAATATGGCAACCGCACAAGATGTGCCATCTGTGGATCAATTTTTCATTGGGTAAAATATTGCCCACATAAGGAAGAAGCACATGCATGTACCTGTGATGATCAAGATGAACATAATATAACCTTGTTTGTCAAAGGTGTTGATCCCTGTGAGGTGTTTGTGTGAAGCTTTCTCCACAGCTGTTGTTGATCCGCCGTGCACTAAAACAGTATGTGGTGAAGATTGGTTGGATAACTACATGAATATTTTGGATGAAGATCAAAGATCCCGTGTGAAAATCAGATCCAGCAACCGAATGTTCAGGTTTGGTGATGGTCAAAAGGTATAGTCGGTGCAACAAGTTACAATTCCAGCCCAAACTGGAAATACAAAGTGTAACATTGAGGCAGAAGTTGTCAAAAGCAAAATACCCCTGTTACTAAGCAAGAACTCCTTGAAAAAGGCAAAAACAGTGTTAGATATGAACAACGATACTGCCCAAATGTTTGATCAACCTGTAGAACTATTCCAAACATCTACAGGCCATTACTGTATCAAAATTTGGTAAATCCTGACATGGAAGAAAAGTTTGTAACAAGTCATGAATTAATCGAAGGAGAAAGTGATGGATCATTCGATAAGCAGTTGAAAGAAGACGAGAAGGCCCTTGAGTCAGAAGTCATGCAAGTGATAAGATGGATGATAAGAAACAGCAAAAGAAAGAGTTAATTAAAATCCATAAACAGCTCGGACATGCTACTGCAGAGAGACTAAAAAAGTTGCTAACAAGTGCTGGGTTAAAAGATTCTGAACTTTTTCAAACACTCGAAGAAGTTGTCAACAGCTGTGAAACATGCACATTGTATAAGAGACCCCCTCCAAAACCTGTAGTTGGGTTACCTCTAGCCACAGATTTTAATCAGACAGTAGCTGTTGACTTACACGAATTAGACACCAATGTTTGGTATCTACATATCATTGATGAATTTACTCGCTTTAATTTAGTGCGGGGGCTATTGTGAGAAGGAAATTGCCACATATTTTTGTTCAGGATTTTATTGCTAACTGGATTCGCATATATGGCTGTCCAAAGTCTCTGTTCAGTGACAATGGTGGATTGGTGGTGAATTCAACAACAATGAAGCTAGGGACATGTGTGAAAACATGAATATTGAAGTGATTACAACTGCTGGTTATGCACCGTTTAGCAATGGTCTTTTGGAAAAGCACAACCACATTCTTACTGAAATTATGCTCAAAGTCAACCACGAGAAGAAATGCAGTTGGGAGACTGCACTGAGATGGGCGTTAAATGCCAAGAACAGCCTGATAAATGTCCATGGTTTCAGTGCTTACCAACTGGTATTTGGCAGAAATCCAAACTTACCTACAAATCTGACCAACCAGCCTCCAGCTTTAGAAGGGACTACTACAAGCAAAACAGTGGGTGAGCATGTAAGGACTTTGCATGCTGCAAGAAAAGCTTTTATGGAAGCTGATTGTTCAGAAAGGGTCAGAAGACCGTTAAAAGGGAATGTTCGTACCTACACTGGTGATAAGTATCAAATGGGTGACAAGGTATTTTACAAAAGACCAGACAACAGAGAATGGAAGGGACCAGGTAAAGTTATTGGTCAAGATGGAAAGGTTGTCTTCATAAGACATGGTGGAATTGTCGTAAGAGTACTTATCTGCCGTCTAAAGAAATGCAATGAGCTATCATCTCAGGAAAGAGAAACCAATGAGAACCAACCACAAGTGAATGTTGAAGTGCAAGAAAAACCTCAAAATACAGTTGAGTCTAATAACGATGAAGATACTACAGATGAATTAGAGGTCCAAAGTAATGAAACGGACATGTGTGCTCCAAACAATGTTGTAGGACAAGCCATTAATTCAGTCAATGCAAACAATATTAAACCTGGACAGTATATAACATTCAGAGAAGAACACCAATCAGACAAGGCTACTGCCAAAGTAATAAGTCGTGCAGGAAAAGCGACTGGAAAACACAAATATTGGTTTAATATAGACTATCTTGGTACAAGCATGGATGCAAAGTCCATAGATCTTAGTCAAGTCGAGGAATTGGAGATCATAGAAAATTCAACCGAGGAGGCAAATATCGTAGATGAAGTGATGTTTGGTCATAATCTGTCCTTTGACAGTGCTAAACAAGCTGAACTTAAAGACTGGAAAGACAATGATGTGTATGTAGAAGTTCCAAATGAAAGACAGAAATGTGTGTCTACCAGATGGGTTTTAACCCTAAAACATACTGAAACAGGCATTACACCAAAAGCTCGACTGGTGGCTCGAGGATTTGAGGAAAACAACCCAAGCCAAAGCGACTCTCCTACATGTGCAAATGAGTCTTTAAGAATAGTAATAGCCATCATTGCACAAATGGGGTGGACAATTAATTCTATAGACATTAAAACTGCTTTTCTTCAAGGAAATTGTCTTGATCGGGACATTTTCATAAGGCCACCAAAAGTGTGTGTATGGCCTAAATGATGCATCATTGCAATGGTATCGCAAAGTAAAAGATGTTATGATTGAAACTGGGGGTAGAATGTCCAAAGTGGACCCTACAGTATTTTCATGGTATGATGAAAATGGCACGTTAATAGGATTGTTAGCTGCTCATGTAGATGACTTTATATGGGGTGGCACAGAACAGTTTTAACAAACTGTCACTGAACATATTTAAGACAAAGTTTAAAAGTGGGAAGAGAGAATCAGAATTGTTTCAAGCATTTAGGTTTGGAATTCGAACAGACCAATGAAGGAATTTTTGCACGCCAAGAGATGTTTGGCTCCAGCATTAACCAAATTCACATCGATAAAGCTAGGTCTCTTCAGAAGCACTTTGCAGTTACCGAAGAAGAAAGACAACAGTTGCGTTCAAAGGTTGGCCAGCTTCTGTGGATTGCTCGACAAACCAGACCCAGCGATGCCGGAACCACCGGTGCAGCGGGTGCAAGTGCACCCCTTGCCTTTTGCTTTTCACCTTTGTGGGTGCAGACTATGGGTGTTAAACAGGTGCACAAAACTTTTACAACAGACAGAATTAAACGTCGTTCGAGGATGTGTGTGGGGGTGTTCCATCCCCCAGTCGTCAGGAATTCGGCAAAATTGTTATCCATTTGGCAAAAGGTGAAACGGAAAGCATTACTTATGGAATTTTTGGCGAGAAATTACGGAGGAATTGTGCCTAAACAATTGTATTCGGTCCGAAAACATTTGGTGACGGGGAGGGAGGTTGACCCGAATGTAGGATCATGACGCCCTCTCATTTTCATTGGTGCCTTTTATTAAGGAGTATGCCCTCTTGTTAACCAATTGCACCCCTTGCCCTCAGCAACTTCCGGCATCCCTGACTAGACCTGACATTATCTATGACACTACCAGAATGGCATCTAATGTTAAAAAGGCTGTCGTAAAAGACTTGCTAGAAGCTAACAAGCTCATCAGGAAAGTCAAATCAGAAAGTGTTTCCTTAAAATTCCAGAATTTGGGATTCAAAGATTTGCATCTTTTGGTATATAGTGATGCATCCCATGGCAATGCAGAGGAAGATCATTCTCAAGGAGGACAAATTGTGTTCTTAGTTGAAGGAGAGGGAAAGTGTATTCCCATTTGTTGGACCTCTAAGAGAATAAGGAGAAGAAGTACCTTAGCAGCTGAAACTCTGTCAATGGTTGATGGAATTGATCTTGGTATATTTCTAGCTACTTTGTTCTGTGATCTGTACTATGGTGTAGCAGATTCAACACTGTTACCAATTAAATGTATAACTGATTGCAAGTCCTTTTGTGACGCTATCAAATCAAACAAATTGGTTACAGAGAAGAGGTTACGATTGGAGCTGTCAGCTATCAAAGAAAACATTCACAGTAATTAACAAGTTGCTGACATTAAATGGGTGGAATCAAAGGAACAACTTGCGGACTGCTTAACGAAGCATGGGTCTTCTTCTATAAATCTGCTAAGAGTCCTTGAGACTGGCAAACTGGTGTGACTTTATAAAATGGATCACACACAGAAGGACAAAACTTCTAAGTATATAGTTAAAAAAAGGGATTATTTATATTGTTTCAGTTTCATTACATTTAAGAAGAGAAAGAGATGAATATGATTGGGTGACCTGTGGTGAGGTGTTCTCGTGTGAGGGAACGTATTGTGGCAGGAAAGTTGTGAGCACTTCATATTTTGTTGGATATTGTTATGGTTTAATTAAAATAATGTTATTGCTATAAATATAATAGATCTGAGAACTGTCTAGAGGACATTTATTGAACTTTCACAGACTGTTGATTAAAATTGAGAATTTTTCTAGCTATACACTTTTTATTTTTCATATTAGCTGCGCGCATTGCATTTTGGGTATTTGTGCATTGCATTTTGGGTCTATCTGTTGATTAAAATTGAGAATTTTGCTAGCTATACATGAATTAAATTTGCTGCCTAAAATGCTCGCTCCCTGTAGTAGCAATAATCGCTACATGTCAAATTTTTCTCCACTATAATACCACTATAATAAATAACTGGACCCCCCCTTCTGAACCAATATTTTTAGGTGCCCCCCCTTTTTTCGGTCAAAAATACCTCATGACCCACCCCCTTTTTTGCCAGCCCACCCCCGGTCATAAATAATGGCCCCCTAGGAACATTTCAATTTTAAAGTGGTCTTTGTTTATCACAACTGCATACTAATAATATGAAAAAAGTTTTATGTATGACGGAGCATACCTTTGGAATTCTATTCCAAACGAAATTAGAGAGTCCGCTGTCCCTGTTGTCAGGGAATTACTAGTACCACCACAGCACCATACACCAATACTGTGGGCTGTTGAAAGGCAATACTAGTTCAGAAAAATAAGTTGCATGAAAAATTGCTTTGTATATAAACAGCACCTTTGTATATAAACAGCAACAGCACCACCTCCTGACTCATTTTTCTCAGTATATTCAAAGACAGTAGTTCATTGTATTAAATCTAAGGGGCTGTTCATATGAGCCCTGCTCTGCCGGGCTGGCCCGGCTAGCCGGGCTGGTTTTCAAGCGCCGAGATCCCGTTCACATATTGTTTGTATATTAATTTAGGATTGGGTTCATATGAAAGCGGGCCAGCCCAGTTTGCCGGGATCTCGCTTGAGCGAGGCGAGATCCCGGCTTGCCGGGCTCATATGAATGCACAACCGGGCTAGCCCGGCAAGCCGGGATGGAAATTTGCGTGCTTTATTCCACTGATAAACAGTCTAAAATGTCCAAAACTATAGGAATTTATCGAAATTAAACCTCCTGAAGCTGTTGCCGTCAACAAAAATAAAATTTTGCCAATTAAACACGAATTTTATTTTCCCGCTGAAATATCACGGGAAATCGTTACTATGAATAGATATGATTGCCGGGCTAGCCCGCCTCACGTGAAAGCAAAGCGGGCCAGCTCAGCAAAGCGGGCCAGCTCAGCAAAGCGGGCCAGCTCGGTTAACCGGGCTCATATGAACAGGCCCTAAGACTACTTTATAGCCAGTATTTTATTTTGTTCTTGTTTGATTAACCTCGGAATATAAATCATGTCATAACAGCTGCACTGCTGCAGAGAGATTACAATATAGAAAATCTAGTACAATTTACTCAATTTAGCATAAGATTATTAGCAATGTTTACATGCAAGATAAGAGAGATCCATTGTATACAGTACTAAGTAAGAAAATCTTAGGATAGTTACCTTCAATTAGCCATTCACAATGAGTATTTGTTGAGTACGTAGGTCCATCATTTTCAAGTGTGATTGTCCCGTTCAACACATTATGAACAGCAGTCTTTCCTCCACATTCTGCCCAAATAATACTTACAAATGTTATAAAAATCACTCCACATAGTCCGACATTCACAGTATGGCACATTATGTTATATCAGTAGGTGTTTTTATACGATATTTTGGTCGCTAAGGTAATATTTATAGTTCGTTTCACTGCCATCTCTAGGCGCGAGTTAACTTCCTCTTGTCTTGAGGCAAACTGTGGGCAAACACAGAGTGGAATAGTTCAATGTTTCCTTTAAACCTCAAAGCAAAGTATATTACAGCGTTCTTTATTCCATAAAATATGTTTTGATTTGATTTTGACGTTGTAGTAGAACTAGAAATCGTCTTCTGCATACTTGTTGCAATTAAAAATAAATTTGCTACCTGTACACTGACCGCAAATATGACGTCTTATTCCGATCTTCTCCGAGTGAAAGCGGAGTTGAACGGACCACGGTTCTATTAGCCTGCATGGCAGGCGGTACGTAGGAAATTTCCTTTGCTTCCCTAATTTTCGCTGCCCGTAGAAATACCGCCTGCCATGCAGGCTACGGTTCTATGAACCGTGAACGGACCACTGAGCTGTATAATAACTGGAGGACCTGCTCCTATACTTCGTTCAATGATCAAAGTGAAGCCAAAAAAATGGCGGATTTTGACGTTTGCTGACGCCATTTCCATGACAACTGGTCCGTAATTCTCACAGAATTGCCACTGACCAACCGCGATCCTAAGCTTCAGACGACGTTTTCACCCCCCTGGTTTTGGCAGTGTTTTAGTTAAAAACATAATATTTTCTCGTATTTTGCTGGGTATTTTTACAACTTGGAAGGAATTAAAGTGCCGTTTTGCTCCGCTTGCTGATGTAACCATTTATTTTACATAAAGGACGAGTAATTCTTTTCACAGGTAAGATTCATGGGACGGACAGTACGAAATTATAAAAATATTTTGTCAAAATTCAACACTCGTTCACTCAACTTCACTGACTTCATTCTTCATGTCAAATGAACGGCAAATATTTTAATATTGGACGTCAAAGTCATAAAAAACCTTGTAAAATTTGTGGTCATAAGATTTACTGTTTTGTTTTATCTTTGGCGATGTGTCTTACACAGATTATGGTGTGAAAATCATTTAAATACACTTCAAATATAGACCAGGATTAGCACATGCAAGGCCAGAGAGGGTCAAAATAGCCAGGGCCACTACACTGGATTCACTTGTTATGACATCAACATTTAGTAGTGTACTGTTAACGACTGTTAGTGTTAATGGCCCACATATACAATAAATTGACTGATCAGATTTTGCCATATAATCAAGTGACAAGTATTAAGAGACTCCAGAAACTGTTGAATTTAATATTGTGAGCAGTGGCATAGCCAGTAAAACAGAAGTGGGGGAACAACCAATGGCGTCATTAAGAAATTGGAGGGAGCTGCCGAAGGCATGAGCCTATTAGCATAGCTATTAGCAGTTCTGGGGGCACACTCACCCAGAAGATTTTGAAAATTATCTGAAAACATCCACATCATCCCTACACAAGAAATGTCAAGTTGCAAGCCCCTGTCCTATTTACAGTGTATTTTGCTTTTCTCGGGAGTAGATTCTAATCGTCCCCTCCAGACAGCATAAATTTCCTCCACGTATAGTTGGAGTGTGGATTTTTCTGGAATATGACTCAATGTTCAAACTATACAGTACATGTATTTCCACAACAGAGCAGAATACACAAAGAACTACAACAAGAATATTATTAGTAAACCTTACTGTGGATCCTTCCTCTCTCTTGAACAAATTATTATCTTAATTTCCCTGTGATTGGTTACAAAGAAACTATGATTAAACTAGTGGATAATAATTTGCAATTTCAGTACTATGTAAAAGGAACTTTATTAAGTGTATATATGCAGTTTTGTCGATGAAAAGAAGCATGCATCCACAATTTTTGGTAATAAATGCTGTTTTTCAGGTGTTCAAGAATGTGTAATAATATCGATGTAATATGATTGTTGTCTTTTATCTTGCAGGAATTATTGGCTATAGATATCACAAAACATCGGACAAGGCATTAAAATGCAGAATAGCCAAAAGCGAAGTCATAATATTAATACCATAATAACTTAATTATCTGATGGCAATCATCGATGGATTTTCTGGGAGGGGGGGGGGGTGGTGTGCACCCCAAAAATATTTTCACCACCTCAGAAAGTTTTCCCACCACAGAAATTTAAATGCTGCTTTGATTAAATGACAGCAGTATAATTGAACAAGAATTTTGAACTAACTATAGACTAAAAACACGGCCAATAATCTCGAAATATCCTGGGGTCGTTGCCCCCAACCTTATCCCAACTCTGTCCCCACTAGTGACTGTACCCTCAGACTCTGCTGTATCTTACTCAGCACGCTACATGCTCCTCGCTCACTTTCCACCCATGAAGTTTTCTGCACACCAACACCCCAAGCAAAATTTGAAAATCTGTCTATGATGGTGATGATAATTAACTTATAAAAGTATAAACCTTTATTATTAAGTTAATGTTAATTAAAGAATCATTGTTAACTACAATGCATTGGCAGCAATATTGCATGCTTGTGTTTGTTTATACATATGGGATCTGTGCAATTAAATATAATTATTCGCATGATATGATAAGTACTGCGCTGCCTGCTATTACAGTATTACTTGAAAGCCTTCAGGGGTGGATCCAGCAAGGTTTTTCTAGGGGGTGCTGGGTGAGCAGCCAAGTGTTTCTTTATAACTCTTTAGGGGTTGGTGGGAGAATGAATTAATTGGCTTCCTAACGACTCAAGCACTAAAGGCGCGATCTCCCTAGGGGGTTCAGAGATATGCCCCCAGAATGTTTTAAAAATTAGATCCCTAGTAATGCTATTTCCTGTGATATGGATATTGAATTATGATCAGCTTCAGATTGACTTCAAAAAAGGGAAAACCTTGGAAATTATGCCATGTTTCTGAATTTGATTTTATTGCACCCCTGTTGACCAAGGCCAACAGGGGTGTGCACCCCCCTATTAATCCACTCCTGAATTAAGTTAACACATACTCCACTACATCATGTATAGTACTACTTAATTACAATAATTTTAGTGTTAATTTAAAATTATTCACTGTTAATACTTTTACTGTATTGAAAAGTCCAATTAAAATAGTTCAAAATTAATCCAGCTTTTGTGTCTTTAATTTCCATACATCTTGCTTGTACTGTATTTTGCCTGCCTTACTTTTACTTGTCAATGGAAGAGCCACTCTATGGGTTAATTGGGAAACCAGAGTGAGTCAGGACAAATGCCAGATTATGATATCCCAATTGTGAGATAATTCTGGAATAAACAAAAATATATTATATGTTGTAAAAACAATGTGACTCAACAGAGACACCAGAATCATTGGTGCAATTATCAGGCTTAACCCATTGAGCCACAATGCGCCCCAGCGCGTCCTACTTTTTTTTACTTGTCTAACGCCAGACTCAGATTATATTTCGGGAACTCCGGTCGAAATATATGAGAATACTAGCGGTATGGCATTAATTTAACCAATCTGTGCTTCACATCACATTTTAACCCAAAGAAATCTCTGGCAAAAAAAACCCAACACCCCCCTGATCTGACCCGTCCCATAATCCTCCTGTGGCTTTTTTACCTTGTGCTCAGTGCTTCCATTTTCAAGGAAATTTCCTTTTCTAAGGAAATTCTAGTGTCGAAAAGGAAAATCTAAGGAAGAGAAAAAATCTAAGGAAATCTAAGGATTTTTTCCGAACAACTTAAATATTCATCCAAGCGCATTAGTGCAGAAGAAAGTTTCACTATTTCTTGAATTTTTGAGTGAATTTTCAATTATGTTCAATTAAAAATCTGTTTTTAACTTTTTCCTCGTGTTTTCGAAAACTTCTGAAAGTTTTTTAGCGATGGGATTTGGTAACTTTTGGCGCCAAACGCTGTGAATAATTAATTATTTATATCAATGGGAAGGTATATGTTGTAAACTCAACAAATATTCAATTTTAAACTGTAAATAGCCTGTGGTTTTTTAGCTAGCAATTATCTTTGTTTAATTGTGCTATTTTGTGCCCTTAAAATGGATTAAATCCTTTGTATTGCTACAAAAGCACTGCAAACCGCCTAATGAAATTTCAAGGAATTTTCAAGGAAATAACGTATACAATCTAAGAAATTTAGAGAAATTTTGATGACAAAAATGAGAAATTTTGATGTTGAAAATGGAAGCACTGCTTGTGCTTCACACGCGAACAGGTAAGCTTCAGGTAGGCTAAAATATTTGCTTTTTGACGTTTTTTCCTATTGTTTTTCATATGTTTTAGACACTCAGGCATATTTTTAGACAATGTCGAGTCACCACAAGCGAAAAAGATCTCATTCACGCGATTCTACACATCGCTCTTCGAAGTCTAAAAAGTCTTCAAGCTCAACAGAGCAGTCAGACCATGCCAAAATTGACGAAGAAATGCTTCTACAGCTTCGTGCCATCTCATCTACAGTTTCAGATCTTAAATCTAACATGGAGGTGTGTAATAGAAGAATTTCCCAGGTCGAAGATGTCTTTACTAGCGAGAATATGACACAT